TATTGACAATTACTTACTTTCCAACTCACTCATTCCAATTCAGGATCCCTGATGTCCATGGCCGATCCCAGCAGCTCAGGATGCAAGGAGGGAACCCACCCTGGTCAGCATGTCTCCTATTACAGGATGTAAACACACACACAGCTCACTCAGACTGGGGCAATTAAGACTTATCAATGAGCTTCAAATGAACTTCTTTGGGATGTGGAAGGAAATTAGAGTACCTGGAGAAAACCTACCCAGACAGGGAAGAATGTGCCAACTCCACAGATGGTAGCTGAGGATCCTTTTTTTTTTTTTTTTTTCTCATCAACATTACAGGTATTGAATGAGACGTTCTTCAAAGATCTATGGACCATTAAACACACAATGTAAAGGGATAGGAGCACCATGGCCAGAGCTCTGCAATTTGCCTCCATTTCATCCCTTCAGTGATCCCAGCATCACTTCTGAGGACAGCTTTAAGACCATTTCAATCTATACCAGCTACCACATAATGGAAAATCTCTGTGGGGTAATTTCCAGTTCACCAGACTAGTGCTCTGTTTCATGCTAAAATACCCAATAGATGTTCCACTGTCCTAAATGAATGCTTAAAGGAGTTGTTTCTAAATTTTACTCATAAACCTGTTTTTAGTTGTTGGTTTAAGTGGATGTCTCACTTCTCGTATAGAAACAGTGTAATCATCTGGGACTGTGGGTGTCACTGATGATGTAAAACCCAGTCCTGGGCCTGTCCTTGTGAATGCAATTAAAGGCAGGACTCACCTCCTCTTCCACCAAGCTCTACATTTTATTTGTTCCTTCTTCAGGAATTGTCATTCTTCTTCCCTAAAAGTGTCATTTTTGATCAAAGCAGATTTTGAATAACTTAAAAAAAAGTTTTATATAGCAGACCTGCAATAGACTAAAGATGAAAATTATCAACAACGGCAATATTTCTCTAATATGATGATGCAGCAAGGCCCTCCCTCCCCTTCCTTCCTATCAAAATAACTCAGTGTCTGAAATGGTTTGCCAGTTTCTTTCTACAGTAAACAATAGGTGCTGGCATTTTAAACTGACCTTTAATTCTTCTGAACCAGCACATTGTATCTGGCTTGTTGGCTGTACAAAGAAAATGAAAAACAAAAGCAGTCTCAATGATTTTCACATCACCACTAAAAACAGTACACAGAAAAAGTTTTTTAAATGATTATCCATCTACTATTATTATTCCTTAAGTGTTCTGTCTAATCAAGACAGGCAATTTTGAGGTTGAGATGCACTATAGAACTTCAAGAAGGAAAACTACTGTGTACTTTGAACTTAAATGAGGCCAGTTAACTATACCTATTTTCTTATATTATCTTCACTACCACTAACACAGGAGTCAGAAACTTTTTAAAAATTTATTTCAGAGGCTCATATATCTAAAGGCTATGCCATTTTCCTCCATAAAATGACACAAAGCACTGAGATTAATCAACAAGTTTGAAAACTGCAATACTATACAAATTAAGGATTCAAATTGAGACCTGAATATTTTAACAAATGAATGAAATTTATGGGCAGACATTAGTATCTTTCAATGAGCCAAAATTGACCTAACAGTAAGAAACCATAGCAACTCAAGACTTTGTCCTTTGAATATTGTATGCATGGATGTGGTTTTTTTTCTGTGCCATTCTCTTAACCAGATCAAAACGCGTTTTAAGATAACTAGGTAAGATCAAGGAGATTCTGTTGAAGGAATGTCTCTATGTATAGTGCTAATCTACACCTGTGTGAAACCTATGGCCTTGTTCTCATTAGAATTATGGCCCATTCAAGAGAGCTGATTGCCCTAGTTTTGCAAATATGTGAATATAAACCATATTTCATTTTGCCTTGGTTATAATCTAACCCATGTAAACTGGGAATACATAACATATGGCATTGACATTCAACTAGTTTATTGAAAATATGAGTCAAGCTCTCCACAGGGAAGGTACTTCTGATATCAAGGCAGGTGGGGTAAGTTATGGAAGAAGTGGGTACAGGCTCATAAAGAAGTGTACAGGGTCTCCTAACAACTACTATTTGCTGGTTGCTTATGTAAGCACCAGGCACCATACTGAACACTTACAGTATCAGTTAATCTTTAAAAGCCTCATCTTCATTTAAAAGATTTGCATACTCAGGCAATTTAATACTGCACAATTTCTACAGCAGCCCTGAGATTTCTTGAGCTCTTATAACAGATATGAAATCAACATATAGAGGCAACACTACATATATAAATAGCTATGGCCATTCCCTACTGAAAAAGAAGGTTGAGATTATTTTGGCAGACCACATACTTTCAAAGTTTCTCTGCAAAAACTACTTATGTATTAGCGGTATGAGTAGCAGGAGAGTAAGAGTAGAAATCTTTTGTGAAGTACAGAGATATATAAAGGGTTCCAAGAATAATATCCCTTCCTAGCCCTAGAAGGAGGTTTCTGGTGAAAAGCATCTTATTACTCTCAAAATTTATGCTAGTTACTGAGCTACATTAAGGGTATGACTAAAGGGACACTGAAGATAAAAGGCAGGAAGCAAAATTAAAAAGTTAAATATAAAACTGTTGTTGCTGTTACCTTGGAACAGACTTCACTGTATTAAAGTAAATCACACAAAGAAATATAGTTCCTTAATACTAGAACAACTCTAATTAAAAATATCTATGCAAATAGAAAAACAAATTTATGATGGTATCAGCTATTAAAAGCTCTTCATGGACCCACCATCTTCTTCAGTCCTCCAATTCCCCTGAGAGAGGAGTCACTCTTTCCCTTAAACAATCTGTAGGCCCAAGCATACCCTCAAATCCTTGACATTCATTTCATAACTGTTGTTTGCTTCACCTTAATGATGACTTTGAGTAAGAGGCAAAAGTGTGCAATCACTGTGGTGGGATATACTAAAACAGATCTACATAGGACTAGACAAAATGCATGGAGCTGTATCTGGCCCATATCATTCCTTTAGTAAATACATAATTGATCAAATTTAGGCTTTTGAAGCACTGGCCATAGTTAGTGACACTACAGAAGCGGCTGGTAGAGTGGTGCCGAAAGCTCGATCTAGATGTCAATTTGCACAGCTACCACCCACTTCCCTACTACCAATTCATCTAGGAATAGTCATGGGCCTGGCTAAACACAAAGACATGTCAAAACTGAGAAATGAAACTATCAATTCAGAAATGTCAACTCAATTAAATATGCTACTAATAAAGCCAAGAGTCAACTAGAGGATATTATTAGCTAGAACTTAATAAGAGAAAATAGCTGGAAACCGAGAAATATATATATAAGCAAAGTAAATTTCACATGCCTTTGTTTCCTCAGCACATGAAATACACAATTCATACAATAAATAGGACTTCACTAATTTTTTTCTATGTCTAACCATGTTTCTTTTTTCACTCCTCCTAAGCTTCTCAAGCTGATAATTCTTTACTAAAGAGAAACAGAAATCATAAATTTAGGAGCTAAATGAGCCAATTTGCTAGCTTTAAGTGTTTAAATTATGTAGTTAAATATATGGCTTCTCTTGGGATAGTATATTGGGGCAATACCCAAATTTAGTTTATATACCAACAAAAGTTTAAAAAATCCCAGGATTGTTAACTTTTTTTCCCAAAGTAAAGTATCTTGCTTCCTATTAATCATATAACTATAATTTCATACAAACTATAATTTCTAATTTCTTTATTTCTAAATAAGCAAAAACAAATGAAACCCAAGATGTCACACATATGAAAATCATGATTAAAGCAGATTTCCATTCTTGTCAGTTATAGGAGGAAGCAATACAATTTTGTTGTACTAAAAGGTACAACAGTTATTTGGAGATTATCTTTATCAACCCCAAATATATAGAAATCATGTGGCATTCCCATAATAACTACAAATAAACATATATATTAACAAAATTGAGTCTACCTCTACTTACTAGTTTAGTGGCACAACTCTCTAAATATGACAACTGAAAAAGGTGGCCAGTGATTAAAAGAACAAGAAGCTTTTCACCAGTTAAATTTCAACTGAATTCACAATCACACTTAGCTTGGAAGCTTAGGCTAAGAAGTAGAGAGAGAGCTCTTATTGTATGGTTGTGCTTTTACTATGAAGTATCACTTTAATTCATATATAATGGCAATACTTGGTCTGCAGAGCATAGCATTTAAAAACCACACAAAAAGCTAATTTGGGGCAACAACTTTTAAGAAAGTAAAAATCTTTAAAAATTCTAAAGCCATTACAAAACCAAGCTAGATATCTTTCAACTGTGGAGAAAAAAAAAAATCGTATGATTTTAAGCTATCGAATCCACACTTTTCCCTATGAACACAGTGTGTATTTCCCTAAAGCTATTTTGGAGCTAGTCAACACCCAACAATAAAAATATTCCTATCTTGGTTTATCATTTAATGAATTAATGTAATCTAAGCCAAAAACACAGATAACCTGCATCTATCAGACACATGTAACTGATACAGAATGATCTATATGTTTTTAAATATTAGATCTGAAGGCTTTCTGCATTTGTAAATTAATGGCATGGGGTGAGGGTGGGGGGGAACTACGGTATTTAATGATACCATAACATTTTAAAATCTACAGCAGCAAAAGGGAAAAACCACTTATACTAGTTTCTAAAACAAATTATAATGTAAAACAAACTTGTCATTTTCACTGGTTTTCAGTGTCTATACATGCAATATAAATTACAAATATATATAACTTTATACCATCATCTAAAAAACAATGATGTATAAAATATTTATGATAAATAAAATAATCACATTTAATGACATTTTCTGGAAAACTAAAATTGTCAAGTTAATGATTAATGTAATGTCATATCAAACAAACAATACTTGTACAAATTGGAGGAAATGTATGCCAACATTGGCTTCTGACAACAAAAATGAAGAAATCAAAGCCCCACAAGTTTTTCTGATTTATGTCAGGTAATCATGGAAACAAACAAATATTTAAAATTATTTATTTTATCATTATGCACATTGAAGGAAAGCATTATAGACAGCAGAATTCTTTCCTACCATAAATTATTTACACCCATTTATTTAGCTAGAATCACTAGCTTGAAGAGGTACTGGTAATTTCATTTGTAATAATTTCTCTACAGCAAACAATTGTCTTATCGTTGGAACACGTTGAAGAAAATATTGTGTCATAGTCCTTTTTGTTCTTTTAAGTATCAATCACTAAAAGTTCAAAGTACTTTCAAGAAATCCTGGTATCTGCATCATCTGATGAATGCATTAAAATCTGGTAGTGTGTTTGTATTCTGGAAATACTCTTAGATCATATAAATGTTGCTTGAGTGTGGAGCTCACATTTCTCCTACTGGCACTGACATCTGAAGAATATTTGTTATGAAAGTTTCACACCAATTTTGTTTTGTTCCTTCTTCATTAGCCGTTGTGCTTCCTTTTCCATTTTCTTTCTCTGCTGTTCTGCTGCTCTCTTTTCTCTGTCTGCTATCTTCTGCTGCCTGAGAAGAAACATATTCTATTTTTTATTTTTTAAAAGTACCACACAAGTGAAACAGCAAATAAATTCTGGAAGAAATAGCTGTGTCTTTTTTACTACCATCAAATAAAAGTTTAAAATGTCTCCATCCAGCTGCTTTGAACATTTCAAGCCAGCATTTCTTTACATGAATTGCAAAAATAGAATCAGTATTATCTCTTCTTTACCAATAAATAAAATGAGGCAAAAAGGCTAAGTGATTTACCTAAATTCTTAAGATTAAGTTCAAGGATAACAAGTCATATTTTCTCACTCTGTTTTCTAGATTATTTTTTCTTAAACAGCACTTTATTAGACCACAACCCTTTTTTAATATCATTCAGAAAAGCCTGATATTGAGGATGATATCTCCTGTTGTTATTGTTACAATTAAAAACAGTCAGTAGAAGGATGTCAAGAATATAACTGTACAGAACACAATACAAAAAGGAAATGGAAACTTATGAAACACCTTCCAACCAGAAGCTAGAAAATCTATTTAGGGATTGACATTTGACCAGCTCTACTAATGAGGGGGAACAGTGGTGGGTTACTTACTAATTACACATGTATGGAATATTTAGCCCCTCCTTGGTCCTTCTCAGGGCTTTCATTGATCTAGAACTATCCAATCTTTCTGCTTACATTGATTTATGTGTTTGGGGCATGGGAGTATGAATGGAAGTGGAGTGATGCAATTGGTCAAACCAAATGGAACATAAGTTTTGGTCCTGAATCTGTAGATTTAGGGTGTGAGACAATAAGTCATGCAGCATAGGCACTGAAGAAAGGAGCTGTTGGTGACAAATGGGCACAGTATAGGCAACAATAAGTTATGAGTAGAGAAATCCAGTGTAGATTTCTGTGGGACACCTCAAAGCTGACAATAGTGACACCTATATAAAATTATCAATCATAGTTATATATTTCAGTAGGCAGAATGATGAATGATTAGAACTCAAGCAAGTAGAGACTTATTTTGAGCAACATTTTGACCTGGAAATCAATTAATGTTTTTGAGAAAATCTACTTTTTATTGGCTCTTTCAAAAAAAACCCATAATTGGCACTTAAAAAATAGTCAAAAAGGTCAGTGGCCTACATGGAAACTGGAAAATAACTCTTTATAAAGGGGTAATTAGGTCACAAACAAATAAGATCACCATTTAGCCTGTTTACTAGCTGTATTACAAATATCAACAATTAGTGTTCCTGGCCAAAAAAAAAAAGCAATTTAGACATTACTGCAGACAAAATTTTCCTTAAATACATACACTCTGAAATTACTAAATCATCTTCCTTAACAATACTGATCATAACTGACAATATTTTATAGTGGCACTGAGAAACAGGAGGCATTAAAAAATACAAGGTATGGTGCTTATCTGGAGCAGTAACAATGTATGGCAGTATCCAAGTCTATTTGGATGTATTTATGCAACTTAGAGCAGGAAGCATTTCTATTCCTGAATTATAAGCTCTCTTGCTTACTTGTCATATAATGTAAACCCTAAGGTTGGGTTTTCTGGGTCTTGTTTTGCTATGGGCTCTTGTTTTGCAAGAGGATAGTATGGGAAAGAAGGCTTTTATACAGTGAATGTTAAAAGACACTTAAGAACTTATGAGAACTTAGCACATGACACAGTGCTATCACTAAGGTTGTTCAAAATGAACAAATCCTTTCTTTATCTTTGTGACTAATATTAATAGTCACTATAAATCCCAAATGTTCTAAAGTACTCAGACTTATATAACTGATTCCTCAAAAAAATCATGCAAATAAAAATGTTGACTTATTTTGATGATCTATGCAATATAAACATTGCTGTTTACAATTTGAAAAATAACTCCTTATATCAAGTAATTATCAAATAGAAATCAATATTAAAATTCTCACTTTCCTAACTTTTAAAATGGGGCTCCTGGGCCCTCCCTGGTGGTACAACCAGTTAAAGTGTAGCACAATGAAGCTAACCACAGTCACTTCAGCGTAAGTTCAATCCCTGGCAGGGAGAAAGTGAACCACATGGCACAGCAGACTTCTCCTGTCTCATCTGCTGTTCCCCTCAGCAGTGTACTTCTTCACTCTGCCTGTTCTGCTCCCCACTGTCTGGTGAATCCTCTCACTGCCCCTGAACCTCTGACCTGTACTCCAGTTCTGTATGCATACACAAATAAATCTTAAAAAAAAATGGGGCATCTTCACTAGTAAAAGTTAGTGGTTACTAGACGAGAAGGGGGAAGGTGGGTGGTATATCAGAGGAAATGGGTTAATTGTAAAGAATAAAGCTGGACTTTTAGTAGTAAACTTAATGCAAGTATATATACATGACTGACTTCAAAGGATGTACATCTCAAACTGCTATTACTCCAATTTAAAGAAAAAGCAAATACTATATAGAAAATAGTAACTTTAAATAAATAAAACATTTTGTTTCGAAAATAATTTTTTGAAATGTTAAAAACAAAAAGGACAAAATCAAAATGAAAATCAACCAGAACTCCCAGTTATTTAATTGCACCCTCTGCTGGCTGTGTAGGATAATGCACTATTGATACAAGAAAGAAAAACAAAAATGAAGCTATTTTTATTCATAAAGTTAGAGGAATTCTTCTATCCCTATTATAAAGCCAATATTTAAAACATAAGAAATCAATATATATCTCAATGTATCTTGTTACACTATTTTTAAAATGCTAACGTAATATATTTAAATATCTAAGTTTTCATCAATGATTAGTCACAAACTTTCCTAAGATAATTTTTTGCAGCAGTCACTAGAATTAAGTGTATCGTTCACAGAACCAAAGAAATATGAATATAACAACCAACAAAAAAACTTGAGAACCTGCAGAATATGATCTTTTATAATGGGCAGTTCCTGACTCATTTACCTCATTGGGCTTTAAAAGTATCTTGATTGAGATATATATAAAAATGTAGAATGCCATACAAGCTATTTTCCCTCAAATGTGCAAGTCTGGATTCTATGCTAAACCAGGGCAAACAAAAGTAAAGGTGTAATTTCTGACCCAGAAGAAGATACAGTAGGGGCTCACATTTTACACTGGGGAATTTCAAAAGACTTAATATTTTTTGTTTGTTTGCTTTGTTTTTTAAGATTTATTTATTTATGCATACAGACTGGGGTACATGCAAGAAGTGCAGGGGCCGTGAGAGAGGTTTCACCAGAGACAGAGAGGGGAACAAAATAGGAAGACCAATGAAGTACACAAAGAGAGCAGGTCAGGAGAGTTCTGCCGCGCCATGTCCAGCATCTCCGAGGACTGGGGTCAAACTCGCACTGAAGCGGCTGTGCTAGCTTGCAGTGCTGAAGGCTAGTATGTTTTATACGAAGTGAGGTATGAAGCATATAATGCTGTGTGATAGACACATAAACAAAAGATCTCATCTTCTATTACTATTTTTTAAAGTTATTTTACTTTATTTTTTTAAGAATATAATAGTTTATTTTTGCATCATTTTATGCCCTTTTCCATCTCAGTTGTAATCCCCATGGGCTTCCCATCACCTATTCTTTTTTTTTTTTTTAAAGATTTATTTATTTATACACACAGAACTGGGGTACAGGCCAGAGATCCGGGGGAGGGGGGGAGTGGTGGTAACAGGATTCACCAGAGACAGAGTAGGATGCAGAACAGGCAGACTGACGGAAATACACTGCTGAGGGGAGCAGCAGGTGAGTCAGGAGAGATCCACCACACCATGTGAGTCTCCCCCCTGGCTGGGATCAAACTTGGACTTCAGCGGCTGTGACAGATTCATAGTGCTGTGCTTTAACCTATTGCATTACTAGGGAGGGCCTTATTTTATTTATTTATGCATACAAGAGCTTGGATGTAGACCAGAGGTACAGAGGTATGTGTGTATGTTTTTGTGTAGGTGAGATATTTCACCAGAGACAGAACGGGGAGCAGAACAGATGGATTCAGTGAAATACATTGCTGAAGGGGAGCAATGGGTGAGACAGGAGAGGTCTTCTGTGTCACATGGGTCAGCTCCCTGGATGAGGATTGAACTTATGCTGCAGTGGCTGCTGACAGCTTCAAAGTGCTGAGACTTAACCCCTTGAGCCACTAGGAAGACCCTAAAATTATTATTCTTGTTTCTACAAAGCTTTAAATTGTTAGGTTTAAATACTGTGATGTCTTTCTGCATTTGTTAGAATGGTTATTATCTAAAAAACAAGAAATAAGTGTTGGTGAGGATATGGAAAAATGCACTGTTGGTAGTAATGTAACCACTGTGGAAAACAGTATGGAGATTCCTCAAATATTAATAGAAATACCATATGATACAGTTATTTTACTTCTGGCTATTTATTCAGAGAACACATAACTGCTAATTATACATGTACCTCTATGTTCACTGTAACATTATTTACAATAGCCAAGACACAGAAACAAGTTAAATGCCCAGTGATGAATGAATGGCTGGTGTGTATATATATATATATATATATATATATATATATATATATATATGTATGTATACACATATACATAAAAGAATACTACCCAGCTATTAAAAAATTAAAATCTTGCTATTTGTGATAATACAGATGACCTAGAGTTTTATGCTCAGTGAAATAAATCATATGAAGAAGAGACAAATATCATATGACCTCACTCATATGAGGAATATAAACAAAAACAAAGCCAAAACAAACTCTTCAGACACAAAACACTGACTGGGATTATTAGAGGAGAGGAAATTTAGGGCGGGTTAAAAGATTAAAAGGAGCCAACTGTATGGTGATGCTTGAGATGCAGTACACAGAGAATTGCATGGTTGTATGCTGGAAACTGATATGTTATAAACCAGTGTTACTTCAATATATTTTTTTTTAAAGTACACTAGAATTTGAGAGATTAACTGACCAAGGAACAAGTTTGGAAGAAACTCCCAAAATAGCCAGACATCATTCATTTTATGGCAACAGAAATTTAGTTACACAGTAGTTATACAGTAATAGCATTGTACTAGCACATAACAGAGGGCTATGTCTAGAGATACTAATGTTTGTTTGCAGATAGTAGCATTACAAACTAGAAACAAATTTTTCCAACTGAAAAAAAAAAAATCTGTGAGATTCTAAGTTTATGAAATAGTATATGCAGTCTGAAATACAAAAGAAATACACCATGTTATCTAAGATTCAAATGAGAAAAAAGTGGAATAATATTTGGTAGAGCAGACTTTCTTAACCTTAAATGCAGCATGAGTAAATCTAGTTTTTCTGCTCAAGATGTAATGTAAGTATTACTCAAATACCTTAGAACTTCTTCTGCTTGCCAAGCTGCATCTTCTTCTTCTTCCCATGCATTGGTATTTTCCTGCCAGGTATCCAAGTCACCTAATTCAGACTACAACAAAATACCAAACAAAATTATGTAAATAGTTGTCCTCTTTCCCCTTATGTGGCCCATATGATTTGAGCCCAGATCTGTGTGGAACTGAGGGGTCTCCTGCGCTGTAGTAGTTTTCAATAGTCAACAGTCCTGGCAAATCACATTTTCTTTCTATTTTATATATATATATATATATATTTTAAAGATTTATTTATTTATTCATACAGAACTGGGGTACAGGCCAGAGATGTGGAGGGTGAGAGGATTCACCACAGACAGAGAGGGGAGCAGAACAGGCAGATCGACGAAGTACACTGCTAAGGGGAGCAGCAGGCGGGGTCAGGAGAGGTCTACAGCGCCATGTGGTCTCCTCCGGGGCAGGCAGGGATCGAACTCATGCGGAAGTGGCTTTAGCTTCTCAGTGCTGTGCTTTAACCCGCTGCACCACCAGGGAGGGCCTCTATTTTTTATTTTAAAGGATCTCTCTCTCTCTCTCTCTCTCCCCCCTTTGGTTTTTGGAATGGATAATTAGATTATTTTCTGTTTCTCTTTCTTTTCAGGGAAGGAAGGGGCAGAAGGGTGGTAGGGAAGGAGACAGACTGAACAGATATGTTTGATGGGACTATGCTACTCTAAAAAGGGAGAACCAAAGTCTCCAATCTAGCAAAGTAATCTTTACTTAAGCATAATTAATTTAGAGACTTTTCAGGGGTACTTACCAGGCCAACAATGACAATCAGGCCAACTTTTGTTATCAGAATATTCCTCTATATTGTTATTCCTTTTGCTTGTCCCACCTTCCTAACAGCATCTGGTTGGCCACTACTATTCTACAGCCCAGAACTCTAAAAGCTCACTTTTTTCTTCCATAAGACAAAGAAAATACTCAATCTAAAACATTTATTTATGTAAGGAAATGACTGTGTGTATAAAGGGTATTAATCTGTGAATATATTATATTCTCATTTGAGTATTTATACCTAAAAGTGAAATAAAATATATTGCTTTTCCCCTCCTAACTAGAAGTATATCATCCTCTAAAAAAATTTCAAGTATCGCTGAATACCTGTTTAATATAAATTTTTAAAAGTAGTATATCTAAGTCAAAAAGTAAGGATTTTTCAAAGCCTTTGAAACAAAATGCAATGACCTTGAAAAGCCATACCAACTTACTTTTCTGACAAGAACAAAAGCCTTGTTATCTCTACCCTCTGCCAGTACTAATAATAATCTTCTTTACTACATATTTGCATATTTCTTAAGATTTAAGAATTGCGTCTTGTGATTTTATTCTAAATTTCTTTCAAGACTAATAATATCAAATTTTTCTTCATCTTACCAGGTGCTGTCTTTTCTTAAATAATCATTTTTCCAAACTAAGGAGTTTGATTTTTAGTGTATCAAAATTTAGATATAAAAAAAGTGACATTACTTTGACCATTAAAAAAGGACTGATATTTGATACTTTAGTAGAGAATGCCTCCTAAGTAAAAAAGTTATAAAGGATAAAACTGACAGACTTTTTACACAATAACAAAATATATTACTTAACAAAATATAAAAGCCAACAAATTGAAAAATTATAAGAAACTGAAAAATTTTCCTGACATAAAATAAATCACATAATATAAACAATAATCTCCAGTGAAAAAGTAGAAAGTGCAGCTTAAAAGAAAATAATTTGTATAATGAGTGGAAGGTATTTTTGGTATATAGAAAAAATTGCAACAGATGGCCAATTTCACCTACGTTATTCCTCTTTATCATGCCTGCTTGGAAGAAAAATATGTGGAAATACCACTTATCCTATTTACTCCTTGACAATTCTGTAAGTGGTTATATATTTATAATTTTATAATGAACTGAATTAGTATTATAATACCTTAGGTGGCAAACATCTAACCACTTTACCAATATAGATGAAACATACATGAATAAAGTCTAAAATTTAGAAAATAATAATAATATAAAGTAAAATATTAACATTATGATGCTATTCAGAGAAACAGCTGTGCTCTCAAAACATCTTGTAACTGCACAGGAGTTATCAAAACTTGTAATTTCTATGAGCAATCATTTACACTTACTAGTCTCCCATACTAGAATGTTGCTTCCAAGGCAAGGACCTGGTTTCCATGTTATTAATAAATAACACAGTGTCTGGTGTTAGTTGGAGACCTGCTCATCAATGAATTAAAAACATACATAAACAGGCACCTGTGCAGTTTAAACAAATAAGATAGAGAGAGAGAAAGAGAGATAGACGTGGTGGTTTAAAACTATGTCTTCATATTCTTTTTCAAGTACTAGATCTTCATTCTCCCTTTGCATGTGAGCTGGATTTAGTGATAGCTTCCAATTAATAAAATATAAAGAGGGCAGTGTATCATTTATAAGGCTAAGTCATAAACAAGCACTGAGGATTTACTTGCATATTTTCTCTCCATCACTTGATCTGGGAAAATCGGTGGAAATGCCAGAAGGAAACTCAAAAGAGTGTCGCTATTATAAACAGCTGATAACAATACAATCAAGTACGGTTTAAAGTATGCTTAAGCTTAAGCTTAGGTCTTGGAAGGATCTGAACATTGCTAAAAATCCAAAGCATATCCACTGATACGCTTCTTGTCTTTAAAAGTATTGCATTTCAGGCACTCATTTCAAGTCACATCACACTTAGAATAAATTTTACAGAAAAACATGCCATAACTCACTGAGAAGTGATATGTTTTAGGGTTAAAGTTCATATTTTAGTGGTAATCTCTCTGAGGTTAATATTTCTAAATAACATTCTAACTTTATATGATTGTTTACTAATCTTAATATCTGATATACACTGTAATCTCAAAATGTCAGAATTGGTAGAACCTTAAATCTCTCTAAAATTTCTAAACTTTTTCAAGGTGAAATAACTACAAATATTATGTTAAATTGAGTTTGATTCTTTTCTTTTTTTTCTTCTTTAAAGAGAATAGAAACAAAGTCCTTCCTAGAAACTCTGCCATTAGCATACTTACAGACTGATGTATAAAAGGCAAATCTTGAGTAGCTGCTAATCTGCTGGAGAAACCTGTACTACCATCGGAGATGCCAAAATTTAAGGGCTCTCTCTTCTTAATGATGATCTGAAAAGATTAATTAAAACATAATTGTAAAAATATTTTATAAATCAAAAGAAAATAATTAGCTAATCAAACTATTTTGAAATCACTTAAAATATGCTTTATGCTTCTTCTTTTAAAAATTACTCTGTGAAAACTAAAATAGTCTATAAAGCATACCAAATTTCAGGTACCTGTCACACAAATCAGTTACATATTGAGAAAATTTCATTTTATTTGACAAAAATTCTTATCTTCCTCCCCTAAAATATAATTAGGCACTTTTAGTCACTGAATTAAAGAAGAACATGTATCACTTCCTACATAACCAGTAGGATAACCAGTTCTCTAAGGGTGTGGATACCTCTAAGTATGTGCATTAAAGTCTTTTAGGTTAATATTAATTTTGTTGCATAAAGGCGATTTCATGCTAATTATTTTATTATGGTACTATTTAAATACACTGGATTCCTATTGAGAGCAGTAATATACTTTCACATTACAAAATTTTCATCTACTGAAAAACTCATATAAAGGTTTCTTGAAGAATAAACAATTTAATGCATTTCAGCACTGAGACCTTTCAATACTCAACAAAAACAGTCTGATTACTGAATGGAAATTTTATCATGCTTGGAACTATGAAAATAAATGTACAGCTAAAATCAGCTGGGAAGCAGAAGGATGAAACCAGAAAAACTGCGTCATGACTTTTCCAACAACCCAATACCGATATTTGTAGATTCTATTAAGGTTAGAACTCCAGCTTACTCTCATAGTTTAATCTACTGAGAAGAACAGATTTCAATAAATTCTCCGACATAATTTTAAAAGGCTTAAGTGTACAACTTAACACAATTTATGTCTATGTCACTTGAATATACTAATTTCTTTATAACAGAAAACAAAGCAAAGTGATTATATGCTCTCAAACAAATATTAATGATAGTGCCTAATTTTAAATATAAAAATCTGAAAAGAAGTTTAATAGTTTAATCTCCAAAACCACAAATCTTTAGTAACATACTTTCTGTGTTTTCCTGATGGTTGGTGCCATGTCCTTAAAATAGTCAGGTTCCAGCTGTTCCAAAGCATTTTGTTGTGTTGCCACATTCCCATTCCCTCCTTCAATCTTTATGCTTGTGGGTGCATCTTCATCCCAGGAAGTCCATTCTTCAACATCTGTCTAAATTTAATTGATCATATTGTGAGCTACCAAGAGGGAAGCTAATTAACATTTGATAAATCATTTGTTAGAAAAATGGGCTTTCTAAGTGATTTTCAAACTTCTTTGACCAACTAGGAAAGAAAACTTTTATAATACATGCCAAACTTGACCAAAGGCTTAAAAAAATATTTCTACAATGAACTAGACATTCTATTTGCTCCATTAAAAACACAAAAGAAAATACTTTGCAAAATGAACTAACATCAGAACTGCAGCCCACAAAAGGAGAACTGGACCTTGTGATATAAGTAGCCTATTTGTAGTAACTGTCTATAAAGCAAAATCCACCAACATTTTGATAGAACTTACAGAAAATGATGTCTTAAAATATTCAGAAAGGGCACAACACAATATAAAATAATTCAGCAAAGAAAGTCAGGAAATCTCAACTCACATAAAAAGTCAGTGAACAGATGTTAAGTCCAAAAATGAAGTAAATGCTAAGACTTTGAAATAGAAAAATGCTCCAATAAATCCAGTTGAGACCAAAGATATGGAAAATAAACTGAAAAGTTCTAGGACCAAAAAAATGTAACAATAATTCTGCCCTTGACTATAAAAATAATTTTATGACACAATACTGGTCTACAAACTTTTAATAAATATTTCTAGAATATTTATTCAACCATAAAAACAAATTACCTGTTTAGGAACTGACGAATAATCAACTGTAGTTGGCAAAGTTATTTGGTCTCCACTTAACTTCCGTCCTCTACCAGATCTAAAATAAAGAAGAAGTTACTTATTTCAACAATCACCAAAACCAGCATGCGTAAAAACACTATGGGTAGTAACCTAATGCCTGTAAGAGAAGATCTTAACAAAACTATAAAATGGTCACTTAGCCAGAGAAGACATTTCTCAGCCTTCTTTGCAGCTAGGTGGTTATATGACCACGCTCTGGACAGTAGGCTAAAAATAGAAACAGTGCAAATTCTAAATCCTGTCCATTAAAGAGTGCTGAGTGCCCTCCATTTCCTTTTATACTCCATCCCACTCTTAGTGTGTCATTACTTTTTTTATAGTACCACTGAGCCAAAAGAAATGCCTAATAATCCCACTGATTAAGTAGTTAGATTAAAACAATATAATACATTTACGTCCAAATTACTTAGTAATTATTTAAAAAACAACACATATGCATAACATATATAAAGAAAAATAGTAATTTTTATTTTATTCTTAAATAAGCAGTTACTTACTAATGGGAGATGTGCCTTGTAGATTCTGCACAGCTCCTCAAACTAGGGAATCAGATTGAATACCACCACCCTTATTTTCTGCTCCATAATAATATAAATTAGCTTAATGCAATTTTACTGCAACCTAAAATCTAGCTTTGCAATGGATTACCAAAAGGATCTAGCTTTGGTTGTCAAAAATAGGTCACCAAAATACAAGTAAACAAACCTTATCTTATAGTGAGGAACATTATTAAAAGGTATCCTGTAGGATCTACTGTTGCAAATATTAACTATCTGTGACAGCAACTTACACAATGACTATTATCAACAACAGTGTGTTTTGAAGGAAATTTTAAACATCCACTGGAACCCTTGTAAATTTAATATCAAGTCCTGGGCTGCCTTAGTACATAGTTTAGGGACTATAAATCTAGGGTAAGTGTGACAAAATAGAAGGAATTCTAGTTTTGGGACATCCTACTGAAGCAGATTATGATTTATTTTGCCCTGGTCTATCTACATATTCTGAAATATTACTTAACAGCCCTTCCTCCCACAAAATTTAGGTTGGAAACCATTGAAGTCTTTATTATAAAAACAGTATTCACATTGCAGCATGTAAAAAAATGCCTACACTTCATTCTACTTACCTAAACACTATGATAATGAAATAATTATGTACATAAAAACTCCTTTTAATAATGAAAGATGATTTACATTTTTATGTAATTTTTTATTAAAGTAACACTGCATTATAATATTATATAAGTTTTAGGTATGCATCATTATAAACCAACAGCTATGTATATTAAATTAAGTTCACAACAAAAGTCTAATTCTGCCCTTCATCATACCACTGACACCTTTTATTCAGAGGCTTACTTATTTCTGAAATTTTACAGTACCCTGGAGTATAGTGTTAATATTTCCATTAGTACTGTTACTGGAAAGTCTAAGATTTTGAAAAAATGAAAAGAAATGAACCTCTACTTTCTAGGTATGAGATAGAAAAAAATATACTAGAGATTAATGAATGAATTCTGCAGCCAACATAGTGTAAATCTACTCTATCCTATTTTTTTGAAGCTATATGTCAGATATCCAAAACAGCAAGGAGACAAACAGGTCAGTTTGAACATAAAATTTGTTTACCTGCATATTAATCTCTTTAGGAATGAGAATACAGTAGCTAGGCAGGTACAAACTTTAAACAGCCGAAACTGTGTGATAGCCATGGTGGGAGTCAAAACCTGTGGAAATGCACAAAAATAAATGTATTGAGTTGATTTTATAAGTTTTACATCTACGCAACCTGAAAAGTCTTATCATGAACTGTGACAATCAGGTGTTTTCTTTTTTCCTAGAAACCACAAATATAACAGAGCAGATAAAGTTAAAAGGTAACTATTAAAATTTTCAAAACTAGACTTTTTAAAAAAGTTTTCAGTACTAGGAAATAAAAGCGTTACTATGTAGAAAATTCAATCTACAATCAATCATAATGTTGTATGTTAACAATCTGAAATTGAAATTTAAAAAAATGTTATAAAAGCATAGCAATTAAATATTTAGTGACAAATCTGATGAAGACTTATCTATTAAAAGTAATATAAGGAATAAAATTTTAAGGATTTGAATTAAAGAGATATTTCATGGCTCAAGGATTCATTGTTATTAAAATATCAAGTCTTCCTAAATTGAGTTATAGATCAAAAGCAATTCCAATCAAAATCTCAGCAGGCTGGCTTTCTCTCAGTAAAACTTAATAATCTAATTTAAAAATAATATGAATGCACTCATGTAGTAAAATTCAAAAGAAAATGCAAAGTATCTCTAACGGCCGAATTGAAAAAGAATAAAGTAAAGAAGGGTTAATATAACTTGATTTCAAGACCTGTTATAAAGTTACAGTAATTAAAATGGTGTAGTATTAAAATCAAAACAGAAAAATAGACTAATGGAACAGAATGGAAGGTACAGAAGCAGACCCACATACTTACAGACAATGAAATTGGGCAAAGGTATAAAGGCAGTCCAGGGAAGAAAAGCCAGTCTTTTTGACAAATAGCCCTGAAAAAGCTAGTGCTGTATGTGAAAACAAAAGCATGTTATTCCACCGTAAAAAAAGGCAGAGTGGATTGCATGTTAAACCAAGTCACAAATTACAGGTGCATGCATACACACAAATGAGTAATGTTTCTAATAATGGAATTATATGTTTTAATTTTTTCTTGACTTTTATTTTTTGAGGTAGAAAACTGCCGAGTAACCATTTAGAATTATTATTCCCGTACTGGAATAACCTGAATATAATATCCAATCTCTTGATTTTCTCAACCAGCGAGCTAAGATATATATACAGAAGTGGACTCTTCTGGTCAAGAAAGACACAGTGCAGAGTTCTAAGAGGTTTCCCAGGCAAAGATGATGTATTTTTGTAGATGTGGAGGTGTTACGTGATTTAGTGACTGTCTATGAGCCAGCAGGAAGTAGTCTACTAGTTGAGAGGATGGAAAGAACAGAACCTCTAAAATAAAGTGAACCAGGAAATTATTAAGAAGTTCAAGTAATCAAAATAACTTGAGTCAAAAACATTTCCGTGGTGGTTTATGAGGCTTCAAAAAATGTAACAAATTTGATTCCTTTTTCTCTTAATCCAAACAGTAAAAAAGACCGTTTTCCATTTTCTAATACTGCCCATACTTTTTCTTATTTCCGCTGCAACTTCCCTAAGTAAGCCTTTACTACTTCTTGCTGAACTATTGTTAAAGTCTTAATTCCAAGATTTTTCTTTCAGCACTTATATTTTCCATTTTGTACTGTAACTATTTCCATCTACTTGCCAAGCCTTCCCCAGAGAATATCTCTAGCTATCATTTGTAAAATAAGATTTCAAAGTTTTGATTGCTTCATTACGAGTAGGATGATCAGAACATTAAAGTGAATAAAACCTTTATCTGAGCGCTCAGTTATCAAGAATAAAACTCTCGACAAAAGAAAACAAACCTCCCGATATGAAAATTTAGCCTAAAGTTTCAGAAAACTTTAAACAAATAAAATTAGTCTGACAAACTGTACAACATATGACACTTGGGGAGCAGAGGTAGCAGAATTGAGCTATGCGAGGGCAAAGACACATAATATTTAAGGACTAGAAGGAGAGGTGTATTTCTGGATATAAATGCATGAAGAGTCAAGAATAAATTTCATACAGAGCCTGGCTAACCAGACATCAGCATCACCTTGTAACAAAATACTGTTGATGTCATTGTTCTGAAAGTATCAGCTCCAATGAGTTCAATAATTGAATATAAAAATTGGGTTTTTTTCCTCAACAACAACAACAAAAAAATAGAAAGTGGGTCTTTCTGAGCAATTACGAGTATTCCGATTCTATAGAAAAAATTTTGTGATTAATGAGAAATTACTATTCATTTACCAAGCACTACGAAAACATGATCTCACTTAACCACCTTATAAAACATCTATTATTGCTCTGATTTCACGAAAGCACATTCTCAAATATCAACATGCAATAATTTAAATTCAAACCTGTTTAAGTCAAAAGCCAAGGATACCTCACTAACATAGTAATTCAATGATATGATTTCCAGTATAAATTTTCCAACCAGCTATACTGAAATAGAATTCAAATTACCTATCAAAGAACATTATTGATTCTATTAACATTGACTAATTCGTAGGCAGGAATATTCTTTGGGACCTATATTTATTTAATGTGCTAATTAAATTCAATGAATATCTACATTCCATACCTATTATATGAGATACTACATTCAGTGGTGGAAAGCATTACTGACCCAGCATAAAGAAATCCTGGTTTGCTGCGGTCACAGCCGGTACATATCTACTCCCATGGATGCAAGGGACTAAGGAGGCAGGACTCCCATCAGTGTAGTTGAGAATGGTATTTGTAGGTCTTAGCCAATACCAAGCACATAATAGGTACTCAATTATTTAATGAATAAAGGGAAGTTAACATTTCTTGAGTACTCAATATACTAAAGGCTTAGTTCTAAACTATGTATGTTCTATCGCTTCAGTGGCTTCCTAACAACAAAGGAAGTCCAGCTATTCTCATTCAATAAATACAGTTGAGAGTGAAGCTTAGATTCATTCAGTTTTTAAAGAGAATGACCCAAAGCCAAGGCTCTCACCACACATTCTACTTGAAAAACTTTCTTTAATGTTACACTCCTTGCTTCAGTGTGCGTTTTGAAGTACCCTCTAGATCAACAGTTTATAAGTACGAATCTGAGGCTAAGTTCCATTTTTTACTTTCTAGAACTGAGATGCGCAGGTATAACCAATTTAAATTAAAATTGCCTAAAAATTAATAGGAAAACAAAAGCTTGAGACATAGACCAGGGTTCAGAACCATAAAGCAATCTATCTACAGGCAGGGCTTTTGAAAATATGTTCTCTGCTGTATCAAGTGAAGCAGATTCACCTACAGCATTTTAAAAGAATGCTGCATTCAAAGCATGAAAGATGTAAATTTCCTCCATGTTAATTCCATGTAAATTACTGGTGAGATCCCTGTAGTCACAGTATCACAATTTCTCAAACAAGCCCAAACCAATGCTCTAGCAACAAGTCAGCAAGAGCTGTTATTTCTACTGTGCTTCTGATTTTTATTTTAACCAAAATTTGAAATACCGTGTGATCCTCAGCATTCTCGGTACAGTGGACCTATTTAGGAATATCACAAAGTACCAAAATTTACTTGAACTCATATAAATTTGAAAAATAGAAGGTCAGCAGCGGAGAGAGCAGGGGACACAGTGGAATGTGAGCGCCAGCTGTACATTCTGTACCATCTCTGGCCCCTCAAATGTCAGGCTCAAACATGTGACACCCATTGAGACGTTTAGAGAGCCCAGGATGACTCCAAAGTTAAGAATTTCATGAGTAAAATGCTTTTAACTTCAGATTACCCACCTGAAATTAACTAATTAAAAAAAAAATCATACCCACTGCACAGATGAGAAAAACAAGCGCGTTTTCAGGTTACACAATCCGACGCCATGCGTAGGGCGTTCTGTGAAACGTTCCAAACTCTGGGAAGTAGATACCGGGCGCACTGGGGTTTAAATTCTGGAAAAGCCTGCTTTGGAGGGGGCAAGGCCTGTAAAGGGAAGGCGAGGAAGGCTGACAAATTTGCCCCGGTGGAGGAGCGGTTGTTTGGGGCCCTGAGGGGCTTCCGGGCCGGCGCCCCGCAGGTGAGTGTCGCCACGTGAGCCCAGCATGGTGCAAGTGCCAAGCTCTGGCCGCTACCAGTCGAGGTTCCCTCACCCCAGTTGTCACCCTGACCCGGAAATAGTACCCCAAAGTCATAGCCGGCCCTGCGAAGGTGGTGGGGGGGCCCGGCGGAGAGGAGAAAGGGAAGGTGGGAGGGCGGGAAGTACGGAGCGAAGAGGGCTGGTGGAGGAAAGGCAGATGACACCCCCAAGGCCAGGTTAGGATAGGGGTGGGAGTGGGGGAGGAAAGCCCCTCGCGGGCGCGCACGAACCGCACACACTCACCTGCCCCTCCCCCTCCCTGCCCGCCCGGCGGAGGCTCCGAGCTGCCGCGGGCCGCGCGCGCACACAAGGCGCGCGCACGCGCGCTGCCGGTCGCTTCCTCGAGCTCGCGCTCCGACCGTTCAGTCTTAGCCCCGCTCATTCAAAGCCGGGCGCGCGCTCCGTCGCAGCCGCCTTTGCCGCCGCGCAGCTGCCATGGCCGTCCCCTTCTCGGAAAACCCTCCCCCAACTCCTCCCCCCTTCACCGTCTTGGAAGGCGGTTCACGGCTGTCTCCAGGTCCTCACTTCCGCACCCCGCCCCAGGCCCTGTGTGGTCCAGTAAGAGCGAGTCTGATGGGCCGGTGTCGGTGCTGAGAGCCAATGAGCACTGGGGGGCGGGGCGAGTGGAGCCAGGCGTGGCTGTAACTGAGGCTAAGTCGTGGGTTGGTTTTTATTTGGGTTTCTTTTTTTTTTTTGGTTTTTTTTTTTTTTTGACGGTTGCAGGCTGTGTGCACTGAACCCAATGCAGAGCACCTGGGCTGCTTCCGTGTCCCCCTTCTTTCTACAAAAAATGCGTCCGCTCCAACCATGTCGCTTTGTGTTTCACCCTCGGGACCATCCTACTGGATGGGACCAAAGGAATTCAGTGTGTAGGTTGCAAAAAATGGAGCTCCCGCTGTCTGGGTTTGATTTGGAAGCTGGTCGGAGGGATCTCATTAGGCCACCTGAGGGGTGTGAAACGCTGAATTCAGTTCAGAATTTGGCCTCCCCAAGCATGTATTAATCGAATTTTCTTAAACTAGATATTGAAAGGTAGCACTTAAACAGGTCCCTGCATTTGGCCCTCGAGTGTAGCCCGCAGCTTTACTCTCAAACTAAGTTGCCCTCTTGTCCTATTGTTGAAACCCGGCTCTTGTTTTTATTTTTATACTGTAAAGGTTACATGGGTAAGGGATCCTCAAAACGATGTGCCTCATAGTTGAAAGCGATTGATGGAGAATCGTTTTTTTGTTTTTTTTTTTTAAAGATCTATTTCTTTATGCACACAAGAACTGGGATGCAGGCCAGAGGTGTGTGTGTGGGGGGGGGGGAGAGGATTCACAGAAACAGAGTGGGGAGCAGACCAGGTAGATTGAGATTGACTGAAATACATTGCTGAGGGAAGCAGGAGGCAAGACAGGAGAGATCTGCCACACCATGTGTGTCACCTCCTTGTCAGGGGATTGAGCTCTGCTGCAGTGGCTGTGGACACCTTCATAGTGCTGTGCTTTAACCTGTTGAGGCACCAGGGAGAGCCCATAGTTTTTATGGACAAAGGCTAAAAGCAGTTCATGCAAATTGTTTCCCGCTTGCCCTTTTCATTTCCTTTTTTTTTTTGCTAGAACTAACTTTATTCTGTCACCCTGGCCAGCACCCATCTACCCAATTAACTTCTAGTATTCACCCTAGGTACCCCTCAGTCCAATCTGTACTGTAATTCTATGAATTCTATGTAATTCTCCTGAAGAGGAAGGGGTGGGGGGATGCTTATATCTCTCGCTCTGGAATAATTGGATCAGTTATTTCTTTTAACCTGAATTTCCTCATCAGTCAAACGACCATAATAATGTTTGCTTCTAGAATGACTAATATTTGCAAAGCACTTAGATATGTGCTGTTGAGACAAACTAGGTAAAATAAATTTCATGATCTGGTAGGATGAGTTGCCCTAAATCCTGTTTGAACAGGTGGATTAAATTAAGGACTCACTAGTTCTGCCCAAATCATTTGGCCTATCACACTGACCATGAGGCGCCCTGATAGATTTTAAAAAGCATTAGATTCTAGCTAATGAGTATCTTGCAATTTCTTGGAGGAAGCTGCGTGCCCTCATGCATAGTTGAATGCAGCCTGTCTGTGCATGCAGCTGCTTAGTCCAACCCAGAACAAGCTAAGGCACTGCCTTCCTCCTCCCTGCTTCTCCTAACTTCCCTCAGGCAGCCAGACTATGTTCTCCCTTCTTGAACCGGCTCTCACAAGCATGGGCTCTCTAATAAAGCCTTCCTGTTTCAACTGCAACTAGTGAATCTTCCCTAATGGGCAAAGGGCCACTCTTTTCTGTTGGTAACTGTAACACTGTTATTGCCACTATTACTACTGTATCACTGTATCAAAATTTCCATTAACTACATAACCCCAAACCCATCAGATATTCTTTTGAAAGTTCACCTGCTCTAACCTTAATCTCTTCAAATGTCTCAATTTCAATCATTCAGTTTACAAAATTTCTTCAAATTCCCCAAAGTTGGTATCCAGAATAGCCAACATTCTGACATAAACATGTTTTTGAATGTTAGAGACTTTGCTTCAAATTATTTTACCTCAATGATACTTTCTTCTTTTTGTATAAGTCTTCTGTTTCTTACTTTGCCACTTCCAAAGGTAAGTAGTAGTACAAATACTTTACCAGAAACAACTTGTTTCCCACACTGCAAACTTAAATTTTATGTTGAAAATACCTAAAAATGGACTGATCCCATATTTGGGCATCATTAGTGCCAGTAATTTGGGCTCTTGCTTGGGGAACCACTGCTTGGAAATGTGCAATATTAAGTTCCTCCTCTGTTCTGGGTACTGTGAGCTGAGTATGAGGCAATTGCAAGTGGAAGGAGCATGAGAATCAAAACTTAACACGGGGAAGATTTCTCCCTGAACTGCCTGTACTCCAGGGTGTACAGTTAATTCTACCTACCCTGTTTGCACATCATTTTGCCTGTGCTGAGACTTCTGATCTGTGCTTCTACTCAGTCCCTAATTGCCAGATTTAATTTATTCTCTCAGCTTCCAACCCATCACCAGATTCTCCCAGTTTTAAACCTAGGTAAACTAGTTCTGAGTTCTCCAGGTCTGGATATTGTCTTTTCTGGGTATTGTATTATCACCTGAACAAAAGACCTTGCATACTAAACAATAACCCTGTGCTTCTAGGTCTCCCCCAACCCATTTTCCTGGATTTTCACTGAAGGGATATATTTTCCTCATCACAATTTTAGACCTGCTGTTCTGAGTTGGATTTTAATGGCTTTTTATTAATGAGCAGCTGTTCCTAGTTGAATATAGATCAGAAAGTCACATTCATTTCAAAACAAAGTCTTAAAGCTCATCTAGTGACAATTTTAACAGATAGATTTGAAAGCAAAAGATTAGCTGTTTATAATTTAAGGGATATTTTTAAGGACTCAATTTCTGTGGTAGAGAATTTTGCTTGCTTTCAAAATAACACATTTTAATATTCTGGTAATTTACTTTTTAATATTCATACTAATCATTTAATAGGATCTGTTGTTTAATAGAGAAACCAAAAAGCCTGAAGCAGATTTTAATTACTTCTTATAAGAAAAATTAACTTTCTATGAAGCATTTGAATAAGTATTTTCCATCATAATGATGACTATAACATATTGTTGTTAGTAAATTTTATTGCTAGTTACAGGAAGATCTAAAGTCTAAGAACAATTTACAGCTACCTAAGTCCCTCCAGAAGAGGCCTGGATAGGAATAAGGAAAAACAATCCATGTCTTTTATTAGAAGTAAAAGATGAACTCTGGCCCTCCCTACTGGCACAACACATTAAAGCACAGCACTAAGAAGCTAAAGCCACTTCAGCAGGAGTTCAATCCCTGCCTGCCCTGAAGGTGATCCACACGGTACAGCAGACCTCTCCTGACCCTCCCACTGCTCCTCTCAGCAGTGTATTTCATCAGTCAGCCTGTTCTGCTCCCCACTCTGTCTCTGGTGAATCCTCTCACCGCCCCTGCACCTCTGGCCTGTATGCATAAATAAATCTTAAAAAAAAAAAAAAAAGGTGAATATTCTACTTCTCTATTCTAGTAGTAAGGTTCAGCAATGTACTACCTCTCGATTAATACTTACATTGATTGCTGTAGCTATAATACAGCTCAGCTATATTATGAGTCAGGTAGACTTGATCTGAGCAGATCTGGTCATCTGAAACTATTATTTTTAAGGATCAATTTGTTGAGATTTATACAACCAATATAAACAAGTTTTTAATATGCTTTACTTTGTATATGAATTGTAATTTAAAAGAAAACTGAACCAGCAATAGAATCCATTTACCTACCCTAGCAGAGTAGACAAGATGGCTTTTACCTTGAACAAGACTTCTCACCTGTAAACTGTGGCTAATGATTCTTACCATATGGATATCTTTTGCAAAGAGAGTGGTATATTGTAGATGAAATTATGTGTTGGAAGCAAAGCAATAAAATTGCTAAAAGCTACCATAAAGGTTTATCATCATCTAGTCAGAATTTTTTAGCTCGGGCAAGGAGTAGGAAAACAGATGTAAATTTTCTGTCATCAGCAACCATCAGAAATAAACATGTTAGTTAAAAGCACACAGAAGGACAAAAGTGGGAACAATGGCTTTGAAGTTAACAGTTCTGAGTTAAACCTCTGCCACTATTGCCCATTTTGCTTTAAAGAGCAGCAGTTAGAAGCACAGCACCTATGACCCTTACATCCTCTCTCTTGCTTTTTCTCACAACTCAAAGAATATTTTTCTCATAACACATCTGTTGCTAAATTCTTTCAAAGAACTTGATCTTCTCAGTGTCCATGACTTTAACAATGTATAATGTTTCTGCAGATACTTAGGGGAGTGTAGCCTGAGTAGAGGCCGTTTTCAATGGGAAGGATAAGCAGAGGTCTTTGCACTGTATCCAAAGGCCTGTCCTATAGATCCCAAGAAACCTCTTCTTAGGATACTGGCCAGAGTTTGGCAGGCCCAGAAATCCAAGGTAATCTAGGATTCCTAGCTGAAAAAGAGCAACTTAGTCTGAAAAAAGGGCTAAAACAATCCAATTTCTCCAAAATCTTTAGAAATTAAAAAACATTACCGTCTTACTGAGTGTTAAGTCTGGCTTTATGCTTTCGACTCAGGGTATTTATACTGGCACTTTCCTCTGCCTGGAATCTCTTCCACATATATCTAAGTCTCTTTCCCCTGGGGCTTCCAGATCTCTGTCTAAAGAGCTTATCAGGAAGAGCTTCCTTGACCAGTTTTCAAATCAGCAATACCCTTTGTTCCACACTTCCATTATTTTATTTCTAATATATATATGATATACTATATATTTACTTACTTATTCTTTTTCTACTTTTCTTACTTATTGTCTTTTTCTACTCATTAAAATTAAATTTCACAGAGTTAGAATTTTCTTATTTCTGTTACTGTGATTTTACTAGTTTCACTGCTGTATATTCCTAACATTTTTATAGCAGTGCTTGACACAGCATAGATAATTAACCAAAAATTGTTCATTGGATATATAAATAATGAAGGGGCAGAATAGAATTTCTTGGAAGTTTTTTCAGTTCCTGCATTGGGGGAGGGGAGGAGGGAAGACTCAAGATAACTGAAAAAATCCTGAATCAATTCAACTTACTCTGAAATGATTCACATATGTTTGTGCCAGGTAGAAAGGAGCCTTAAGAAAATAAATTTTGATGTAAAGTAAAAGAAATTAAAATGATGTAGATCAATGGAAACCAGTGTCTCATAAATGGACAGAGAAAAATCAGATCCCAGAATTAATACAAGGATTCAAATACTGCCAATCTGATCTATAGATATTAAGTCAAAACTCAACAAGCTTTTTTGATGACTAAAGGATTGTATGATTTTATAGACACAGTATCTTAGAGTTAATATCAAAGACTTCTGAGGGTTTTTCTTTTTCGAAATGAAACAACATGTAAACATAAGGAATCAAAAATTTATTTCTATGATTAAAGTTAATTGAGTATATCTTATACACTATAAACATATTTTAGCATATTTCATAAAGATGATACAGACATTTTTCTTGTTCGGCAAAATAACAGCTCTTAGTAAACAGTTGTCATATTTTGTGTTCAGCTTTTTCTTCAGGACAGCAATTCAGCTGCTTCCTGAAAGTGAAAATAAGGCAAACACATTTTTTAAGTCAAAGTAGCATTTACCATAATGTAAAATATTTTATTAACTTTAGCTTTTCTAATATTTCATGGTATAGGCAACAGGGCAAGAGTATTAAGCATTAGTATTTCAAAGTTTAGCAATTTAATGCTAGAATCAATTATGTACTCTGTTATGGAACAGTGAAGAGAGAACAGTGGTCATTATAGGCTTTTTTTTCACGTCCCAGTTATGCCATTTTTTTTAGTGGAACTTCATGAGGCTTTCAATATTAAAATATTGTTAATTCAGCATACAAAGGCATATGAAAAGACACCCTGCACCTCATTTTATTAATGGTTAACATGGTCTGCAATTGCATGGGTGGGCTTGCACCCGACCACACTGGCACCCTTGATGGCACTTCCAGTCTTCAGAGATGTGAAAAATAAATTTCTGTTGCTTATAAGTTACCCAGTCTGTGAAGATTGTTACACCAGCCCCAAAGGGCTAATACAATAAAGTTTAAATCATCTTATGTTTTAACTGAAGAATGACATTGCTTAGTAACAAAGGAAAAGTACTTGCTTAACTTTTTGCATCTGTAAACAACCTGCTAGTAAAAATATGCCAGGAACAATACGATTCACTACTGATTGACAGTTAAATGTTCTGAATTTTGTAAAATTCCAACGCTGTCATGAACAAGCAGGATAAAAGTCTTTGAAGATAATTAGCAAATGATGTATTTAAGGAGGAAATGCAAAATGTGTACATTGTAAGCAATACTTATGCCCTTTTTTGAATGCTTTTGAGAAGAGCAAATAATCCCAAACAACACCTGTCACCCTATTGTGAAAGAAACAAATGGTTTTACTCTTATTAGGATTCTGGAGACAAGAAAACTGCACATAATGCAATAGCAAGTGTGCTGGGTATTTGCTTCTAGTCCCTCTGCGCCAAACCTTTCCTGCTCTGTTCAGTCAGAAGCCGCTGGGCCAAAGCTCTTCACACCAGGCCTCTCTCCCCCTTGGCAGCTGGCTCCTAATTAGTTTCTGCCATTAGGAGGGAAGAAAGGATGATTCTCAGAGCCCCAGCCCCTAGTTGTTCTGCTACTTCCAGAACCAGCTTTATTATGTACTTTGGTCCTGACCACATTTATATTTAAATTAAAAAAAAATAGTTTGTCTTTTACTACTAGAGATACCTCAGTATCCTTCTAAATTCCTACCCTACCTCAAGTTCTTCCTAAGCCTTTCTCTGAATTTTCATTTTGACTCAAATATAAGAATCTATCAATATTTAGGTGCCTTATAACTGACAGTATTTATCATCTTTTACTATTTGGAGATAAATATGGAAAGAAATTGATTTTTACCCATATCTTTATAAACCTTTCTCTATATGGACATATGTATATATTACACACACACACACACACACACACACACACACACACACATATATATATATATATATACATATAAATGCAGAATATATGAAAGTCTTTTCAAGGAACGGTTTGGTACCTTCAAGGAGCCATTCTTGAAGGTTGGTTTGAGGGCCCTGGGTGTAGATTATAATTAGCATGTAGAAAGATATTATTGAGGATTTGTGATGACCTTACTATATAGTCTTCAGGGAGATAAATCTGACTGTAGTATGGAGGACACACTGAAATTGAGGCATCTGGAAGCAGAAGGCCATTGTAAGAGGTTAAGTGGGAAGTAAGAAAGTTGTAAGCAGACCAGTACGACTTTAAAGGAAGGACAGATGGGAGACACCATGGTTGGACATGAATGACCAGAGCATCTGAAGAGAGGCGAGACTTGAAGTCGTCTAAGAAGCCTGAGAGATCAGAAAGATGGCGCTGGCGTTAACTGGGGAGGGGTAGCAGGGCAAGAAGCATGTTGGGAGGCACGGGGAAGATGAGAGATCCCAGATGAACATGTTAGTTGAAGAGGTCTTATTTTTTACTTTGAACCTATCATGTCCCTGTTCTGGTGTACCTTTCCCTCCATTTCCTTATCTTACTCATTCTTCATAGTCCCTCTATAAAGTGCTCTCATGGAGCAACATCAACAATTATCTTCGATTATTCCAGCCCGCAGGGACTTCTTCTTCCTGCTAATCTCCCTAACAGTCCCTCTCTCTGCTTGCCTACCACAGCTGGGACGAGCACTTTGATTTCATTGTAAAAACCATAGACACCAACCTCAGTGATTGGTTCAGGAATGGTGGTGTAGCCACATCGTGTCAATGAGATTCTTTGGGACTCTTGCTGGAAGTGTTGGGAAAGTGGCTTATTCTTTCTGTAGTAGGTGCCTGGTTGGTAGAATGTAACCATGACGATCCTGGGGTACCTTTGCTGTGAGAGGTGGTGGTCGAGAGTCTGCCTGGCTGTGAATCTACCACTGAGGAACATGGAGTCCAGATGGAGAGAGGCAGGTTCTGAATAAATGGGTTGAGAACTTGATTCTGGTTGTGCAGACTACTTCTGGACTTGTCAATTAAGTGAGTTAACTTTACCACCCATACAAGTTTGAGCTGAGATTTTGCCTCTTGCAGCAGAAAGAGCCTTGACATTATTGCACCTCTCATTCCACACATCCTCATAAACCTCAGCTGCGGTTATATGCCCCTTACACGCTACCAGATGGAGGCTGTTACTTCCTCAGTGACTAAGACTGTGTCTTTGTGCCTCCAGCAGTACCAAGTCTGAGTGTTGTTCACTCAGTCTTTATTTTGTAAATCTTGACATACTTGAATATGTAAGTATCTCTGTATGTGGAAATACACATTCTTCAAGAATTTAACTGGACTTACCTAAAGTTATGTTCAAAATCAAAACTGCAGCCATAAATATTTCCAAGAGCAACATTCTTCCCACCAGACAGCTAATTACTATGGTCATTATCTGGGCAGTTGGACCCACAGTTGATGCTTTGTTGTTGCTGTTGCTGCCACCACCGCTGCTGCCCCCACTGCCACCACCACCGGACACAGCCTGTGCTGACAGGCTGAAAGTTCTGGACTCCACTCGGGCCACATTATCCAGTATAAATTCAATCTTATAATTTTTTCCTAGAAAAAAATCATAGTATGTGATTTCCTTTTTAAAATTTGTTTTCATACAGTTCCAATTGGGTTTCATTGACTGAAAAATAGGGATTAATTCCAATTATTACAGATCAAAAAAAGATAAACTCATGTTGTTTGCAACAATATGGATAGAGCTGGAAGGGACTGTGCTAAGTGAAATAAGTCAGGAGGGAAAAAGTGGAATGGTTTCATTTTTTTCTTAATGACTTGATGTGTGGGTGTTTTTCTTCAGTATTTAAGAAGGTCCACACTTAGACTTGTGCAAAGGCCATTCCATAGAGAAGTAAAGCCCCCAACAAAAATCCAGATTGAAGACCTTGGGATGTGAGTCTCATCAATCCCTTTAAGCCAACCAAGCCTAGCATGCCCAACTGTAAGATATCTTCAGAGAAATCCAAGACATTATGGAGGAGCAATCCATCCCAACGTCTAACCCACACTACTATGAGCAATGAAATGGTAGTTATTTGAAGCCATTATATTTGGAACTGATTTATTATGTAGCAATAGCCACTGAAACAAGCACTAAGTATGACATAGGTTGCTAGATATTATTATCCATTAGTAATACTATCCATGTGATCAAAGATTAAATGTCAGCTGTTTACTTTCTTCTACCATTTCTCAACTAATTCTCACACCTCCATTTTCTGTGTTAGAAACCACAGCCCATACCTCTTCTAATCTGGTGCCACTGCTTTGCTCTTTATAGAGCTTTAAGTAGAGGCTGTGAAGCTAATCTAATCTGTAAGGGGATTTCCCATGGGGCAGGATTTGTAGGGAGGATCTACCAGAAAGTGTGCAAAAAGATGCTCTGTTAATTTCCTCCTATGCTTTGTTGTTATTCCAATTTCACAGTGGTTCATCTACAAACAGGCTAACTGATTGAACGATAATGAAAAGAGCAGTTTACTTGACCATCCTTACTGTGTACAACCAGTCAACTGAGACCACACTTGATGAAAAAAAAAAAGATAACAAGGAAGAAAAGGGGGAGAGAGAGGACTCATGGTATCATTTTGATGTTTAGCCACAAATTATATGTTCTATTTTCCTTAATTGCTTATTTTCATTTGTCTGTCTTTGCATATTAAGTATATTTTTGTAGGCTAGAATAAATGTTTTCTGAAATGAGGCATAATATTCTGATTTCTGTAATTTATTGGCCAGATTACGGAATGTTTTGTTCACTTGTAATAGTCCTTACTTATGGGCATGTAACTGGGATCCAAAACTCACCTGTTCTAAGGAGAATGAGGTCTGTGTAGTTGGCCCAACAGCTGCTAAATGGAATTGTTGTATTTCCCCTCAGACCACTGATTTGGTTATTATTGACATCCTTTAGTATGGCCTTTAATGTCAGTGAAGTGATCCCAACCGATACACAATTACCCTAAAGAGAAAAAAAGAATAGAGAGAACAGTAACTGCCCTGCTTAAAAAGATCTTTTTCCTTGTAAGATCTGTAAAACTTTATTTTTAAGGCCCTTCCTGGTGGCTCAGAGAGTTAAAGCATAGCACTAAGAAGCTTAAGCCACTTCCGCATGAGTTCGATTCCCGCCTGCCTCAGAGGAGATCCACATGGTGAGGCAGACCTCTCCTGACCCGCCCGCTGCTCCCCTCAGCAGTGTACTTCGTAGATCTGCCTGTTCTGCTCCCCACTCTGTCTCTGGTGAATCCTCTCACCCTCCGCATCTCTGGCCTGTACCCCAGTTCTATATGAATAAATAAATAAATCTTAAAAAAAAAAAAACTTTATTTTTAAAAAATGCCTCACTACAAACTTAAAATCTAGGTCCTTTTCCTACACAAGCAGACAAAATTCATCTGAAAACAACTATTTTTCAAACAGAAAAAGGTGGTATCGACAGGTGGGAGTTCAGCTCCCCAAAGGCAGTGCACCCTCAGGTTGCCATTGTTTCAGATCAGTGGCACTGGCTGCCTTCCAGGATGTGTAGCTTGCTACCTTCCTTTCAATCAATCATGGTCTGAGTTGTAACTTACATCAGAATCTACTGCCTTTACGGAAGGCTGCTGAGAAAATGGTTGTCCTGGCTGTGCTGCCACGGGCTGAGTGATCACAGAGAGTGAGGACACGAAGGCCACGTGATGGACAGGAAATGCAGACCTCTCCACTGGCTGAGCGGTCACCTGGAAACGTCATGAGTGGTGACGTGGTTTCACATGATCTACTTCATTCATTAACAAAATTCATCTTAGCCCAGCTACGGGTAATATCCATATTTAAAAATATGCTTAGTAGGTGAGTTATAGGATTACAATATTTTCTGGAGGTCATATTTAAGAAGCCTTGTTATATTAAAACAGAGCACTTTTTATAACAGTAAATACTTTTTAGGAGATATGCTCATTTTCCAATCAGTTTATCATTTGATTGATACCATAAAAATTAGCCAACAATAAATTACAAAGACATACTCTTTACTGTCTTGAAATTGGGAAAGATTTCAAATTAGAAAAATAAAATAACATTTTAAATAGTTAAGATGCAATTTTCTTGTTGCATTTTCTTACCTTAATCCAGCCAGAATCACTTGGGTTGGGGATAGGATTGGTAATAGACATGGAAGATATATTAAGCCCAAGGATACTGCTGCTTTTTCCTAAAATTACAGCTTGTCCAAGAGAATCAGCAATTTCTTGGAGTTCAGATAACTGCATCTGGCCTATGGTGAAAGTATTTTGATATGCAGGTTATAAGAATATATAAATGTGGAACACATGAGAGTTTTTCACAAGTCTTGCATTGTTACACACACATAGAATTTTATAGTTTTCTCACTGTGCATAAACTAAATATGGTAGACATATTCATGAGTTTAAGGAAATGACAAATTATTTTAGTATGCTTTTAAGTTGGAATTAAAGAAAAAGATAGGTAAAATAGATACAAATAAATGAATGAAAGCTTAATGAAAATATATTTGAATATTGGCCCTCCCTGGTCAGGAAGCTGCACTGTGAAACTAAGCCAAGCTGCAGCTGCTTCAGTGCCAGTTCAATCCCCGCCCCGGGGGTGACCCACATGGTGCAGCAGACCTCTATCTCGCCAACTGCTCCCCTCAGCAGTGTACTTCCTCAAACTGCCTGTTCTGCTCCCGACTCTGTCTCTGATGAAGCCTCTTGCCACCCCTGTACTTTTGGCCTGTACCCCATTTCTGTATGCATAAATAAATAAAATCTTTTAAAAAAAGAAAATATATTTGAATATGTCCTATGTCATTCCTTGTTTAGAAGTGAAAAACCATTATGAGTGTCTATCATCACATATAATTAAAAATGATAAATTCGGGAGTGGAAAAATAATTAGCATTTTGAAATTTATAGCAAGCAAGCATATTAAGAAGTAGTCAGTGTTATCAAAAAATTACTAACAAATTGTTACCTTCCCTGATATAGACCATTTCGAGATTAGTTTTCACCTTGCAAGTAGTTTTCGTTCTCTTCTTGCTTGTCAGTTTCCCTTACACCTGTTGTCCCCCATAATGCTCTTTACCTGAGGAAATAATGCCTCTCTTTACTGTACTAACTTTTGTGAGAAGCCTGGTAGTTGTGCTTGATCTCATTCTTGACTTCCCCTCTCCTTTCCCCACTCTAAAATTAATTACTGACACCTATGTATCTCTTCCACACCTTTGAAATTCCAGCCAGTCAACATCTGGGACAGTACTGGCTTTCAAGATCGAGTCTCTCTAGTCTCCATTCTATTTTTTTTTTAAAGATTCATTTATTTATGCACACAGAACTGGGGTACAGGCCAGAGGTACAGGGGCAGTGAGAGGATTCACCAGAGACAGAGTGGGGAGCAGAACAGGCAGATCGATGAAGTATACTGCTCAGGGGAGAAGCAGGAGAGACAGGAGCGGTCTGCCGTACCATATTGGTGCACTGTAGGTTTTCTCAGGCTATTTGACTGGTGAAAGCCTCCATTTATGCTATCTCCCAGGAACCAGACACCTCAAGTTGAAGAGCACATATGGATGGCCTCAGAACTCTTCTTATCTAGAGACCCCCTTAGTACTTAAGTAATCTCCTCTAAGAGAACTGGAAACTTCTGGAAGCCTGACACTACATGAAGGTGCTAGGGAGTCAGGCATACTACTAGGTGCACATATTTTTCTCCATTTCCACTATTTTGCTGTGATATGCTCTATACCAAGTTGTAGAGTTTTCCTTAAGATTGAACTTCTGTGCCAGCCCATGTCTGGTAAGCACATCATGGATCTTTCCCTCTTCTTGTCCTGTTTTCCATATTCTTAGGATGGAAAAAAAAATGACTAACAAGGTAAGAATGCTTCTAAGGGGGTGGGGGCAGGTAACAGAAGTGGTGCTTATAGAAATTTAGATTACATTCTATAGACAATAAATCACGTGTTTTTTTGTTTGTTTGTTTGTTTTTTGACATTTGAGTGGCTACTACGGTAAATATTAGCTCCTGCTGCCGTAAGTAATGACTTACTAGGAAGTTTGAAGAGTTGGTGAGCAATATCTGTGTGAATCACTGCAACTCTTATACTAAATTAACAGACTATGTGGATTCCAAAGTCCTCATCTTATAGATACAAGGAAGGAAAAAAAATGTACCCTATAACTGGGCAGAGGACATAGGAGAGATCTGTTTACAATACAAACCTATGCTTCCTGCCTCCTTCAATAAAGACAGTTGATCAATACCTCCATTGATTCTCGCTCGTTTTTCCACAGATTAATCCCACAAGGGAATAACTGTCTCACTGTCTAACTGATAGAATTCTAGAATGACTATGTAGCAGCGCACAGGGTCAACACAGGAAAGCAAATCTCCTGAGGGAAATGGGAGACGTCCCCTAAGTGGCAGAAGGTGAGCAGTTCACCAGGAACCCAGGTTTACACACGAGAGCCTGGGATTTGAATGGAAAACATGCTGGACAGACAGAGGGCTGATGCAGGTGTCTGGGTATGAAATGTATACAATTTGAAGGTACTCTTCAAAAAGCAAATTTGCGAGATTTTTACTTTTTGATTTTTTTTATTATGACAGTCAGTGATTGGGCTGTGTTATTAAATGGATTTCTCCAGGGCCTAAAAATTGAAGCTGTTCCAGGACTTGTACAAGGGAAGGGTCTTAAAGCTAAAGCTTCATAAGCTCCCTGATAGAGAATATTTAAGTCTCAAAATGAGATTATACTACATAGGAGGCGACAGCATGGTTGGGAATGAGTGGCTGGAGAAGAAACTGCATATCAGGAGGCCCAGAAAGGACAGTTGCACAGATCAGTAATGACCACCTACCCTGTCACAGAGACTGCAGATAAGAGGGCAACATGAAAAGGGCCTTCCCTGCTGGCTCAACGGGTTAAAGCGCAGCACTATGAAGCTAGCCACAGACACTGCAGCATGAGTTCCATCCCCAGCTAGGGATGGGACCCCCATGGCACAGCAGACCCCCCCGTATTGCCTGCTGCTGCCCTCAGCAGTGTATGCCTGTCAATATGTCTGTTCTGCTCCCCACCCTTCTCTGGTGAATCCTCTCACCTCCTTTACCTCTGGCCTATACCCCAGTTCTTGTATGCAGAAATAAATCTTAAAAAAAAAAGGGGGGGGGAACATGAGAGTCTGAGGTCAGAGAAGTCCCTTGGTATTTGTTCTTTTCATTATCTGACTCTTTCTCATCCTTAATCTCTTGGCTGTAAGGCCACTTCTCAGATCCTTTATATTAAAACCAATTATTTTGCTGAATTTACTAATCACTACAAAAACAAAAATAGATGTGGACATTTCTTCAGAAGCCCAAAATAGTCTGGTCTTATAGGGGTAGGGCAGGGAGCATGGTCTCTAGACTCTTACTAGGTTTTGGACTTGGAGTTGGTGGGATTTCCGAGGCCTGGCTCACCAGGTCACACTAGCATCAATCTCGTTCTTACACTCCTCCTTCTCAACTGTCTACTGTTCATACCTGTGGTGTCATTGCTTAGAGACTGAGGGGGCGGATCTCCAATCTCCAGTTCAACTGTGAGTCCCACAGATCTCTTTTTCCGCAGACTCTCCCCTTGTATTATTTTGCTGATACGAATTTTGTCACTTGGTATCTTTAGGAACAAAGCAAGATTTCTAACCAAATTGTGAGAGCTATAGAAGTCATCTTCTGTGACGGTAGGTAACTGGAAGGAAGCAAATATGACTGCAGTTGTGTGGATTTCAACAGGTATCGTTCCTTTAACCAAAAGGTAAAGCATCTGGTAAGTTGGGTCATAGTAGTTTTCACCAAGGAGAGTAGAATTCAGGTTAGGAAGGAATTGTTCTAGGGAGGAAAAAGAGCCCACAAATAACAGTTAAAACATTTAAATTAACACTATCACCATGAATATTTAATAGATGTTCAAATTTAGGAAATTCTAAAAAAGTTCAACATTATCATTCCTTCATAAGAAAGGAAGCATATTGAAAACACAATACTTACAGAATGGACATTCAGAATTAAAGCTGACCATTTAAACTATACCATTCATAACAATTATAGAATATACTTACTTTTAAAATTAACCTGCTATCAATATAGTGTAAATGAAAATTAAAGTCTAATTATGAAGCCAGGAGCCTCTGCTGTAATATTACTTAATTGCTCAGGATTTTAAAGCCATGGCCAAAGGCATTTGGTAATTTAAAAATGTAAATTTCACTTTAATAGTCATGGATTTTTCTGAGTTCTAAATAACAACTCTTATAGAGCATTTAAAATTCAATGACTCTATGGTTATCAATGACAAACGTATGTAATACAAATGAAGTATATGCTAATATGTATGTGAAGATTCTTGTCAAAGTGATTGAGATTATTATACATTTCAAATGAGCAAATTCATACACAATTTTATGGTAAAGTATCAAAAATGTTTAAGTGGTAATAAATCCACTAATGTGTCTTAAGCCAGACAAAGGCTGAACTATATAATGTTACCAGAATGAAAGATACCTTCTTATAACATTTCATTGTGACACTAACAAAAGGAAATGAAAAGTTTAGAAATATGGTAAATATTATTAATATAACAGACATTCATATCAGTGGTGTTAAGAAATCATTTCATTTTTACTATATATTTCTTCAATATCTGTTGGTGTAAGTTGTAGATGTTATTTGTTTTATCCTTTCTGCAAATCTGCAGAGTGTGCTTTGCGTTATAAATTGAAGCAGCTTTCAAGCTACAGTTAAGAGGTGCATAAGCCATTCATCCTCATGTCTTCACAGTAATGAAAGGAAACAAAGGCATAGCTAATAAAGCATTTGTGTAGTCTAAAAAAAGTATGCATACATTGACAATATAGGGCATTTGGTATTTTACATTCCAAATGCCAAGCAAAATGTTCATTTAAAAGCAGTGCTATTTCAAATAAATACAATCTACAAGAGGACAGTGGTAGTATTTGTTTTTCAGCTTTTCAATACTAGTGTAGCCAGTTTTCTATATGAAATTCTACCCATTGAGATAGTTTCCATTTTCTAGACTTTGAATGACAGAACACTTAGTATCAAAGGTATTTCTTAACAAAACAATTAAAATTTATGAAAATTAAGTTGTAAATATATGCAATCAATTATGGAATGGAGATGATCCCAGGAGGCAAAGGAATGTCCCACATACACACCAGAAAAAATATTCTCATCATTTGTGCAGAGAAGAGTTCTATTAGGAGTGGTCTTTCAAGACACACAAATTATGAATGAACACATCTTAGTACTTGATGGGACATGGCTGAAAAGTTATTTTCTCTTGAATGTATCAATGACTAGGGAGCTAAAAATATTAATGTTGAAACAGTACAAAGAGTTTCATGTGTAATAAGGTATGTATATGATGTGTACTATTTTTTTTTAAGGAAATACCTGTAGAAAGATGTCTAGTAAGCTCACAGTATTTCTGTAGGGAGTTCCATATTGTATTTTTGGGACAGACCAATACTTTGTTCACGTAAACATCCAAACGCTGAAGTGTTGGGAAAAAAATTCCTACCAGAACAGCCTGTTAAAAATGAACAACATTTTGTGTCTTAAGAGAGCAGATAACAAAGTATTTAGAATTTTGCACTTTAAAATGTCCTTCAACAATATATACTGCCTGTAAAATATTGAAACCAAAGTTTTTTGGATTTCAGATAAATATTGAAGACGTAAAATGGACTATAAAGTAGACATTCAATCATTCATACAGGCCTTATAACTTAACTCAGTGATTTTCAGTAGAAATGTGCAATGTAAGAAAGAAATTATTGGAGAAATGTTTCTAAATTAAAGTAAGGCTTTCTTTCAAATAGAAAAAACTTTAACTCTAGGGTCAGAGGGGAAAGAGGAAACTTTCCTCTTTGTATTCTGTACAAGGCAACCAAAGAACAGAGGCTTGATGTTGAAAAAATGCTTTCTCTCTCAGAAAATTTCAGTAGTAAGACTAATAAAAATCAGGAGAAGAACTATTCTTTCTGATTTAATTTACATTTCCCTTTAATTATAAATTAAATACAATTTAATTTATATTTCCCTTCTTTCATGCCATTTGATATAAAGGAGACTAGTTTTTGAAGAACAGGAAGGAATTAATAAGCTACATGTAATTTTGGAATCTCCTTTTGAGATTGTCTCTGAGTTCAATATAATAAATGTCACACTACTTTGTAATCATTCTATTTTAAGAGTTAAAAATGGAGTGTCTATCTGAGTTAGGCACTACTTTTGGATTGTCATATGTCCCTGCTCTCATTGAGTGAGGAAAGAGACAATACATAATAGAAATAATGATAATTAATGTATACAGGCTATTAGCATATAAATACTATGACTCAAAAGAAAATATAGCTCAGAGAATGACTAACAGGGAGAGTCTAGCAGGGGCTGGCGGGCTGGTTGGGCAGCAGGCAGGTTAGACCTCTGAGGTATAATGTGGATATATACTGATTTTAAATAAAAATGCAGATTTGCCTGCTAATCACACAAATCATAGGCCTCACCATCACATTTCATAATGGGAGCACTGCATATTTGAAGAGGTCGTACATGCTTTACACTGATGAAAACTTCTGAGCTAATTTTCCTTTATTAGGAGTACATTGATGATCCTTGCAACTGAGCTCTAAGACTGTTTTAGAGAACAGGGGAGGAGATATAATGCCTCATGCATCTGGAAATACATGCAAATAATCAATGCAACAATTCCCAAGAAATTATTCTTACTGTTCCTTACCTTGCTCTGGTCAACATTAAGCAGTATCAGTCGAAGATTCTGAGGACTGGTGCCAGTGAAGTAAACCTCATAAGATTTGTTTAGAGCCACAATGCTATGAAACAGAGAGAGCCTTTTTTGGCAAGTATATCCAGAACACCAGCCATGATCCTGTGGACCTAAATCCATATAAAATGAAAAGTTCACTTCCTGCACTAGGAACACAGATAGTACAAAGTCTCCACAGTAATTACAGTGAAATAAATTGCAATGACTAAGTTGAACATTTATGTCCAAATATCCATCCATCCAATTATTCATCCATTTCTCAACCTTTGGCTTAAGAAGGAAGGCAGAAAAGTAACTCCTTTCTATTATGCTTACTCCTGCACTGGTTAGGTTAAGTAGGTAAACTAACATGCTGAGAATTTGTACAGTAAGACCACTGAAGAAAATAGTAGATTTACATGAATCTCTATTTTAAAATCATATTTAAGTTCAGGCGAGAAAGAAAATGCTTGATCCATTCTCCTGCCTATCAGCAATGAGATTGGGCAAGGAATCAACTTTCTCAGGCTCAATGCTGAGACATACATTGTAAAAAGAGTTTCATGATTAAGCCTTCCAAGGATTCCTGAAAATTGAAAACAATTAGATCTCACGTATCTTAACTATCACAGTATCAGTTTTTCTTTTTTTAATTCATGTATGGCAAATTGTTATTTTAGAGATAGGCCGTATATTTCTTAAAAACATCTATGCCATCTATCAGTGCAGATATGAAAATCACTCAAGGTACCTCTTTCTTCTTCTAATGGCCAATTTGGAATACTGTCCTGGCTTACTAATATAGGTAGCTTCTAAGAGTCAAGTAGCTCACCTGTAAATAGATCTCTTACAAATGGGAAGCAAGGGTATTCTGATGCTTGCTAGCTTGATATGATAATTTATGAGATATCTCTGCTCCTGCAATAAATAGTGAATGCTTTGAGGGACTATGGTCTGTATACACTGAACACCTACCATTAATGAGATCAACATAACCATTGCCCACAATAGCCACTGGTGAAAGTCTTCGGATCTCTGTGTCCGAATCCAGGCTCTCAATTACCATCATAGCATATTCCATCCCAAAGCACCGATAACTCTGCCATTCTGGGATGTACGTGCACGTTGAATCTCTGATAATTCCTAGAAACATAAGTATATAACATTTTAGCAATTAAAAGGAAGCTCTTTGCAAAAGCATCAACAGTTAATCTTTTCTGTGTTATATTAAGACTCTGAAAAATATATTCTTGAAGCAAATCAATCATTAAAAATAAAAGAGACATTTTGTTTTCATAAACATGAGGACTAACAGATAAGATCTAAGAAACCTTTATAAGGTGCTTTTTCAGTGACTGGAATTCTACTTCCATTTGGGAATGTAAGCATCACTTTTGGGAGTCTGTAGTCTCCAATTCCAAATTGGCTATTTCCATTCCATTCATATTCTGCTTGAGGTATCACTGAACCGGAATTCCCCAGAAAGGAACCATCTATATCTCTGAGAAAAGATTTTCTTTTCGCGTCACAAACCATGTCTACACAATCAGATGGATTCACCTTACTGTGGAGAGGAGAGATATGTAAGTACAGTGAACCAGTAGCCCCTTCCCTGTTTCTAGATAGCATTTGAAGACACTGGAATATCTGATATGAGGTATCCAAAAACTTAATTGATTGAATCTTAATTCAGAAAGTAATCAAAGTGGGACCAAATAGCATATGTAATTAGCATTACAATGAGACATGTTTTTCTGTTGTGTTGACTTGACCTATTATTATGAACTCATTAACATTTCAAAAGGATGAGTATACATGTGGGATATAAAATATAAAACTCTCTTTTATATTCCATATTTTATTGAGTGATGGATTTCAGATTTTGCATTGCTCAAATATATTAACATTGCCTCATACAGCTGGTGAGCAGTTACCCAACTGACAGGACATACAAGATCTTCTGTTAGCAGGAAAGTCTTTACTATTTTCCTTTCTTTCTTTTTTTAACAGTTTTTTAAAAATACAGTATGATGTATGCTCTCTAAAAAATAACATATTAGTAATAAAAAGCTCAGTCACTGTCACCTTTCTACCTTAATTTCTTAGGTTCATCATCAATTGCAGATAATATATAGTCTTTTAGAGTTCAGCCTGTGTCTATATAAAAGGGTACAGCTGATTATGATATTCAAACTGTATATTCTAGTGACCATTCTGTAGCTACCCAAACTGGTAATAAGATATAAATTAATCAGGAGGTTCAACTGAAGATGGTATTCTGCCCTCACCTTGAGCACCTGAATTTGTGATTGCTAACTGGTTACAAAAATAAAATGGCTGCTTACTTTGAAGTACTCCACACATTTCATAGTATACATGATACACAGTATACTTATACTATTTCATCTATCCTATCAATAGGGAAATACAATTTATTCTAGATTTAAAGCAACAATATAATAGTGGAAAATTCTGATCTATTTGAGAAAATTTGGCATATTTCGCTTTTTGCTGTAACTGAGACAGGAAACCAAGTTATTCCCTACTATGCTGTGTTAGTTTTGGATGTGATTTGAATACATATTTCTGTTGTTGACTGTTCTTCATGTTCAAGTATGTACAGACTACTTTTATAAATAGCCTGTGAGTAGGCTGTCCAAGTGCGCTTATATTAGGGTTTAAGGCTCTGTCTTCATGTTCCAAAGGAACAGAAGTGGATTTGTGTTCAAGGGTGTTATCAAGAGGGTTCCTGCAAAAGGAGAAGTCAGATAGGGGAAGGAAATGAGAGGAACACAGCGATGATCTGAAGATCAGCTTCAATCTGATCTCATGGAAACCTTTGGATCATGAATTGCATCCAGAGTTGTTCCCACGTTGAGCTAGTTTTTTCTATTCCATTATATATTAGCCATTTTCTACAGACAATGGTGGTAGGGAAGGTTTTAACTCCTTAACATCTTATAGCTATTTTCTGTTTGGCTAAGAACAATTTTTTTGGAAAAGAGGGCAGATATGAATTCTTGTCGGCCACAATTCAGAGCATTTGGGGACTGGGTAAGCTGTTTATAAAAGATCTGGGAGAGTATCAATTAGATTCTAACAAAGCACAGATTTCGAATACCTTAACTTTCAAACTGTAACATTTTCTTCATGACCTAGATGTTAAAGTCATATTGATCTGAAGGATAGATTGATAACTAAATAGGAACTAATAACTTAATGGTGGGGAGAGGTTCTATAGAGACAAATCATTGCAGGTCAACAACTATTAAATGACAAAGTTTGGTACTGTCATTAAATCAAAATCAGATGAAATCATACTATTTATGAAATTACACATTTCTCTGAGGTGATGTTAAGTTATGTCCATTATTCCTGGACATCTACCAATACCAAACATGATCAAAGACCTCTAATAGAATTATTTTCATCCAATATTATTTATACCCAAATTCCTGGTTTCCTCCTTTTAAAAAGAGTAATAGTCATATTCCTTTAAAACTTAGAGTCTGAGTATTTTAGTTTCTAGAAACGTTCTATACTAACGGATTTCTCTGAAAATCACTGTTCTAAGTTTCTGTATATTCTTCATCACAGCGATGATAATGACCAACATTTAATTTCCAAGTATATGTTGCAGGATGTGTGGTAAGATATTTGGAAAGAAACAGAAAACAAAAGAGAAAAAAAGGGGAAGAAATTATAAAGATTTCTCTTATACCTAATGATAACTTAAAAAAATTATTATTCATAAAAGAATTGGGGAACAGAAGTGGGGGGGTGAGAGGATTTACCAGAGACAGAGTTGGGGGACAGAACAGGCAGACTGAAAATACACTGAAATACAGACTGAAATGCACTGCTGAGGGGAGCAGTGGACAAGACATGAGAGGTCTGCTGCACTATGTGGATCACTTCTCTGGCTGGGGATTGAACTTACAATGCAGTGGCTGCAGATAGCTTCATATTGATGAGACTTACCCTCCTGTGCCATGAGTGAGGCCCCTCACAATGATAACTAACACAGAAATACTAATACACAACATACATCTGATCCTATCTCTGAGTTTTCTACTTAATGATGGTATTAATTATGATGCAAGGAACACACATTATGAGAAAAAAAAACATATTAAGGCCTAGTTACATCAAGTTAAAAATAGTGTCACTTTTCATAATTCTGGTTAAATTTTTACAGAGATAAACTGCTTTAGTATGGCAAGGAAAGAGGTTATGGAAAACTATGAAGACAGGAAAGAAAAAAATTGGGTTTTCATTATTTTACCTTATATCAGGTCTGTGTATATATATTTTTGATTGTTCAATAGTGTCAACCAGCTGTATGTTCTTCACATGGATTGGATGCTGTAAATCCTCATTTAAAGGGTTAGTAATAAATACCACATTAGTTTCACTGGAACAAACATTCTTAAAGCCAACAAATGTAGAACCTAAAATATAAATAATAGAAAAATAATTATATTCTCCAAATAAATGATAAAATCAGTTTCTTTCATGTGCATTCCACCAAACACATCATTTAACACTACCTTGAACATGGAATTCCAACCTTAGGTGAAAGAAAAACCTAGCATTATTTGTCCTGTAGAGCTTTGTCCTGTAGCTCTTTTGGTGAATAGCCCATTAGTCCATCTCAACTCAAAGCAGACCTCGAGCTTCCCTAGTCAGGTGGGAATGAAGCAGGAATAAGGGAGGAATCAGGAGAATGTACCTGGGAGTAAATTGTGATGGTGGATTTCAAGGAGGATAGAATAGAAGCCTGGATAAGGAGCAGCATGCCAGTATGGATGGGGGTATCCTCCATTTTACTAGCAGGGCTTTTTTAACCTTGAGAAAAAAAATAATCATTCATGATAAATGAAGCAGAATTGTAAGAATTTTCATGACTGACTATGAAGAGATTAAAGAGCTCTGACAAATAGGCATAGGAGATGAAACCATGATGTGAGGTCAATGATTTTTCAGCTCCAAATATGAATGTCTTGAGGGAATGTGGTATGGGGAGACATTACCACTTCATGTGGAGAGAGATGTGGTCTGACGTTAGGATATCATGGCTGTGGACAGTGATAAATGAGAACTGGTTGCCTTGTCAGGGGCCTGGAATGAACAGGACTGGATAATCTGGTAAAAAGAAGCCTGGGAGAAAGCTCTTTGGATGGGTCTGTGGCAGTAAACACAAAGGGCTGGTTAAAGATGATCAAGGATCTTCCACCACTGAAGAAGCATTAAAGAAAGATGGTACACAATGACATGGCCAGCTAGTCTCTGTCCCTGGACACCCACATTCTTAGACATTAAGCTTATGAACTGAGCAACTTTGGAGTAGAAATGGAGTATCTACACAGGCCCAAAAACACGGGCTTCTTTGTGAATTTCACGAAGCTATTGCACTGTTTAAGATGTAACCTGACCTGCCAAAGAACCAGAGCTGAGTCTCCCGTATACATCGTTCCTCGGGGACACAGTCAGTTGAATTAAAGTGGATTGTATCAGATTTATTCTGCCCTGAATAGGATAATACTTTTTCTTGACTGGGTTAATTTGCATTCCTACTATGGGTTTTCCTTTCCATTTTGTACACATACTCAGTTGCCACCACTGGGTAATGTCATTGCATAACACTTTTTTTTTTAGATTTATTTATTTATGTGTCAGGCCAGAGGTGCAGGGCTGATGAGAGGATTCATCAGAGTCAGAGTGGGGAGCAGAACAGGCAGATTGACAAAGTACACTACTGAAGGGAGGCAGTAGGCCAGACAGGAGAGGTCTGCTGCACCATGTGGGTTACCTCAGGGGCTGGGGATTGAACTCGCATTGTAGTGGCTGCAGCTCGCTTGCAGTGCTGGGCTTTAACCAACTGCACCACCAGGGAGGGCTGACTAATTGCATAACTCTCCAAGAGGTATGGTAGAGGGCCAGGCTAATACATGTTGCAGTATCTGGGATCTGTCAATCTAACAGTCTGCTGGAATAGTCTCTTGAAGTCACACGTGCAGTGCCAGCTCTGGAGGTGACAACCTACAAGATGTCATTCACCTAAAATGAAAAGTTATTATGTGCTGCTGAACTCCCAAATCGTAGAAAATAGGGGGATTAGTAGGAAAAATTATTCATCATCACTCCTAGAAGCCCAGTTTTAGGGTCTATGTGTCTGGAGGTCATGAAGGCTGATGGAGTGGTTCAAGGAATACACACACGTGGAAACAAGTGAGCACAACCATGTCTCTGAGTATCGGTTGCTAACAGCCCAGAGCTGCTCTCCTTTCCAAAACTTAGTTTTGGCCAAACAGGAGTTACATAACTCAGGTAATAAGGCCCTTCCTACAGTGGCAGCTATAATCACTTACTGACTTACTAGTATGGGAGTATGAATGACCAATCCCCACCTCAAAAGTGATTCATTCTCATGCTAGAGACCTCAGAGAGATCAAGGGCAGCTGTTCCCCAGTTTTTACCACATCCTTGCTTAAAAACGTCCCTTGTCCTCTTCTGCTTTCATCTGTACCTTCTGAAAGCATTTCTCAAGAAAGCATTAGCACAAAGAGTCCTCTAAGACTCTTCTACTAGGGAACCTTCTACTAAGAATAACATCATTCATATATTGTCCTCTAAGGTGATGCATTATAAAAGAAAAAAGTTACTTGTGTTCCTTTGAGAAATTTGGTTTCATTTCATAAGAATATTTTTATTCCTATATAATATTTATACTAGTACAGAGCATATTTTTTATTGAAAGCAATAGATGTTGACTAAAACCTATATAACATGCTAAATCACTTTTAGCAGCAGCATCACCGTCAGTAACACTGATGTTTTTTATGATGATAATCATTTATTTTGCATTTTTGGGACTTAGAGTCTTGAGAAATGATATGTCAAAACTTAGATGTTTAGTTTATGGAACTGATTTCTTTGAGAAGACACTGGTTAAACATTTCATGTGGGAGAGGGAGGCAAAAAATAAACTTTTTATGAAGTTCAGAAGTTCAGTACTACACTGAAATAGAGAATGACAATGTTTTAGATGGGCAAAATGATAACTGATGTGCATACCACATTAATTCATAAATAACCATTTTAAAGAGAAAAATTGGTTCAGTGACAGAGCAGTGGATCTCAAGTCAGACCTTGATTAGAATCATAATTTTGTCAAAAGGTATGAGAGTTTAGCAAGACACTTAAATTCTATGAATTCAAGTTTATTCAGCTATAGATATTAATACATACTCCCAAATATATGACAGTATTTCTACAGAAACTAATATTAAATCTTAATATTAAATTATTTCTGTTATTTTAGAGGGACAATTGAATGTCAATTCTTTACTATGTAATAATTTTGCCAGGAGCCATTCTGGAAATTAACTTTGATGTCTGATTTCTTTGTCATGCTGCACAGATTAATTTAGACCATTTTTTTTAACTAAAAATGAAATATTATTAAATAATATTAAACGTTAAATAACCTTGAGAGCTACCAACTCTTCATAGAACTTAATTGTCAAAGGCGCTATTTAAACTTACCTGAGATGTCCAAAAGGCCGCTGATGGCATTGTAACTCATGATCCCCGCGTGGGGTTTCCGAGGTGCCATGTTATGGGCAGAGGTGAAGGTAGGCCAGCAAATCCCACTTCTCCCACCTTTTATGAAACAAAAACAAGTTAGTGAAATGTGAATATGCATTACTCAGTTGAACACCAAAATTAAAGCCCCCATTTTTTTTTTTACCTGATGGAGGTCTAGAGCTTCTATGCAAAGCAGAAAGTTCAATATTGGGGTCATCATCAGTAAGGATATCAGAGCAATTAAATTCAGGGCTACTTCCAACAATCAATGAATTCTATTAAAAAATTCAAACATTAAAGCTTTAAAACAGATTTTTTCTAAAAGAAAGCATAATAAGGGGCCCTCCCTGGTGGCGCAGTGGGTTAAAGCACAGCACTGAGAAGCCAAAGCCACTTCCGCATGAGTTCGATTCCCGCCTGCCCCGGAGGTGACCACATGGTGTGGCAGACCTCTCCTGACCCGCCCGCTGCTCCCCTCAGCAGTGTACTTCGTCCATCTGCCTGGTCTGCTCCCCATTTTGTCTCTGGTGAAGCCTCTCGCCGCCCCTGAGCCTCTGGCCTGTACCCCAGTTCTGTATGCACAAATAAATAAATCTTTAAAAAAAAAAAGAAAGAAAAGAAAAAGAAAACATGATAAGGAATGATATTAAATTCTACTGTAGTTAGACTCAAAACCTCTACATTTGAGAGACATCTTTTTTTTTTTTTTAAGATTTATTTTATTTATGCATACAAGAGCTGGGGTGTAGGCCAGAAGTATAGAGTGTGGGGAGGCAGTGAGAGGATTCACCCAATACAGAGTGGGGAGGGGCAGAACAGACTAACTGACTGAAATACATTGCTGAGGGGAGCAGTGGGTGAGACAGGAGATGTCTGCTGCACCATGTGGGTTAGCAATCTGGTGGGGGATCGAACTCTTCCTGCAATGCCTGACAATAGCTTGATAGTGCTGAGAGTTAGTCCCTGGCACCACAGGGAGGCCTCAGCAGATCATTTGTTAAATCGATATGAAAAACTGATACTCTCTGTCCTGAGTAGAATGACACTCAAAAGTGGGAGGGAAGGCAGGCCTCTCTGGGATGCTCTGGTGGGGACATGTTCAGGGAACCCCAGGAACAAGAAGAGGGTATGTCAACGGCCACTTAAGCTGGTTCAGGAAACGCTTCACAAAGGAAGTAAAAACTAGTGGAAAATTAGTAGGTGATAAGCAAGAAAAAGCAAGGGAAGGGGGGAAGAAAGGGGAAGTCTGAGAGCTTCTTGGCAGAAGGCAATGGAGCAAAGGCGAGAGGTTTAGACTATCAGGTTCGTCAAGGAAATCATTCTTAAACCTTCATAATTTTATGCTTCTCAGAGTTGTTCTTTTTTCCTTATATGGTTGTATTCACTTCTTACCTTAATTTGTACTATTTTACTGGAAATTTTGTGAGATACAGCAGCTGGCATGTAAATCATCGAGGAAATGGCCATTCCATTGTCAACCAGAGTGACATTATAGATTTGCACACTCTCTGTGGTCTGCAACACAATTTGTAGATTACATAGCACAAAATACAATCACGAAAGAAAATTAATTAACAACTATCACGTGGATCACATTTACCTGAAAATAAATCCCATAATCCCAACATGTCCAAATGGTAAATCCCTGTATAAGAGAGCATCCAGGAAGACCATCTTGGTTCATGTAGATCCCATATAAACCTCCATGGGCTTCATTATTAAACCACTTTTCCCTGGGATTAAATTGACCTCAGAAGGAAATACAGAACCAGAGAATTAACATTACGAGCCATGCCATCTAGCTTTACAAATAGTATTGGTTAGAGATAAAATTTTAAAAGAACTTAAATCTATCATTCCAATGAAAATTGTAATAAGACGATCAAGTATTTTTATTGCTCAAAAATAAATGGTTTGCTCTATTTAGTGCTTATTCTTACCTAATTTGTCCTTTCACTGTTAAAATAATGTTAGGGTCATTTGTAAACACTTGGCTTATTGTTAGCACCCTTAATTCCTAATACGTGATTAAGCTAAACGTGAATTTCATAAGGAAGTGTATGAAGTTTGGATTCAACCATAGCCGAATTTTTGATGATGTAGGAATAAAAATATTGTCAGTGAAAATGCATTCTACGGCATTATACATATTAATAGCTATTCACAGCTACAGATCAAAGTTTGATTTTCATAAAACCATAACAATACTCAAAGAAATAGTAGAGAAATAACATGTTTTTAAATTATCAGTCAAAGAAAGATGACCTTTTCTTAACTGTGGGAATAAAATATTTAATAAGAGAACATATCAAGGACACAGCCCTTGAAAATGTAATCTCATTTTGCCCTGCAAACAGCAATGTGCAAATGTTTCAGTTTTCCTACAGCTTTTGTGAGAGATTAGGTGTTAAGTTTTGATTTTTACTAATCAGATGAAGAGAAATGTTATCTGAGAACTGTCTGCTCAAGTCCTTTGACTTTTGCATACTTGCAGGTTTTAACATGAATTGTGAGGATATATTCCTTTAAATTGGACGCATAAAATAATGGCATATCCCCACAGGCATGGTTATCTGTATGCTTTTGCAAAAGAAGTGGGATGATACCAATACCAGTCAAATCAAAAACTGAAGTTGCTGTTAGAGTTTTTGAATCATTAACATGCAAAATATTTGTCCTTAAATGATCATCCATTTTTACTTCAGCCTCTCTGTATCTTGAAGTCAATTAGCTTGTTGAGGTCTGCCAGTGCCCAGGAAGAAGAGGTAATTACACACTGAACTTATAAACAATAATTATTTCTAATACATTTTATTTAGTGACTATGTTTAATGACTTTAAAACAACTTACTAGAGCAAGGTTCTCCATCAATGCGGTATCCAGCCCTTCCAAAGCCAGCTACTACATTATTTTGTAAGACTGTATTGGTTCCTCTATTTACCTAGGGCAATAATAAAGAAAATACTTTGGGTCAGACTCATATGGGAGCAAACAAACAACAAATACGGGAAAACTAATCATGACTACACTTTCAGGAGGAAAACTTTAATTAATTGTTCATCCTCTTCAACTTTGTATTATATTCGAAGCCCTGACGTTACCATAGGTTTTTAGGGGTAAGACCAGCAGTTCATATGATAGTTTAGACTTTATTACACAAATGTATTAAAGAAATTTTTTGTATCAGTCACAAAATCCACTGGATATGGTTCAGTATTTATTAGCCATTGACCACATTCAGTATTATAACAAGACTACAAGGATTTTATTACTCTGTCAAATTCAATTATCAATTTGATTTATTAAGAAAAACAGATAACTAGACTATAGTGGATCATAAGATTCAATAGAGATGTTCATTAGTTTTAGTAGAGTCTGCTGTAATAAAAAACTAGGTTAGCATATTGTTAAACCACTACTAAAATTTTTATTTTATGAGTGAAGTTAAAGTGTCAAAAAATGAAAAGCATTCAGCACAGAAGATTTAGTTCTTGCTCAATTGCTTAATGCTTAACAAACACAATTATTAAAATTGTCTTAAAATCAAGTCTTTCAAAAATACAGATAACTTTAAAGATTTGGAATTTGAGTCTATTTTAGTCATCTATAAAGAGATGAAAAGAGCATCATTGCCTCATAAATATATACTAAATTTCAGGCTTTCAGTTTTTACCTTAAGGTAATATTAATTATTAATTATTTCACAAAAACAAAACTCAATCTTTACTCCATCAAGGGAAGTTACATTTATTCCTTTTCATTTTAAATAAAACACAGCAAGAGAATACTGATTATGGTCTCTTGCAAATCATTTCTTCTGTACTTTGCTTTCTTGCTTGTGATCTTTACTCTACATTTAAAGACCTAGAACAATTGAAATAACTTTTTGGGAAATAAGAGTAGCTCAGTGAGTGATGTCAGATAAGAGTACATATCCTGGGCCCTCCCTGGTGGCACAGCTGGTTAAAGCACTGCACTAAGAAGCTAAAGCTACTTCCGCATGAGTTCAATCCCCGACCCAGAGGTGACCCACATGGTGCAGCAGACCTCTCCTGACCCACCCGCTGCTCCCCTCAGCAGTGTACTACATCAGTCGGCCTGTTCTGCTCCCCACTCTGTCACTGGTGAATCCTCCCCGCTGCACCTCTGGCCTGTACCCCCAGTTCTGTATGTATAAATAAATAAATCTTTAAAAAAAGTACATAACCTTGCGTATGATAAGAATTTTAGATGAGAAAGATTTTAGATATTTTATAGTCTTTCATTCTAATTTTTTGTTTGAGAATGGAAACTATATTCTGAGTTAAGTACAAGACATTTGAAGTCAGCTAACAGTATGAGACTGTGTACTAGAACATGGAAGAGATAATTATTTAAAAGCCAAGTTTTTTTCTATTGAGGTAGCATTGTTTTACAGTACTGCATATGATTTAGAGGTATAGGGTCAGACCACACCCATCCCCAAGGCACTGATATTGCTGAAAGCAATAACTAATGTTAAAGCAAGGAAATAAGAGAACTACTTAAACCAATGGAGAATATCATAAAATAAAACCCAGTAGCAAATGAAGGTTGCAACATCTTTTAAGAAAGATTATCGCTCTTTAATTATTCACTTTATGAGTTTACTACTTTTTAACAAAAGGAAGAAACACGTTGCTATAACATTTTAAGATTCACAATTTCTACAGAATAAGGAAATTATACTTGATAATTTGGATAAATAATTAAATTTGTTCTCCTACCTCAATTGCTGCATGCCAGAGAGTTGAGCTTCGATCTTTTCTGTTCTGATAGGTTCCTGGCCAAACCGAAAGTGTAACCAAATTTCCTCGGACCTTGTTGGCATCCCCCCATATTCTAATGCCTGTAAAAAATAAATCCTCCAAATACATATGCAAATATACTTTTCATTTATGGGAGATGCCATTCATTTTTTTTTAAAGATTTATTTATTTATGCATACAGAACTGGGGTATAGGCTAGAAGTGTAGGGGCTTTGAGAGGATTCACCAGAGACAGAGCAGGGAGCAGAACAGGCAGAGTGATGAAGCACAATGATGAGGGGAACAGCGGGAGGGTCAGGAGAGGTCTGCCGCACCATGTGGGTCACCTCCAGGGCAGGGATAGAACTCATGCTGAAGTGGCTTTAGCTTCTTAGTGCTGTGCTTTAACCTGCTACACCGCCAGGAGGGCCCAAGCAATTCATTTTTCCCATGAAATAAATTTTCTACTTTGAGTCTGACAAACAAACCTCTTAAAGAGTAAGCCCTCTAAACCCTAAGATAGTGAAACTCTACTTCTGTGTTAACTTCACTGAGTTAGGATCTTCTGGAGGTGCTTGTTGAATTCATGGGTTTATAAAATCACTTCAGATTTTAATAAACACACAAATATTATACATATTAAATATGTCTGTATTATGTTACAGTGTTATTCAAGAAAGGATAACTTCATAAAATCAAATTTACTTTTCATAACATAATAACATTTATTTGTAAATATGTGAGCAGCATTCAAAAGTCATAGTAATTTAAACTACGGATCCAATAATTTGACTGGATAAACTCACATAAGATCTCAAACCTGTCCTGTCCAATCAGGTAGCCACAGTCATATGTAAAGAAAGAAAAATTAAGCGGACTACAATTAAAAGAAAAATCCAGCTCCTCAGTCACATAGCCCATGTCAAGGGTTGGATGACCACTGGTGGTTTAGTAAGCACCATATTTACATAGACACAGACCTTTCTGTTCTTCAGAGTAGGCCATTGGACTGCAAGGCACTAGAGTTTGTAGACAAGACTGCCTGAGAAAGGCAGATTATTGGACCAGGACATTACTATGTTACCTTCTCCCACCGTAAAGTGAATGATGTTATCATCTATGTCCAACCCGTCTGTCCCAAACACACCAATCGCTGGAGAAAAACCACTGTGGAAAGCACAACCACGGACATAAGAGGAGCCATGTTCTTGACTCTACAGGATTCAGTGAACATTTTCCAAACAAAAAAAGAAAAAAAAAAGATTTAAAAAATTTGAAGTAGATGACTTTCAGGACACAAATCTTGATAAAGTGCTCAATTTATAATTCATTAAAGCAGATGATTTCCAAGTAGATGTTTAACATTGGGGAATGGCCATACATTTGCATACATTATGATTAAATAAAACAAAAATATCTGCTTATTTTAAATGCAGTTTGAAAAGTTGAGTACTTTTTCTATGCATGTATACTTCTATCATTATCTATAAAATGCTAAGATATAAAAACTATTTTCAGAATAGTTTACTTTAGAATTAACAGAATTTTTTTTCTCAGCCAGTGAACTAATTTTTATTAAAACACTAAACCCCCATGTCCACTACAAAAAATAATTCTCTAGCAAGGGGTTACATTCCAAAAGTCTATAGGAACCTATCAATAGGTAGGTGAGGGGGATTCAATTTTAAACCAACATAAGAAAATAAAAGACCCTCTTGGAAAATAGTTCCCACTTTTGACAGAGGCATGGATATAGAGAGTAGCTTTTCAGCTGCGAAATGTAAGCAATACTCACTTTTGTTTAATAGAAACTATTGGGAAATATTTTAGTTATTATAATAGAGATGTGAAATATTATTACAGATCTGCATTTATTTCATATCTGTGCTCTTTCTCTGATTTTTAAAAATTAATCTTACATGTACATAATGAGTAGAATAAAATGCCACTATGTCGAAGGAGGCTTCGACAATAAATTAACCTAACAGCGTTTTGTTATACTACTTTATAGCCTTAGCAATTCTAAAATTTTGTTTAGTAACATTAAATAGAACTAAAATCAAAGTACTTTATTTTGTTATGAAAAAATGAAAAATAATGTACAAACCTGTCCTAGGTTAAGAAATGTTACAGCGTATCTTGGATCTGTGCCATCCCTGAAGCCTTCCTGACCACTGTGATAAAATTCCACATTACTTATTCTTGCATTTCCTGCAGGAGTGGGGAATAAGGAGAGAAAGAGTGAAGATGTCTTTCTTGAATGAAAATATTTGTATAAAACTCTAAAGGATAATACAATTTTCCAAATTCCAATTTGCTTTCAACATTTTCATGGAAATCTTTGCTACTTTAAATGAAATAGGAAGCATTTCTGAGTTTTTTCACTTCCTTTTCCATGAATCTTCATAGATTTAGGCCTACCCCCTACCACTATCCATGAAATTTAGTACCACAGAAATACTGTCTCTTAGGAATGGCACAAATAATCGCTTAGTAAAGGTTTATTGTTCCCCCAAACGATTTTTCACCGCCTCAGTGGTGAGTGTTTTGGGAATGCATGACATAAAGCACAAAATATAATTAACCAAACATTTAAAATTTGATGCCATGGAGAACTTTTCAGGGTATTCTCTTTACACAATGTCTTCTAGAATTTACATTACCAAGTATTTGCTGATTGTGTTGGATCCATCATAAGATTTAAAATGGAACAGAAATGATTAATGTCCATAGTCAGAGAAATCTTAAGCCCCTACGTAGCTATTTGTATATCCGGCAAAGCTGGACAATGTTTATTCCATATCATGATGAGGATTACATGAGATATATGTATTAAATGTCTAGCACAGTGCTTGAGATAGTGTATTGTGATCAACATTAAAATAATCATCAACTGGCCCTCCCTGGTGGTGGAGTGGTTTAAAGTGCAGCACTGCAAGCTAGCTGCCACCGCTTTTCAGTGCAAGTTCGATCCCCTGCCTAGAGGTGACCCACATGGCGTGGCAGACCTTTCCTGACCCGCCCACTGCTCCCCTGAGCAGTGTACTTCCTCAATCTGCCTGTTCTGCTCCCCACTCTGTCTCTGGTAAATCCTCTCACCCCCCTGCATCTCTGGTCTGTACCCCAGTTCTGTAAGAATAAATAAATCTTAAAAACAAAACAAAACAAAGGGATACATTTAAAAAAATAATCAACACTTGAAGAGAGTGGAGTGAGCATATAAATGAAACAAAATGATAGGCTGAAGTTCATGACTATGGAAACTGGTAACGGGTATACTGGGGTTCACTGTGCCATTTTCTCCTTATTTGGTATATATTTGAAATTTTTATAACAAGAAGAACCTAGGTTGTTATAAAATGTTATAAAGTGACTTCTATTTGGGTGAGAAGGTTGGGCTAGTTGTTCCTAATGTCATTGTTAATTTGATAATTCTTATTGTGTATGAAGATATAAGGTTTTGGAGTATAGTTCCTGAGCTACATAAAACCTCTCAAAGCTTTATTTTTCTACATGATCCTATTGAGAAGTGAGAATTATTTAAGTTCTCAGTATAGAAGGTATCATGTTCTATTTCACTTAGAAAAATAAAGTTGTACTAACCTTTAAATGTCATCATATTTTCAGTGAATGAGCTGACCAAGACGTGTGCACCAAAAGATTCCTCGAACCAACCTGGATAATCTTCACCAAGTATTTTGATGTTTCGACTCAGTATCCCAACATCAGCTGCTAATGTGTAACTCTGATCTATTCCAGGAACATGGTACCTTTCAGCTATTAAAAAAAAAAAGACAGCTGAATTATTATAGGTTCTGTGAAATACCTGTCTTGATTAGTTACTTTACAGTTTACAGGTCATATAACTTTCTAATATGCCAGAAGTCAACACAAATATGTGTTTATTAGTTTTGTTTGCTGACATACACGTAGATGGCAGATAGAAATTACACATTATTTAGAAAGTGAAATATAATAAAAAAAGTTTATTTACAACAAAAAGATTATTCAAAGAATATTTATTGCCTGACAAATAGTTTGTATCAAGTCAAATTACATACTAAAAACACAGATATAAGGAATGTTGAGAAGCTTATTGTAATTTTTTTTTAAGATTTTATTTTTTTATTTGTGCATACAGAGCTGGGATACAGGCCAGAGATGCGGAGGGTGAGAGAATTCACCAGATACAGAATGGAGTGCAGAACAGGCAGATCAACGAAATACACTGCTGAGGGGAGCAGCGGGCGGGTCAGGAGAGGTCTGCCACGCCATGTGGTCACCTCCGGGGCAGGCGGGAATCGAACTCATGAGGAAGCGGCTTTAGATTCTCAGTGCTGTGCTTTAACCCGCTGCGCCACCAGGGAGGGCCGCTTATTGTAATTTTAATAGATAAATAAACAAGGAAAACTAGTAAAAGAATTTGACTAAGGCCATGTAAAGAATCACATAGATATTATCTTTGCTGAAGCCTCAGTCTTTGCTGGGCCTTCTCTTCCTGAAGCATAGTTTGTATCATAATTATTTATAAATATGTAGCAATGTATCAAACACAATGTGTACATTTACACTTTAATGATTTGAAAAAATCTTTATTACATTCTTCCTTCCTAAAAAGTATTCAAAACTTCTGGACAAGCAGGTGCCTTTCAAATAAAGGGAACTATTTGAATAGTTTAAATAAAATAATCTATATTGCCAAACTTGAAAATCCATTTGCTTTACAATTAAAGATTTTTCAATGAAACTCTTTCTATTTAAAGAAAAGTGATAGTATTATAGACACATGTGCTCTATCAAAATACTGTTTTTGAAAATTATTTTAAGTTTCTTTTTCATGTGGATGTCTATTTACCTTCCTACCATACTGTCTTACAGCTGAGTTCTTGTGGGAATCAGAGTTATCTGAATGGCTTTTCTAACATTACACTCCTGTCTGCATCTGCTTCCACTTTCTAGGATTCAGATGATGGTAGCATGTAAAATGGGGAGATGCTGGGATACTGGAATGGTTCTCACCCAGAATCAGAAAGGCCATCTTACAATATTGATTCATTCCTCTTCTCCTTTAGAAGAACAGTTTGCCATCTCACAATACCTTGTTTATATGCAGGTATAGTTGAGGAATGTTTTAATGAAACAAATTAGGACAAAGATACTCTTGGATTGAAGGCTCTCAAGTTTCAGTGTACATAAAAATCACCTAGAGGTTTGCTAAAACAGAAAGTGACCCTCTTACTTCATATACTGTGATATAGTGGTCTTCACTCAGTATTTGCAAATGAATGAATGACTGCAAATGAAACTATTGATAGCCATAAACTATTGGTAGTACCCTTGGATATCAAAACTGAGTGAAATGCTCGTCAGAAGTATTTGTGAGTTTTTTTTTTAATCAAATAAAGGTAATTACAAAGGAGAACATTAAAAAGTGAATACTTCAAAACACATCTGCTTGATTATTATAAGTCTACTTGGTTAAAAAATAGTCACTTACCAAGGTGAGTGTAGGAAAGAGTCTCATTGAGAATAAGAATTTTGTGATCATGCAGGATTTTAACAATACTTCTAGTTTCTGTCTGGTGGACATTATAGCTTGTGGTTGTTATTACAATCTCTTCTCCCTCCTTAGAAAAATTCAAGGAATAATTTAAAAAAAAGTTTATTTTTCTTAAGAACTATTACACAGCTCTAATTTAATTTGTATCTGATTAGCAATCCTGGTTTTATCAGAAAGTCCCTATGCAATGTTACCTGCCCCCATACCATGGCAATCTCTACAACACTACCTGTTTATTTTCATCACTCTGATTAGAACTGAAATCAACACATATTTATTTGTTCATTTGGTGCCTGCTTCTTGCACCTCGGTGCAAATACCACTCCAGTTGATGAATTTCTTCACTACTGCATCCTCAGTTCCTAGGAGAATGCCTGGTACTTGGTTTGTCATTAAATAAATAATAAGTATAAAATATTAATCATACAAACAAAAATATTAATTGGATGAATACTTAGGGATATTGTAATCACTCAGTTATCTTTAATCCCAAATAAAAATATATTTATGTTCCAATAATTCTCCTTCTATTACCAATTTTAAACTGTATTTAGAGAATCAATTCACATAATTTAACTAAACCTATGTGAGTTTAAAGCTCATTCTGAGCCCAAGAGAACTGAAAGTTTAGAAAGAGAATTCATCCATTTCTCTGACACTTCAGGATTAAGAGTATTTGTATATCGTATCCCTGATTTATTCACATCTAGAAGTACAAAGAAGGTGGACACCATTCATATTTTACCAAAAATCCCTCATTTAATACAGGTGTTATATGAATACCACCTGGCATCAGGACTTCTTTTTCTCTCCACAGGTTTAACATAGAAAGCTATAAATTAAAAATGAGCTAAACAACAACATAATAAAATGTACCGAAAATAATTCCATTTTCTGTTTTGTGAGAAATGTAATAAGCAAATATATTTTATCCAAGGTCCTAAGACTACAATTTGTAAATTTCTGCCAGTAGGACAGCTTTTTGAATTCTACTTATCTGCAAAACATAAATTGCTCATTCGGTTAATCACATGAAAAGTAAATAAAGAAGGAAGAATAATTACATGAGGGTAAAGAGGTGAACATTTAAAGGTTCACTTTCCAACAAACAGTGTTTCCTCTACCTGCCAATCCACAGCATCAACCAGAGATAAGACTTTGGAGCCTGCCTCTGCGGTTTCCGAGAGCTTAGTTTTATATACTGCTCGTGGAATCCCATGAAGATCCAGCTCACCAAATACCCCTGGGGGTGGGGGAGATAGAGATTTTTATGAGGTAGGTACTAATAGTAAGTGAAACTGTTTCGCCATTCATTTTTTTTAAAGATTTATTTATGCATACAAGAAATGGGGTACAGGCCAGAGGTTCTGGGGGTGAGAGGATTCACCAGAGACAGAGTGGGCAACAGAATAGGCAGATTGACTGATATACACTAATGAGGGGAGCAGCAGGCAGGTTCTGTTTATTCATTAATTTTAATAGATAGCTGGACATTTTAGAATAAATGAAAAGAATAGGGGCAATCTATTCAGGGCTGCCAAAGGCTCTGGACATTTGAACCACATTTTATGTAGCCTGGTACATAGAGATTAAGGCCAATACACCAGGGTACATGAATGAGGAAGTTTACACAACAATACTGGAAAATATTAGAAAACTAAAATGAATCCAAATGTATGTTAACAGGACAATAGTGAAATAAATGATACTAAGACAGCAGAGTAAAAAGCAATAAAAAATGAAGAACTTTATCCATAAGCATTGCTCTTGAAAGCTATCCATAATATGTTAATTGCTAAAATAAAATTGAGTAATATATGTAGTTGCACCACTTTATTTTTACATAGGCATAAACCACTACCACAAATCAATATATAGAATATAAATATAGGTATAGATAAAAACAATAGAAAAACACTAAAATCATTAACTAATGCTAGTTTCTTCAACAGGGATTAGAATCAGAAAAGTGTATATTTTTTTTTATGATGGTCTGTGTTGTTCAAAAGTTACTTTTGAAACTAAAAAATAAATGCATGAAAGCAATTGTTTTTTTAAGGATTAAATTTGACTGCCTGTAGATATTTGCTGGTGGAGAGATGACTAATTCAATCTTAAGCCATTTCTTACCCACTTATTTACTGACTGTCACTGCTTAGAAATTGTACAGTGGAGCAAATGCAGCATATCCTTGTATGTGTCTTTTTTAGATATTTAATAGCTGTTATTAAATAGTACTACTATTAACAGAAACAGCTATTAGTGTGGCTAAACTAGACCTCCTCAGACCCTTTACTTTCCAGGCCCACATAGGGAAGCGTAGGGTGACACAAATGCAACACGAAGTTAAAATTTAGCAATAATTGTGACTGATAGCAGCGTCGACCATTTCACAGATTATTTATATTGTAAATGGAATATCTACAAAACTAACCTTTTGAGGGAAAAGCACTCAAATATAAAAAGTACTACTGCTTACATAAAGGAAAGATTCTAAGAAAACTAGATTGGAGAAATAATATATATATGCAGATATGTGTGAAGGTTAGCTTCGCAATGAATTACATTTTGGTTTAAAATAAGCATATCTACATCTACTTTCATGGGACAGAGTTCAATTTTTAAATGTCTCTGCTACTTTTATATTCCTATACTTTATATAAAGGTCTGTGAAAGTTTCTGATACCGTGACATCGTAATCTGATAACAGTTATTTTAGTGCTATGTTTTAAGATAGATTTGAAAACTGATATGACACTTTTGGTAACTGGAAACTCATACCTAAGACCTTTGATCCTTGATTTGGTCCTTCTGGTAGAGCCCACTCTGGGGTAGAATGATTTCCTCTAAGAACAATCTGCAATTCTCCTTTAAAGGGATTATCTTCCCAGCCGCCAATTAATCTGCCTCCCTGCAATGAAGCAGAAAATTGTTAACACTTAACAATTGAGTAGAAAAAAATTCCCATAAAGAAGGAATTAGGAAGCCTCTGACAGTCTCTGCTAATAAAAAGGAATGAATTTCATTGCACAAAGAACAGTATTATACCTGAAAGTGACCTTAATTTAACCCATTCACTTTAGAATAGGCAATTTGAAGGCTTTTTTTCCACTTCACAAATTCAATAATATATATAATGTCAGAATTGCACTTAAATAAAGGAACTTCTAAGTCATCAACTAGCATTATTTGAACAGAGGACATTATATTTTAGCATAATATGCCATATATAAAATATACTCATCATAATTTCATTGAAGCTATGCTATTTATGAGACATCATTGTTAATAGCTGTTATTAAATGCTTGTTAGTTTTATGTCAGGTATAATGTATACGATTATATGTATATTATATCACTTTACTGTACATTAAATCCATGAGCATGTTGTTATATTTATTTCACAGGAGAAAAAAAAATTGATGCCAAAAGAGGTCAAATAACTTACCCATAACTACCTACCCACCAAGAGTGAAGTAAGAATTTAATCATAGCTTTAATTTTCCTTAAAGGCTATGCACTTAACTGAACTATTACAAACATTGAAATGATTAAAGACCTAGTTTTCTGAAAGAAAAGCTACTGATGCCTTTATATTTTAATGGTGCATAATAGCATTTTGGTTAGACCATTCTTTGAAATGAGCAATAATAAAAGACTGCTAGCACAGCTAAACTGATTTCATTGGTTACATGTTACAGAGCATATGAGGTTATAAGAAAATGAGCTAACACTTCCGAACAACTGAAATATTTTTGCTGGCTCATCCTGTTTTCATAGTTCCATCTACAGCCCTTCATTTGAAGAAATACTGACTTAAATTCATTTAAATTTCTTCCAGAACAAATCAAAATTCCCTTTTGATTGGAACATCAATAGTTTAATTTTACCTAAATATAATCCAAATATGAAAATGGGAAAATATTACCCTTAGTATGAGCATAAAAATCACTCCTTAAAGAACATTTATCCCACGATTTAAAGGCAAGCAGAAATGAGTCATAACAACAGGGACACATTCTGAGAAATGTGTCACAATTTGTCAAGAGTCTGCTCTTCAGTGCAAACATCACAGAGGATAATTACATGACCTACACTGTACAGAGGTCCCACCACATCTAGGCTATATGCTACCATGTATTGACTGGGACCATATCATATGTGTGGTCAGTCCTTGACCAAATGTCCTTGATGACTTAATTGAACTTCAGTGGACTTTATGAACTTACATGCATTTCATGGGATACTGTCAGTTGTGATTTTACTTGCATCAGTTGAACACCTTTTCTTATAACTTGCTCAAGTGAATCTCCAACATTTCAGAATTTTATTAATCAGTATATAAATTATATGCTCCTCACTCTTACCTGCACAAATATGTAGGTGGCATTTAAAACAACTTTTCTATAAGAAGATTCTTCAGTTCCCACATGTTTATCTTCCAGCTCCAGAATCCCCCAAATAATAAGTCTTTCCATTGGTGGGATATCTTTGTCTGCCACCATCCATGTTCCTATAAAACATTGTTTTAATATAAAAAAATGACAGTTCATAGATTATACTCTGAATATGAAGCATTTATAAATTAACAGTGAGTGGTTTTGAGTTTGTCACTGTTTTCCACACAGTGGATGATTCTCGCCTCTCCCAGAAAAATCTAGGATTCTCAGTATTCATGTTTAAATCCACGTAAAACCCAGACATTTAAGTCTATTACCCAGGACACGATAATATTGATAGAATCCATCTTCTTTACCTCCACTCCTTTTTAATTTCTTTTTTACCTTATATACTGCATAAGAGTAAAAAAGTAAATATTGTAGCATTTGAATGAATGTTTTAAAAACACAAGCATTTTGCTTCGTTAGTGCATGGATTTACCTTCAGGAATAACCACAGTTGCTCCTGGGTAAGGTATGGTATAATTATTTTCTTGAGATGATTTCCAAAATGAATTATTTGACCATAAGCTGAAAAGAGAAGTATTTCCATTAAATATCAGTTCTCTGTATTTAATAACCATCTCCTTAGGGTACAGCATTATACCATGTTTTGGGGAATGACAGAATGCAAGTTAGAGTTTACAATGTCATGAAATAAGCTATATATGCAGTTAGTAAAACATTCGACATACAACAACTATACTTATCTAGTTTTTTGCTCCACTGAAGAAAGTTGTTTCCATTCACAATTTGAATCACTTTTCTCTCACTAAGTCCTTTTTATGATACCTTACCTATGTTTTTCTAATGTGTAATTTATTTAATTTATACTGTGGTAGAGAAGTGAATAATCCCAAAGGTGGGATTATTACCCACCTTTGTGCATTTAAAGACCTTAAGTATGGTGTTAATTCATCAGGATAGGGATAGGATATTGGGCTAGATTCTGTGAAAAGAGGGGCAGGAAGAATGTTCTCTGAATGAGTAAATGAGGTTAGTTCTCTGGTCTGGGGCTGTGGATGGTAGGCCTGTATCCAGAATGAAGTTTATATTAAATTAAAATGAATTTGGAATGGACATTTTGGGAGTGACAGTTGCCACTTTTCATCACTGTACCTGCTAGAGACTATGTCAGTGGAGAATTGATATAATGTTATTATAAAGTTGATCATATTTTCCATTGGAAAATGTTTACAATCAAAAGATAGAAAATTTATTTTACCTGTAAGAATTAACTTACACTGATGAAGTTAAAATTTAAAATATAATGGAATAAGTTGTGTTAGAAGTTTTGAGCATGAAGTGAGAGACAGCTCTCACTCAGAAAACAAAGTGTTCATAAAGAGATTGAGGTTTTCTGGATGTGTCATGAAATTCTGTGACGTCAGGTAATATATTCAGGGTCACTGGACTTCAGCTTGCTCACATAGGCAGCAAGGGGGTCTAGTGAGGCAGATCTGATACTATGCAAATCTGAATTCACCAGTAACTTTCTTTTTCTTCTTTTTTAAGATTTATTTATTTATTCATACAGAACTGGGTACAGGCCAGAGGTACAGGGGTGGTAAGAGGATTTGCCAGAGACAGAGTGGGGAGCAGAACAGGCAGATCAATGACGTATACTGCTGAGGGGAGCAGCAGGTGGGCCAGGAGAGGTCTGCTGTGCCATGTGGGTCACCTCCAGGGCAGGCAGGGATTGAACTGTGCTGAAGTGGCTTTAGTCCCAGTGCTGTGCTTTAACTGCCTGAGCCACCAGGGAGTAACTTTCACACATATTTTTGAGATTTTTTTCATATTCTTATCAGGGTGGAATAAAGCATTTTGTGACCCAGACACATGGTGAGAAGGACATATCTTCCTCATCTAGGAGTGACATGAAAGAGATTATTATGTCACAGCTACTAAAGTATTAGTAATCACAGGCATATATACTTATATGTGACTGGTCGCATCCGGGGAATTGGTTTTCTTGATGGGGAATGTGCAGGGAAGCAATCTTGGAGAACACAGCAGTAAGCTTGGAAATTAATAACAACATCTTTCACATCAGGATCCAGGGTTCCAGAAATGGACTGGTTCTGAGGAAGGTCATTTCTTCCTGACACTGAAAATGAAGCAAGAGCAATTTTAGTTAACATGATGATCAAAGTTCTTAAATGTTAACAAAATTATGGCTATTTGAAAATATTTTTTAGATGGTTTCTTGTCGTAAACTCAAATGTGTGATATAGCTATGGAAAACTCTCACAAAATGCGTGTGTCTTATTGAAAAGCACATAGTCAAAATAACTTGATAAAAAACCTCAAACTTTAGAGTTCAGTTAAAACTTGTTCTTAGTTTTATTTTCCAAAATAACTAAATGGGAAAGGTGGAAATAAAATATATGACACGTTTGTTGTATTCATTTCCTCTAGCTTGGTGAAATAAAGGCTGGGCCAAGTATAAGAACTTGGTGCCATCTCTAAACATAAACTATAAATTCTTAATTCAAGGATTTTTCCAATATAAATTTTGTCTCCAGTGCTTTTATTCAGGAAATCTCTATCAGATCCTGCTATATACTGGATACTGTATAATATAGTCATCCATTAAGCAATTTTTCTCCTTCTTGAGATGAAGATTTAGATAAAGCAACCACTTTTGCCTAATGTATTCATACCCAAGTAATACAGAGTACTAGTGTTAGCTTCAAGGTGCCAGTCTCCATTCTTGCTAGTATTCCAGTTCAGTGGATTTGAAGAACCATTCCTCATATCAATAACATTAAACATATCAGGGTTTTGTGTGAAGTTATGAGATATGATTACATAGTCTTCTTCCTATAAGTTGGTAAAAGTAAGTATGATTAGTTTTATGTTTATACCTTGCATGGTAAATTAATTTGATGACATATAATTTGCCCCTGTATTACCACTTGGTTGTTTTTAACCTTGCATTTTTCTTATTAACATTTTACATATCTGTGGCAATAATGATTTTATATATCAATGACAAAACTCTAACATCACTAGTAAAGTCCCTCTTTCTCTTCTCTCACTCTTCTATCCCCCTCTCTCTATCTACCTACATATACATATTCACTAACATATATTTGCATTTGAACAACATTTCTATAATATTTAAAACAGTGCTAGGCATTTTTATTTTACTGCACTCAAATGCAGTACAGATAGAACATAGAAAGACCAGTACAGGGTACTGGCTACTGTTAAAGATGGCAATAAGATCATAGTAAATCATTTAGGCAACTTATACTTCATTGAAAATGCTTACAACTTAAAAAACTGAAAGTTTTTTAATAAGATGCTAGACTCTTTTTCATAAGATGCTAGACTCAGAGCAAGGTGTTGGACATACAGGAGGTAGTTTGCTATTTTCTGTGTTTATATATTTCACAGTAAAGATAATGAAACTATTAACTGCTACCTGAAACATCATAGGCACTAAGTAAATGATATTATCATGATACTAATTACAGGACATAAGTTTAGTGCTCTGGGCTTATGCAGAATAATTGTTTACTCCTGTTTCTTAAACAAGTTGCTTTGATTTGATATGCTTGAGCTCTCTTCTTAGATTTAAGGTGGCTCATGGAGAGTGCTGACTTTCGTAAATCGGTATTGGAGGGCAGGGTGTTCTCACCCCAACAACTGGGATGAGGATGAGAATGTAGGCTACATATGAATAATATGCAACCATAATTATTATAAGATGTACTTTATAGCTTCTCACTTACCTTAAAGCCATAGAATGTCGACGTATACGATATATTGGCTATGTGATCTACATCTTTAAAATACCAGTTAATATGCCTGGCATTTGGAATGAGAGCCATCCATCCTGACATGTGAGTCAGTCGTTTCTTCTGAAAAGGAATAATGCTTGTGCCTGTAAGAGAAATAAAGCAAGAAACCGCAATGGCTCCCTCTCAGAATCATCTCCTTTTCTGAACAAGAATAAATGTAAAATATCGGTCCGGTCTATGGAAGAGGTCAGTACAGAATTTTGTTACTCATGTTGAATAGCACACTTAATGCAAACACAAAATGCTTCCTCACTTAGAATTTTAAACTGAGACGACAACTTTCTTTAGGGAAATATAAAATGGAAACACGATACCAATTTATATGACAAAACTAAATCAATGTATTAATGATTCTTCAAATATCATTGACCTAAAATAAAACTCCCTTTCTATTTTTTTTAAAAGATTTATTTATTTGTGCATACAGAACTGGGGTACAGGCCAGAGACTCAGGGGTGGCGAAAGACTTAACCAGAGACAGAGTGGGAAGCAGAACAGGCAGATCGACAAGTACACTGCTGAGGGGAGCAGCGGGCGGGTCAGGAGAGGTCTGCCACGCCATGTGGTCACCTCTGGGGCACGCGGGAATCAAACTCTTGTGAAAGTGGTTTCAGCTTCTTAGTGCAGTGCTTTAACCCGCTGCGCCACCAGGAAGGGCCCCCTTTCTATTTTTTAAGAGCTATATTCTTCAGAATACTTTACGTGCAACTATGCAGACATAAACTTGGATTCATTATTAGATTCTGTTCTGTAGATTCTGTTGAGTTAATGAGTTAACAAGTACTAATGGGAAGGTTTGATTTGAAATCTTAAAAGGACTAAGTTATATCCTGATCTATAGACCCCAGCCACTGACCAAAATACCTAAATTTTGTGAATGCCAAACTTGGACCCAAATTACGGGAAAATTACATAATTTGATTAAAAGATAGATCCTGGAGACTTCAGTAGAAGATTCAAAAGGATCTTATATAAATAAGAAAATAGGCAATTAGTCATTCTTTCCATTTCTGAAGGAATTTTGTGTTAAACAGGCAACCACTTCCTTTTCAAATTTTAAGGAGGAAAAGTTAGAAGCAAGATTACAAAATAAACTGTCATCTTCTTTATTTTGGTGGAGGGAGAGAAAATAGCAATCCAACATCAAAGCCAAAAAATCCAGTACCAAATTTATTCATTATAAGACTTATGTAATAGGTTTTGACTTGAAAGGGTCATAAGCAGAAACACTAAAAATTTATGGTTCCCAAAATCCTTAAATATATGAGAACTCTGACAATGGGGGTACTGTCAGTAAATATCCATACTTCCTTTTTGAGAGAGAGCAGACACTTCCTCACCCCAGGGATGCTGGGTAACTTTCCTGTAGAATGATACTTGCAAAGGTTTGAGAAGTCCCTGCTGCATGAGGCTGGTGTCTTAGGCTTCTGCCATCTAGCCTCTGCCATGACAGTGAAGAGCTTCCCCCAGGAGCTCCCCTGTTAGCCTGAAAACTATAATGTACACAGGAAGCAGCTCTAATTCAAACTTGGGTAGAAGAAAAGTCCTCTGGATCCTCACTCAAGCAGAGCCACTCAGATGAACCCAGCCTAGATCAACCAAGACACGTGAATCAAAGTGAATGACTATAGGTCTAAGTTACTAAATTTTGGGAGAGCTTGTGAAGAAAAAAAAAATAGCTGCCAAATAAGAACTAATTACAATTATACAAAACTTCTAGAATTTCTTTCTTTATTTGGCAGGACCAAACTCCACTGAAGATTCCTAATGTATAGAATTGCACTTTAACCTTACATTCTTTGACAGTACAGTTTTATAAGTAAAACATTTTCACTGTTCCTAGTTTTTTGTATTTTTCTGGCTCTACTCATTATATTCTCATTACATTAATTTAAGCATCCTGAACTGAAATACAAACACTTTGAAGTTGACATTAAAAAATAGTATCATTAAAGGTAGTCATCTCAGATTAATTTGCCATCATAAATATATTCACATAAAGAGACATCATATGTGACATCCTTTGATAATGACATATAATGGTAAATGTAGTCATAATAATTTTTCCCCACTGAACTAGCCTAATTATTGAACTTTGGAATCATTTAAAATACATATAAAGTCAAAGCAAATGAAATATTTTTTTTTTAGTAGTAACTTACTTGATTTCAATGGAAATACAACAAAAAGTCAAACTTCCCTAATATTAAAGGTGATCTAGTCTTTATGTTACATTAAAAATTGCCTTCTGTGGGGCTTTCTTTACTTTGCAGTATTACTTGCAGTATTACTTGAGTATTACTTGAGTCCATCTCATTTAACACTTACTGATCCCTTTTATTTGTAATATCTTATGTGTGACAGAAATATAAGCTTATAGTTGTTACTTCCAATATATTCACAGTTTAGTAATTAAATAGAACACTTACCTTTTGAGTGAGAAAGCCAAGGACAGAGAGACACTAAGAAAGCTACAATGTCAAAAACTCAGAAATACTAGACTACATGAAATACAGAAAAACACATCTAAATTAGTAATTTAAACTATTAGGTTTCACTCACCGAAAGAGTCTGAGAGAACCACCTCTTTTTCCAGCAGAGACCTGGGAGAAGGCTTATTGAATGCTAAACGGTGGAAGCTGACTGTAGCGTCACAGACAGACCCAGGGAAGCCAATGCTCCACTGAGCGTCTTGAGTGCAGTGAGAAGGGTCCAGCAGTGAACTGTGGGGAATGACAGTATGTCCTTTGTGACCTTGGAAATGAACACAAACAGCACATTTTATACTTCATGTTAGAAGACTAATAAACCAAACAGAATAGAATGTATAGACATGATGATCCATAGCACCACTAATGAAATTTAAATGGCTTGGTAACTTTTTGGCCTGCAGTGAGGAGAGCTCACATAGTGGACTCCAGTCAGAGACTTATTGTGGATGTAGCTGAAACATGGGAACTGCAGCACAATGAGAACTGATTGTAGGGGATGGGAAGTGGGATCAGTAACTTAAGACAAGGACATGTGGAAATGTGGAAAGGGGCCTCTCTGGTGGCACAAGGGGTTAAAGCTCATTAGTATGAAACTATCCAGTGCCACTGCAGGGTGAGTTTGATTCGAGACCAGGGGGGCGGCCCCACATGGTGCAGCAGACCTCTCCTGTCTTACTCACTGTTTCCCTCAGCAGTGTGTTTTGGTCATTCCATCCGTTGTGCTCCCCAGTCTGTCTCTGGTGAATCCTCTCACCCACCACACCTCTGGCCTATACCCAGTACATGCATACATACATTCTTGTATGCATAAAGAAATGAATCTAAAAAATATTTAATAGAATATATCCAATTTTTCCACATGGCTTATTCAAATAAACCTGGAATTCATAAGTTCATGGGGTATGAATGGGTAGTTGGGTAGTCATAGAAGAAGTTGGGTCATCATAAAAGCAGTTTTTCTTTTGTGTAATTGAGTATGACTGGAGGAGTTCTAAAATGGAAGCAGCTTCCTTTTGTAATTGATGTTTCCATAAATATTGTTCAAAATATGCTGCTAATTCAAAACCAAAATGCAAGTGCAGGAAAAATTAGAGGTTGCATTTGGGGCTCCTGAAGAAAAGAGTATCTCATCTATGCCTAGTGCTATCTTAAATCATTGATAAAGTTTGATTCTGGATAAGATCTATGATTTACGTGAATCTGTTTTAACATTCACCTCCCTGTATTAGTACATATTTCCCAATGTGTTTTAACATTACCTGTCAGTGAACCATCAGTATCAATCAGTACAACTTCATGTTCCCATCGAAAGCCAGCCTTATTTGGTGTATTAAAATACCGGATGTCAACAAACTTCACGCTCCAACCTCCACATCTGTCATTGCAAACTCCAGTGATGGATGTCACCCCCAAAGCTGCACAGTTGGGACGGTCAAAGTTCATGAAGTGCACAGAAGATACAGTCAAACCCTCACTAAATGGGAGAACCAGGCCTTTGATTGTGCAAAATGCAGACCCCATTCCCAGTTCATCAAGATGACCAACGATTTTGGCATTTTTTACCACTGCTCCATTGGTTTCACCCCACCCTCCAACATAAGGGGCTAGGATCCTCTTAGTCTCAATTCCAGCCTCATAATTATTTACCATCACAAAGTTATGGAATTGAAGGGCACCTCCATTGACCCATTCTGCGCCTTTTTGACAGTTCCAAGTGGTGAGTGAATTAAAGATTGCAGGTACTGGCACTGTGGAAGTACAAGATCCTGTTTGCATGGGAAAATATTCTTCAAATATCCATATTCCAAACCAACCTTGAGAATGTACAGTGTTGTTAAAAAATTCTCCAAGAGGAACTCTTTTTTGGCAAATGTTTCGGTCATAGGATGGACCATCGGGGTGGTTGTTCATTCGGTACCAAAAGCCAAAGTGAGTACCACCAGCAACTGCATTGTGTCTTATAGTGTTGTTTGGGTTGGTTACCCAAAATGCAGCTGGGGTCACATCATCATTCAGAAGACTCATACTTTGTTGTACAAATACTGCCAAGTTATATTGTAGGATATTGCCATGTTCAATACCATCTTCTATAAAAAATGCTCCTCCTCTGATATCATATATAATATTCCTCTCAACCAGAAGGTGATGCGTATTATGGATGGTAACAGCTCTATTATAGGCCTGGTGAATTGCACAACCTTTTACATAAGAGCTATATTTTAAGTCTCCAAGCAGGTGCCAATGTATTGGATATCGCCCCAATCGGAAAGCCTGTCCAGCGTGGAATATCTGTCAAGCCAAAGATCACAGCTCTTTAGTCATATGTGTGGACTCAGAGTTTGCTGCTGTATATTTTGTTTCAAAATGCTCATCTTTAATCTTACATTAATTATTATGAACACATTTATATTTCCCATATTATTCAGGGTTAGCATTGAAAACATTAGTTGGCTCCCACTTCGCTTTACTTTATTCATTATGTAACAACCATATGTGATGTCAAATAAGTGAATGAACAAGAACAAGCTCTGCTCTTCCGTTTCACATTCTGGTCTATTATGAAAGTTTTGTATTCAGTAAAATAAAACCTCTTAGCTGTCTTTTCCCCCTTCATTTACACAATAACATTTCTTGAAGTAAAAGTTTCCTGGATGCCAAACCCTGTACAAAGTGTCTGATATAGATGATCACAAACTTTATCCCAATCCAATGAAAACAAACACATCATTAACTTCATTTATTGAGGTGTAGAACGTTTGAATTCTTGTTCACGGTTGCACAACTCCATTTAAAAGCAAGTTGGGCTGATTCTGTAGTGGGTGCTCTCATCAACCACTCTGCTCTACTTTCTTTGAGAAATAACCCGACTAAATGAGAATGTGGGCCATGGAACTATTTGGTAGAGGAACATTCTCAGCAGAATGAAGAGCAAGTGCAAAGACCCTGAGTCAGGAATGTGTTTGACATGGTCAAGGGGCTGGTGGTGGGCACAGTGAGGGAGGAGGAGGAACAGTCACAGAAGGTAGAGGCAGAGCCCAGCAGGGGGAAGATCATGTGGGTCCTATGTGAAGGATTCTGTCTTTCTGCTTTTAATTTATTTGTTTGTTTGTTTAGTTATTATTTTTGTATAGAAGAACTGAGATATAGGCCAGTTCTTGGTATGAGGTATGGGAGGTCGGGGGGTAAAAGGTTTCACCAGAGACAGAGTGGGGAGAGCAGCTAAGGGGAGCAGCAGGAGAGACAGGAGAGGTCTGCTGAGCCATGTGGGTCAGCTTCCTAGCTGGGGATCAAACACAGGCCATCGTGGTGGTAATGCTGAGACTTAGCTTCTAGGCCACCAAGGAGGCACCCAGGCTTTCTTGCTTTAAGTATAATATGAAGTTAATAAAGGTTTTTGAACAGGCTGTAAAAAATCTGATTTACACATAAACATTTTTACCCTGGCTCTGTTGTGGATTTTAAGGGAGTAGAGATGGAAGCAGGGAAACCAGTTAGGAGAAAATCCCAGGAGTCACAGTGAGAGGTGGTGGTGGAGTGGACTAGGGAATAGTTGAATGTAGTAGAAGAAAGTATGTAAACTACAGATTTTGTGTGAAGAGTCAATAGAAATTATTGATGTTGAGTATGAGAAAAATGGAGTGAAAAACGGTTTAAAAAGCAGTTCTCTGTTTACTTATCTGGCCCCTCTATCAGATTTAAGCATTATCAGACAAACAGCAGGAGCTCAATATACATTAGAAATGGGTGACCACTGGCATGATAAAGCCCCTTACCTCTACATGCTCGATTCTTCCAATTACCATGTTGGCACCAGGTACAGGAGCATGAAGCATTATGCAGCCACCAAACTGGTCACTCCCTATTTCTTCTCCAAACTTTCCTTGGAAACATGTCTGGGTAGCAAATTCACCTTTAAAAAGATATTTTGAAGACATCACAAGAAAAGCCATGTAAAAGGACTCTATATGAAGATATGTCCCCTCATACATATATCTTTTTACTCACATATATTTTTTGAAATCTATCCTGGAACATAACTATTTGCATTATTTGTATTTTGTTCCAGATAATGGATAAAAAATGGTAAATACCGGCCCTCCCTGTTGGGGCAGTGGGTTAAAGCACTGTACTGAGAAGCTAAAGCCACTTCCGCATGAGTTCGATTCCCGCCTGCCCCGGAGGAGACCACATGGCGAGGCAGACCTCTCCTGACCCGCCCGCTGCTCCCCTCAGCAGTGTACTTCGTTGATCTGCCTGTTCTGCTCCCCACTCTGTCTCTGGTGAAGCCTCTCACCGCCCCTGAGCCTCTGGCCTATACCCCAGTTCTGTATGTACAAATAAATAAATCTTAAAAAAAAAAAAAAGGTAAATACCTTATCTTTTTCACATGTCATTCTCTAAATACTTACTAAACATTTTTCAAAGATACTAAATAGATGGATGGCTGAATGACTAATACTGATAAGGTATTTATCTCTGAAGCTTGCTCCCAAGATTTGGGGAATTAACATAATTCATGCAATTTTATATTTGCATAGCAACAGAGTATGCATTATTATCCCATTTTATTCTTACAACTGTACTCAGTAGGGTGAATAGTAACTATTCTTATTTTAAACAGAATGAAAACAGATTTTCAAGGACATCTGCCTTGGTACAGATGATGTATAAAGAATATAGGTCATATGACATCAAAACCAGGGAGCTTTGTCTAACATTGTACTTTCCATTGAAGAAAAGCATGTATCTATGCTGTCTCTGTCGTTATTTAACTGCTTATAGGATTGCACTGGTAATGAGTATGTAAAATATTTAAAAGTACATTTAGCTTCTTAAATACACACACACACACACACACACACACACACATATGTATAAGAACTGTGGTAGACATGAAGCTTTATCCATACTCAGTTCTCTTCCACTTCTGAGTATAGAGGGGTTTGTGCTAATTCACTTGCTTGAATTAAGCACAACAGTAATGAAATCAGTTCTGACTAATGACATTTTAGTCAATTTTAGGATTAAAGTTTTAATTGCTTGTGTCTGATTCTCCAGTCATCTTGTCGCCTCTCTCAGAGGCCATGGATAGCCGGGTGGGTCAGAGCCTCCATCAGCCTAGATCCTGGAATAATTACAATGGGCAGAGGCCCCTATTAACCCATACTGAACATGTGTTGCACATGTGAACAATATACATTCCTCATTTTAACATCACTGTGGTTTGGAATACTGATCACCACAATATAACCCTGTTGAGGGCTTTCAAATGGGAGATTATTTTGCCCTCAGAGAATATTTCTGCAATGTATGGAAACATTTTGAGTTGATTCTGTACAGCTGCATAATTACCTGTATTAAATCCATCAGGACATGGTGGGATTTTATTATTCCACTCTATATTATCGGATCCTCTTATTAAAATATTCCTGGTAAGAACTCCAACTTCTGCCCTTGCTTCAAACAGAGTTCCATCAGGGAGGGTGACAGTGATTCCGAGGTGTGTGTGATTCAGTGTATTAGTCAGCGTTATGTGCTTGCCGTCAGCAGATACAGATGCTATGGTCATTTTCTCATTCTCTCGTTGACTGTGTCTGTAAAATTTTTAAAAAATTCACTTAAATATAAATCAACACAGTATTCTGGTGTGTTTACTTTATTCTATCTTGAACACTTAGCTGTAAAACAGAAAACGTTTAGTGTCATACAATATTCTGAAGAGTAATCTGAAGATAGTATTTTACTGGTTTCTGAACACATTTACAGATGCATTTCAATTAAATAGGTATGTTCCAAGCATCCTTTTTCCATAGAACTGCATCAATCCTATAGTGTAGTTAAAAGAACTTAATCTACAAGTTAGAGGATCACATTCAGTCCTTCTCAACTGGGAATGAGTTTGTCCCCCGGAGGGATATTTGACAATGCATGGACACTTTTTGGATGTTATGCTGGAAGGTGATACTGATCTCTAGTGGGTAGTGGTCAAGGATGTTTCCAAACATCCTGTGACACACAGTAAAGAAGTGTCCTGTCCAAGAGGTCAGAAGTTCTGAGGCTGAGAAGCCATTGGAGGTTCCTGAGCATGCCAAAGAAATGACTGAGGTAGTTTCAGAGGTTTCATTTCTACTATTCCTTCAGTATAACTTAAGTCTAGTCAAGAAAAAAAGTTACTACTCTGTACAATACAGATCCACGTATTTAGTCACCCAACAAGCAATTTATTGAGGGTCTAGCCTTTTTCTAGGATCCGAGCTTAGTGCTGGGGCTACCAAGTAGAAAGTACGCCTGACTTGAAGTTGACACATCTGTCAAGGCCTGATTGTAGAGTGTCTACAAAATTGTGATTGGCACTGTTACCTTTTTCTGGCATTCCCTTTGATGACCTTCCCCCCTGGAAAATCTTTCATTTCCACTACATGGAGATAAGTTCTACTTTAAGTGCAATATACATATACACTCACTTAATTCTTGGGTTAATTCTGAGATTGTTGTTAACAGAATTCCAATTTTACTGAAGCTTGGAGTTTGAACTTGGCAGGCTGATTTATGAAGTGGTGTTTTTATTTATTTTCCAGCTATCACAGTGATACTTATTTTTTTTTAAAGATTTATTTTTTAATGCATACAAGAACTGGGATATGGGCCAGATTTGTGAGGGGTGAGAGGATTCACCAGACACAGAGTGGGGAGCAGAGCAGGCAGATTAATTGAAATACAACGTTGAGGGGAGTAGCCGGTGGGTCAGGAGAGGTCTGACATGCCATGTGGGTCAGCTCCCTAGCCACGAATCAAATTGGAGCTACAGTGGCTTTGGAGAGCTGTGCTTTAACCCATTGCACCACCAGGGAGGGCTCTGTGATACTTTTTTTTTTTTTTAAATAGTATCAAATTTTATTGTGGTGGCACTGGTGAATAACCTGCACATGTTTTAGGGCCAGTAATATTTATTTAAAAATATATGATTATGGCCCTCCCTGGTGGCGCAGCGGGTTAAAGCACAGCACTGAGAAGCTAAAGCCACTTCCGCATGAGTTCGATTCCCGCCTGCCCCGGAAGAGACCACATGGCGAGGCAGATCCCTCCTGACCCGCCCGCTGCTCCCCTCAGCAGTGTATTTCAGTCACTCTGCCTGTTCTGCTCCCCACTCTGTCTCTGGTGAAGCCTCTCGCCACCCCTGCACCTCTGGCCTGTACCCCTCAGTTCTGTATGCATAAATAAATAAATCTTTAAAAAAAAAATATGACTATGAGTGTATATGTGTGTGTCTAATAATGACATTTCCCTAATTAAAATATGTCATTAGTTTTGTAGTTTTGTAAGTAGAATATAAATCTCTAGTATGAATGAACAATGTTGTCAGCCAAAGGCTCTACAAACTCTCAAATACCATTTGCTGATGAAATAGTGAACATTAATTCAGATTTGGTAGAGAACTCCTTAAGTTTTACTTCTTCAAATACACTAAATTTTGAACTTCCTCTTCAATTTCACACAGAAAAGCTGTGAGGATTTTCCATTCTATTAGTAAACCCTATCATTTTGCTACTATTTCATTTTTGCCATTATATAATTAAATTTTCTTCCAAGGGCAGGAAAAAAATGGGCATTTATAAAGCTAAGTATATATTTTACTCTTCCTGACATCTACAAGTCTATTTTTAACTTGAAAAATGGCAAACTCAAAGGCCATCTTGAATTTTAATTTTAAATTGAGTGCCACTTTTAACATAATTCCCTATTTCTTGTCCTGAGTTACTGTGTGTTCCCTGATAAGCATAAAATCACATATAATTTTGCTACTATCCACAATTTGAACAATTAAGCAAAAATAAAGCTCTTCTTGCTCTCTTCCCCCATAGATATTGTTACTGTAACTATCTACATTAGCTTTTTCTTTATTTGCTGAAACATATAATTAAACAGAAATTAAAGGCCATGACAAGTTTCAACTGTGAAAGGTCAGACTTGTAAAAGGTCAGTTAGTCATCACTTACTTCCCTTGTATTCAATCATTACTAACAATTTTGCTCCATGGAAACCATTGTCAATGCTATAAAGTAAGAAATAATTCACTAGCTACTTCCAACCAAGTTTTCTGGTGACTCCAAACAAGGAAGTTCATTTACATTTTTGAATAGATTTTATTAGCTAAAGCTCCAAGTCAGACATTTGCCAGTAGCTCTTAATAGCAGGATGCTTCCTTCGACCAATATCTCACAAGGGAACATAACCATAACAAAACAGTAAGGTATTTTATTGATATGTATTTACCTTATAGGTACAAATTCATACTTTTTTCTTTAATGTAAATTCAGTCAATGCAAACAACATACTAGCAATCAACCTACTGTTAGTATTTAGTAAATGCACACTTGGCTGTTCATACTTTCTTTGTTAGATGTTTTGAATTTAAATCAAACAGTTGTGGATCTTCTGATTCATCCTTCTTTTCCATAGCCAAAGCCAAAACAAAACAAAACAAAAAAACCTCTGTTCTAAATTAAAGTTATCAGGTCCAGAAGACATCATACCTGTGTCCTGTGCTTGCAATTACAATTTTATCTCCTGCTTTCCAGGTTACTGCTTCTTGTAAAATCAAAGTCCTTTCCCCGGCCTTTGCAGTATGAGCCAAACGTGTCCAAACCACAGGAACTGGCAGACCTGGACCAACATACAAAGCCAGGACTCACTCAGAGATGCTTTCTTATACTGAGAACTTTAGGTATTATAATTTTTTTCATATTTGAATCAATTTTTGGAAGGTTCATTTTACCTTAGTATTCTATACCTTTCTTAAAAAGGGAGTATGATTATGAAAGAAATACCTTATAAGACCAGCAATAAATTACATAATGATATGTATGTTTATGAAATTAAAAAAAAATCCTTTTGCAAGAAGATAGTCTGTTTATGGCTATCTTTTATGAGAACACAATATAAATACAGTGTGATGCCAGTGATAAAATGCGCAGAGGCCTATTATCTTTGTCACTGTTGACAGGAATTGCAGAATATTTGTGTTCATAGTAGAACATAATGTTTACACATCATAAAGTAATGTTTTTACATTGTGAATGTACAAGAGACAACTTGTTTCAATACAGAAAACAATATACAAAGGAATCATACCATGCTTCCTTTAATAAGTTATCTTGATACTTTAAATATGATAAAAATCATTTTCATTTGCTGGTAATCTTCCAAAATATAGTTAGAGAAAAATATGACCATAAATTTATGGTTTTATTTTAGTCATTTAAAAATACAAAGGTATGAATTCCCAGACTTTAATGCCTTCTCATATAGATAAATGAATGCAGTAAACAATCAGCGGGTATTGTGATAAGTATTAAATTAGGCAAAAGTTATTATGGGAGAAAATGGAAAGGGATAAAGAGGAAGAAAAGAGTCTAAACAGCTTCTCCAAGAGTAATGTGGTTATAATGTCTTGGTTCTTGCTCATATGTAGGGGCTGGCCCCTGGATAAAGGTAGGACAGAGATAACGAAGGTTAAGAGGGAAATTGCCATGTCAGGGACATTACAATTAGGCAGCGTTATTAGGCTGTCCTGGCCAGCCTGTCCTCAGCCAGTTCCCTGCATTACCATGCAGATCCAGGATGCCTTCTCTTACAGCCAGCGTTTTGGCACCATATACTGGGAGCTCAGGAGACCTCAGATTCCCATGCAAGGTAATGACAGCTTGGTGTTGAAATGGGGATGCTTCAGTACCAATCTGCAAGAGATTTCACAGGCATTATACTGAAAGCTAAACACGCTATCCATAATTCTAATCACTGAAAAGCAGTTATCCTAACTACCCTCTCTCTTTTCAGAATCAGCTGTCCAGTGATCAGAATCATTCTTAAAACAAAATAAAACAAAAAAACAAAAACCAAATTTTCTAGTGTGCCAAATAAACTATGCCTGAACTTTGGAAAGTATACTGATTTGCTTAAACCACACTGCAGAACTTGAACCACACTGTTCTATTTTAAGTTCTGTCCCATTATAAGACACTATTATCTTTCCATTAAAAGCACAAGCCTACTTAGGAAAACTTTTCTCCAGTAAAAGGTCTTTGTATTAATAGCAGAGACCTACAGAAAGGTAAACTGATGAGGGGTTAGTATAATTAATTGTCCATTTTGTAGAGTACTTTAAAAAGAAAAGGGGGAAAGGTGAACAATGAAAAGGCTAGCACATTTTGGCATATACCTGAAGGATGCCTCCATCTGTAATCAGAATATTTTCTGCCTGGAGTTCAATGTCAGTTTCATCAAATATTAGTGTCCCACCTATGAACCATAAAATTTAGAAACACTGTTTAACAAGGAAAATGATTATTAAAAATTGTTTGCTAAATTATACAATTACATCAATTCCTTGTTCTTATCCTGCTATTGCCATGCACATGACTTCATTTTAGTATAAACACTTCAGCCAAGACACAGGAAATTAATAGAAAGATAAATCCCAGGACAGATTATTTCCTTTTGAGCATCTTCTATTTTTATGCAATTAAAACTGTTCAGCTACATGAATTATAGTTCTATAGAGGGCCTCAAAACATAATTTATGAATAAAAGCAAAGTTAGAGAATAGCACTTTTTATAGAAATCATTATAAAACCATTCATAACCTCTGAAATTTTATCTACTAATTTGTAGCTACAGCTTAATGACAGAAAAGAATATATGGAATTCCATTATATGTGAGACTAACATAAACTTGTAGACAATAAATTTTTATTTAACCAAAGGCCCAATAGTTAATAACTTCAAAAAATGAAATAGTACTATAACCCAGAAGAAAAGACAAAAGTAAAATGCAAAGATCTTCAAACAACTGAAGCCATTATGGCAAAGTTTATACACTAAAGCCCAAAGTGCTTTACTCTTTTCAGTGATCCCTTCTTTTATATTTGAATATGAGGGTTCCAGTTATTTATTTTCTACAGTTAAAGCAGAATATCAAGAAACAGAGAGAAATGCAGGCAACAATCAATAGCAGGTTTATAGGCAAGGGAGAGACTCACAGAGTAGCATGCAAGAGGAGTCAGGGGTGTCGTTCATATAGAATTTAACAGCTCTCTATGATTATACAACCCCTGGGACCCACTATGCAGTGTTTTCTAAGCAGGAGCTAGCTTTTATGGCTGTGAGCTGCCGAAGTGCACAGGCACGCTGCTCTGGAAATAAACACAAAACACTTAACTTTAAAAGATGATTGCTTATCTAATGCAAGCTACTTTGATATTTTCTATTCTATTTCATTAAAAGGCTCTATTTGGAACAAACATATAATTTCATACCAAAAACGGATTGTAGGATTTAAAGCCTGAATTTAAATACAGAACTATGTTCTGTATTAAGCACATGGTATAACAATAGAAGTTCATAATCACTACTTCAGATTAAATTAACTTCACAGAAATATTCCACAGACAGAACTTAATAAATGTATTTTCAGAAATTTACCCTGAATAAGCAACATTTTCAGAATAGGAGTACTCTGATCCAGCAAAATTGTTTGTCCTTTTGTAATAACAACTAGTGACCCTTCCTCTGGGGGAGATTTCCCTCCCCATGAGAAGTTGGAGGACCAAGCATCAACATATAGGAAGTCAGCATTATCCTGTAATAGAACACAAGAGCCTTAAATTTAGAGGCTATCATCAGAATTCTACATTAAATGTCTCAAAAAAAAAAAACCCTTTAAGACAATGGATATTTTAATTCATAATAAAGTCTAAAGTAGGTTATATTTGCCTGTTGACTTATTTCATGACAGTAATAAATTAAAACATCCATTGCCAATTACCCAACAATCCAGGCTAGTTAAAACTCTGGAATAATAACATTTTAGTAATAAGCAATAAAAATATAAACTACTTTCCTTTTATTAGGTCGTCATATTTCAATTGGTTTTTGGAAATTTTAACAAGGTAAAAATTCCATTCCTAATTACTTCACCTCCCCCATATGATGATCACCTGTTTGGCCAAGCCGACACTTCTGATGCTCACATGAGCTGAAGCCCTCCCTGAAGACCTGTGGGCACCTGTCATGCAGATGATATGTGTCTGGTTGGAATATTCAACATCACACTTGGTTTCAGCTATGGTGATGGAAACATCCTGCATATTTTCACTGTAAAAGAGGGAAAACAATACATAGATGCTTTTTTTTTTTCAAGTTTCTAGGTCCCGTTGTCAAATCCTAACAGCCATATGCATTATTGAAAAAGTAAAGATCTTAGATTCATCAAAGTACAGACTGACACCTTTTCTCCATAGTAATGTTTCAAATATTTGTTGAGAAAAAAGTAACTGAAGAGATCAAGAAGCCAGCAGAAAAAACTGTATTTACTAACAGGTATTGCAGTATTGGGGTGAAACTGCTTTGGGTTCAATTTATTGAAAGACTTTTTGATGGTTTCCAAACAGGCACCTTCAAGAGACTTTCAGGGATTTGTTTTGGGATGTGTAGTGACATTTCAGTACATTTACAGACTTTAATCTCCATGTGAATAGGCAAGCCTGAGGTAGTCATAAGTATTTGTGGAGTTAAAATTGCCTTCTATGAATGAAATAAACTTGGATTTTGAAACAAGCCTTATCTATGTGAAGAATGATGACAGGGCAGTGAAGTACAAAAATTTGAACCAAATAATTTGAATATTTTTAAGGAAAAAGAATACAGCCATGATAATGAAATTTCCTGATGCATGAAGAGGGTTTCATTGACCCAATGAAGTAAGTTCATTGTTGGAGTAAAGATGTCAAGGAAAGTCTAACAGGAAGGTGATTTATGTTTGTAAAGCTACTTACTATATTTTTTAATCTCTCTAATCTCAATCCAACATTTTAAACCTCCATACTATAAAATGATCTAAATAAATATCTAACAGTTAAGGCAAGAATGGGGTAGGAATATGCCTGGAACAGAAGTGCTTCCTAGAAATTAGCTATAATACCATTCCATGCTTCTAACATGGCTTCTGAACATCTGGGTACACATTCCATGACTATATTGAAGCTCTGACTTAACATACAAGAGAGCAGAAATGATGGCTTCAGTTTGGAAATAAGCACCGATGTATGTGCACGTGTAGACAGTACCTGAAGCCTGATCCCGTGACTGTAAGTCTCGTGCCTCCGGCTGTGCTGCCTCTCCTGGGAGAGATTTCAGTTATGAGTGGAGTGAGGGACAGAGTGTACGTAAAAGGAGTCGTGGACTGTGACGCAGCCTTCCCATTGACCACACTCACTTCACAGGCTTGCTCAGGGCCGCTGCCTATAAGGAGTCAATTGAGAACCATTCTTAGTCATTTCCAAAACCTTCAACATCTTCAATAACATCTTCCTTTTCCCAAATCAGTTTCCAATATATGCAGGTAATATGTGCAGTCATATGATCTCCAGCCAATGTCAGATACATAAGGTTCATACATATCATCACAGGCTCAAAATAATCCCTTCACTTTTAGAGTTGCTTATACAGATAATGCTGCAAACCTACTGGTTAATCGTCCAGTCTTAGAGAACCCAACATGGCAAATTATATCAGGATGGAAGGAGGAGCTGCTAACAGCAGGCATAGTGACAACAGAAAGGAGTGACAGCTGAAAGCAAGATAAGAGACAGAAAAACTGCAAACATCAATACAGACATGTAAAAAGAAAGAGCAAGCAGAGCTAATGTTCAGACAACCTAAAAACCTCAGCAAATACCTACAGACTGTTCTATTAAAAAAAAAAAAAAAAGTCAGGATATGAACTCTGATCTTCAAATGATAAACAAGCCTAGGCATAAAAACATTACATTTTCTTCAACATTCTTTGTCTAATTAGAGAAAGGAGCCAATATGTATAGAAGTTTCATCAAACTTCTTCAGTGTTTAAAAAAACATTTATATGTAAAACATACATATATCATCTGGAGTATTCCCTCTTAGTCTTCTTAAACTGTTAGATAATTAAACTTTGTTGTGTTTTTAAAATACCAGATATTGGTTAATTAATTGATTAATTAAATTTCAATCGATAATATGAGGGTACCTCCATCTGTTATTACCCCATAGCACGCCCACTACCAAATCATCCATAGTCTACCACCACAGTCCACTGTGCTTCCTTCCTTCTCTGTTCTTATCCCTCCCTCTATACCCCTGCCTCCTTGATACTTCATCTGTAGTCAGCTTTCAAGAGTTAGTCTTTAAGCTTGTCTTTATCTTGTTATCTCAGTTACTATGTATTCCACATGTTAGTGACTCCATCTGAAAATACCAGGTATTTAAACCTCCTAACAACCCACTGAAGTAGGTCACAATATGTTTATTCAATAGATGGAAACGTTGAAGCAGTGAGGATTAAGCTAGGCTAGTTAAAGGTGAAACAGCAGTGGCAAAACAGATTCCAAGGCTACTCAGGGTCTATTTCTTAACTATTCAATAAAAATAAATACCAGTGATTAATACCAAATCACTTAGCACATTTCTTTCATATATCATTCCATTCACTTTATAGATTAACTTAATGAATCTCGTTGTAGTCATAAAATAGCTATTGTTACTATTTTCAATCTCATGATGAGGAAACCGAGGCCCAGAGAGGTTGAATATCTTACCCAAAAACAGGTTGGGTTTGAATGTTGGTGAATCAGTGTTTGCACTCATAACATTACACTGTCCTAACTAATATCCCAAAAGGAACAAACCTAACACATCATTGGGAACAAAATGTGTTCCCAATTGGCATGCTTCATTAACTAAGAGCCTACTGTTTATGTGATAAACTGAAAAAAAAAAAAAAAAAAAAAAAAAAACGGTATCTCAGACAACCCCAGATGTTATGAATCTTGAAAGACAGACAAACCTAGAAAAGCAAGTTCTAAATAAATTACTTATGATCCGGGCAGTAGTAAAGATGCTGAATCACTCCAAAGGGCACAAACCTTCAAAAGAGAAATTTACATGCTAATCTTCATATAATTAACCACTTTTTCAAAGGCTGTCATTTTTTTTTTCCTGACAACTTACCATTATTAGGTGGAATTTTACATAATAATGTTGTGTCATCAGAGTTAAGGGTATCGACTGCACATTCTGAGTCACATATGAATACCATTGAATTTTCTGGATTAAACCCAGTGCCTGTCAGAGTCATGATTTGACCTCCCCCAAAGCTCCCTATGTAGGAAAGAGAAACAGGGAAACACAGGTAATTAAAAAAATAATTTCTCGGTGTCTATAATAAATTTTTAAATTTTTATATATTAATTTTCTACTAAAATCTGAAATGGAATTTAGAGTAAATAAAAGATTCTTAACTGAAATTACGTATCATATCACATATATGATACCATACCAGACCTTTACAATGCAACAAAGTCTCACTTGGTTATATCATTTTAAAATCTTCACTGAGTAAATGTGTATATGATCATTTATTTAAGTCATTTTTAGAACTAAAATTTTCTTTTAAAGAAATCATAGTTTCAGAGTACTAAAAAAATGTAAAATTACTACTATAATTAAGACTACATTGTTTATACATTTTAAAAAACAGAAAGCCAATACTTATTTATTTACTTACTTATATCTGTAGACATAATTATAGCACTATGATGTCTAATCATTACTTAAAAAAAAAATTAAACTAAAAAACTTCCACATGTAACTTGTCCATTTTAAGTAGAGTTAAATTTTAACATTATGGACCCTCCCTGGTGGCTCAGTGGGTTAAAACACTGCACTAAGAAGCTTAAGCCACTTCCATATGAGTTCAATCCCCGCCTGCCCCGGAGGTGATCCACATGGCTCAGCAGACCTCTCCTGACCCGCCCACTGCTCCCCTCAGCAGTGTACTTCGTCGATCTGCCTGTTCTGCTCCCCACTCTGTCCCTGGTGAATCCTCTCACCCTCCGCATCTCTGGCCTGTACCCCAGTTCTGTATGAATAAATAAATAAATAAATCTTTAAAAAAAATTTTTAACATTGTAACATTAAGTAAAAATGTAGGCATTAAACTCATATTTTCGAAATGATGGATACTCTTGAATTCTTTCTTATTTGATACATAAATAAAAATGTTTTAAAGTTATAGTAACTACAAGTTTTGTCCCTGTTTGAAGAATATGTTTCTTTTCCTAAAACAGGTTACTTAGGTGTTTAACCCAAACAACATAAAACACTTCTAGGGTACTGCAGGATCTTGCAGGTACCTTGGCTTGGATGTATATTTTGAATATCTAGTGGGTATTCAAATGCAACTGTGGACACGGCAGAACCTCTGGTCTTATGATGCAACTCAACAGGAAAAGTGCCACCAGCGTGATCTCCAACAATGCACTGTAACACAGTATCGTTGACCATGGTTATGTTGCATGGGACATTATTTATCATCACTGAAATTTCCAAGACATCAACACCCAAATTAGATCCACTGATCTGAATTTCAGTTCCTGGTGGGCCTTTAAAGAAAAATCAAACAATGTTACTCCATTAGTAATAGATACATTTACAGGTAGACCTTTTTAAATAAAAAAATAAATAAATAAAATAATATCCACTATTTTAAAACTAATATTTACAAAACATATATATTTTTTTCCTTTAAAGATTTATTTACTTATACATACAGGAACTGGGGGATAGGGCATAAATGTGTGCGAGGTGTGGGTGAGAAGATTCGCCAGAGACAGAGTGGGGAACAAAATAGGCAGATCTACTGAAAAACACTGCTGAGGGGAGCAGTGGGTAAGACAAAAGAGGTCTGCTGTGCCATGTGGCTCAATTCCCTGTCTGGGGATTGAATTCTTGCTGTGCTGTAGTGGCTGCAGACAGCTTCATAGTGCTGCACTTTAACCCCTTGCGCCACCAGGGAGGACCCCAAAAGTACACTTTGACTATAATATACCTTATAATAGTTGGCATATTAGTAATAGTTATTTTACTCATCATCCATTCTTTTCCAGAACTTCTGTTCATTCTAGTGAACAGTTCTGGAACAATTCTAATTCCTCCTTGCAGAGAAGAGAGAAGAAAGGAGAGCTCTAGAGTTAGGAAACAGAAGCTGAGCAGGAAGATTGAAGTATATTATAGGAACGGGATTTACTATTTTTTTTTGTATTTGGTGTTTTCCTGATTTGGGGCTTACTGTTTTTTATATTTGGTATTTTCCTAATTTGGATAATTCTTTTGAGGATGGACTAATTTTCAAATGGACTACTTAAGCAAAATATTTTCAATATATATGACTTGATAAATTATGATATAAAGTTACTGTAGGATAGTAAATACAAAAAGTAAGAACAAACATAATTAAAGACAGGTGGATGAAGATTACATAAATAAGCATTCCAAAAGCTTAAAAATTATCAAACCATCTAGCATAAGGATAATCTATTCTTAGTTTAGAGATAAGTCAATCTAAGTAATTAAGCAAGTCTTATTTTATGTTTTCTTTATTTGAATGGATTAAGTACCTCCTTAAAAATAATTTTATTGTCTTAACTAGTTAATAATAGATTCTTAGGTTCATGGAAATAAAGTATTTGAATAATTACCACTCTTAGTAAAATCAATTGCTTGTGAATTTGAATAGGTTTTCGTAGGCTACATAAAATTTTAGGTCATGGATATTCATCTATTTCTTCCTCACTAAAATTTAGGTCAGCTGAAGGAGGATTTTGTTCCAAAATAGAAGTTGGAATTTGACTAAATATTTTGTCCCAAGAATGTGCAAAATGCACGTAATAGAGACCACAAGTGATTACTCAAATCCCATGTACTGATTGGATTAAATATGATTGCCTAAAATAACATCTTAATAATCATGTATAAACATCATTCCAATACTATACAAGTCACTATTACCGACACTATGATATCAAGACAAAGACAGACGTTGGAGTACCTGTGCTTGGGACAATTCCACTGAGATGCGGAGTATTCTCCAAGGCATAGGTAAATGACAGAGGCGGGTAAGCAACTGCATTAACAAAGACCTTCACGCCGACTCTTCCAGCTGTCCCGGTAGGAGTGAGGCAGTGGACTTCACTGGAGTTGACAGAAATGATTTGACAAGGGTCATCCCCAACAATTATCGTGGTGTTGCCTGGATAGAAACCATTTCCTACGATCACTAGAGTAGTTCCGCCACGAATGCTTCCGGAAGTTGGCGTGAGAGATGCTATTGCGGGGCTGCTGACAGTCAGGTTCCCCAGAGCTAAGCCTTTGGACCCCACCACAACACTAAGAGAATGGAGTCCAGCCGGGAGGGGAGTCACAAGAACAGTAATGTTATATTCATTAACAGCTATTACTTGGAACTGCTGGTTTCCCATGAAAACAGCAATGTCCTCCAAGATGGTGCCAAAGCCTTCTCCTTCAACAAGAATCATTTCAGACCCTATGATAGAGTTTGGGGATATCCTTGTTATGGAAGGAGCAATGCTTTCTAAATATAAAAAGCTACAGTTCCCCTGACACTGGGCAGGCACTCCATGTATTAGAAGATCTACTTTCACAAGCTGTTGGGAAGCAGGAGATGTTTCACATTCGATGGCTGTATAATTCACTGAGAGGACTTTGCAAGGAAAATACCCCAGAAGGACTTCTACATCTGCAGAAGAAGCTGCAAATCCAGATCCTTTTATGGTCACTTTTGTCCTTCCTGTGGTTGACCCTGCATTTGGCACCACCATGTCAATATTTGGCAAAAGCACAAATCGCCTATCAAATTCATTGGACAGGGTATTGATTGCAGTGCCCAGATTGTAGACAGTTAATGTGACAATTTCCCTGATGCCGACATCCATTGAGTTTTGAGGGTCAATATGACACATAATAGAATGGTCAAGACTCTCTTCTACAACACAAGGGTAGCCACCAACTGTAACCTGAAAGTAAAACAAGTATAAAATCAGATCACTACCTTGCTGTAGAATGAACATAAATTTTATATTAGCAACAATTAAATTAAAAATTAATCCTGTAAATAAATATTTTTATTTATAAATTAAATTTGGGGGCTGATAAAGGCACATCTTGGCTCATTTAACATTATTACTGTACAATAATTGCATTATTATTTGTAAACCAAAAAAATGAAAACAACCCTCTACATATTCAGCCATAAGAAGAAATGAAATACTAGTACTTGGCACAATATAGGAGAACTTTGGACCTATATAAAACATTAGGCTTCATGAATAAATCAGCCACAAGTATCCATATATTATATGGTTCTATTTTTAAGAAGCATCCCGATTAGGGAAATCCACAAAGACAGAAAGTCATTAGTGGTTGTCTAGGGCCAAGAAGGATGAACAGTGTAAAAATAATGCCTAAGGTAGTGAAGTTCTTTTTGGAGGTAGTGAACATTTTCTAAAATTGTGTGTGGTGAAAAATATACAATTCTTGAATATCCTAAAAGCTATTAAATTGTGCAACTTAAGTGGGTGTGCTGTGTGGTATATGGATTATATCACAAGGAAATTCTTAGAATTAAACTATAATGTTTTGGATGAAATATTTTCCTTTAACTGAGGATGTATAATAAGAAGGTTTTCTATTTTTACCTTATTAGCACAAGTGGTATTACTGAAGCCACGTCCAGAAATTGTTATCATTTCTTTAACTGTTCCAGAGGAAGGACTAATTTTGCTTATAAATGGTGAGAAACAACTTGAGAGTTGAAAGTAGAATCTATCTGACTTTTTAACCCTAGTATTGTTCAGGTCACACGGTGGTTCTGTAGCTAAGCAGCTGGCCACTGAGCTTCCCAGGTGCCAATTCACAGGTCCACCTTTAGACAAAAAAACTGTCAGCATGGATAATATTCTAAAGCAAGGATACTTTTCAGACTCATTACTCTTTATTTTGACGAGGGTGGCTTGTATTCAGGTAAAACATTTCTTTTTTTTATTGCATGACAAGAGGGGTGCAGCCCTTATTACAAAGTTAAAAAGAAAGACCTGGACAAAGATGGAATAGTAAAAAGAGGAGAGTGAATACAAAATTACTTATTTTTCAATTTATCTAAGGCCTGATTCCAGGTGAAAAGAAAATTATAACATCATCTCATATTTTGACATATTCTGAATGTGTACAGAGTGTCAGAACTTTATTACATCACAAGTGACGTATACAAAGTTTCTGGAAAACGGACAGGACAACATTAACAAGGTCTTTATTCTATAGGATACACACCAGCTTCAGAACAATCCAGGTCTACTCAAGGTCATGTGGGTAAGAAAAGTCAGGCAGAATTAGACCAGTCCCCTGCCTCCTATTTCAAAAAGGTCTCATTACCCTGGCCACCCACTACATGGTTTGTCCTTTACTCTCTTACCTTGAGTATAGGTGGATTCAGTGCCACCCACAAACAGGTGCAGAGGAAGATCCCTGGTTTCAGCAGGCACAACATTAATGACTCCTTGGAGAAACACGGACTGAGCCTCATCAACATACCCGCTGCTATAATAATGGATTCCAGGTGAAGTAAATTGGTAGGAAAATGAACCTGCCATAAAATGAGATTGCACATAATAAATACAAGCAATTAATGCATCTTTGAAAAGAAATTTGAAGTGATCATTCAAAAGCAGATGTGGGTGACAGGTTTCTAATTTCTGATGTGTGTGATATTTCAACAGAAAGTGGTAAGGAAATGACTCCTGGACTGTAAAAAAGCTATTTTGAATAATGGGATTACAATCTGGGAAGACAAGACCCAGCATTCATTTTTCTAGGAAACCATATCAAGTCTGATATAACTTATAAAATATTAAAGAAAAACAAATCTTGGGTTGTGTTCACTGAGTGAAAAGCTCAAACGGCAACATATTTAGAACAAAAAGGCAGTCTAACAGGCACCCCCACTGAGGTGTTGGAGCAATACTAACTTTAACACTCATTATAATCAGCGGCAGTTTCTTACTCACTACCAGGTTAGTATGATTAAAACACATATTCCAGTTTTTCTTTGTACTTAGCTAGTTTTGATGTATTTTTTCAATTGGTTGACTCTTCCAAAAACAATAGAGAATTTCTGATCTCAGAATTCATCTTGAATGTATGCAATACCTAGAAAATATTATTTTATATTGTGTAATGTTTTACTACAGTAACAAAATGCCTACATTTTGTATACTGTATGTATCATGTAAAATACTTTATTTTTGGAGGACAATGAATTAATTTATGTATTTTATTGAGTTAATATAGCGGTTAGCACTTTGCATTGTATGAAAGCACGTTCAATCTAAATTATTATATCAAGGAAAAAGAAGTTTAATACAATACTCAATAAAGTGGAAGCATACCTGATGCAGATTTTTCTCTTCCATTTGTAAAACCTTTACCATCATAAATTACACTTCCAGGACTGGACACAGAGAAAACTCTAAATCCTATCCTTGTGAGAAAGGGATGTGTTTGCCATTGCCATGTCACTGTGTCACCCACAGACACATTTAACACTGATGGAGACCAGGCATAGCCTAATCCATGTACTGGGAGCAAGAAATAAGTCATATTTTAGAGGAAAAAAAGAGAAGAAGCAAAAATTCTTAGTAATTATCTTTGAAAGTATTACATTTTTATACAGCCATTAGTACTATACTTCTTGATTAGTATAAAAAATTTTCAGGTGCATAATTTAAACACATAAAAAATAAATAGGAAATAATGGAAAATAATATTATATGAACACAGGGTAAAATAAACTGCACAACTCCAAAGCTGATGGTCAAGAGACAGTATGAAAAAACCATCAAGTCTATAAACAGGGTTCTCTGAAATACCACACAGATTAGTCTTTAACACTATGCACATTCTTTCTGCATAAGAATTTTCTCAGGTGTAGAGGCATGCAAAATTTATATAGTTTTTATCTGACCATTTATTTAGAAAACCATAACCAATAAAAAGCTATAATTATTCTGCAGGTTCTGGACTGAAGGAAAATCAAAAGTCAGCTACTGAACTTGGCGATCTTAAAACTGTGTTTCAGCCTCACAGTTGATTGAATCTGTGTGGACTGCTATGTCAATGGAATTATAAACCAAATCGTGACAAATTTAGTCTCTGCAAAAGATTTAGTCTGTTTTTGACATATTAACTAAAAGTGAAATTAATCCCATTAATCCCAAAGTGCTTCCATTTTTATAATCCATGAATAGTGATTGATACCTGAATCCTCCCCACTATTGGTAATCCTGAATACATTCCCTGGAGACTGGAGAACACATTTTATGACATTTTCTGATGATGATGTCACATTACAAGGAAAGGACCCTAGAAAAAGATGAAGAGGACAATTTTTAAAAATGTTTTATGCAAAATAGAAAGCTGGAGTATAAAAAATAATCAAAGTCTTATAAGTATACCATAAGGTCTTTGTTACTTTTTTCTCATCATCATGCTTGAATACTGATTATTTTTGAATGGAGAATGGCCTCTATTTAAGTGTTCTGTAGACATTAAATTTACAATAATAACTTACGGAAATAAAAAAAATTGTCCAGTTTCTCTGAAACACCTTAACCAAATACACCTACCCCTAAAACTAATAGGAAAATAAAGCTTCTGTGATTAAAAAGTATTTGTCTCATCACTTAAAATAAAACCTTAAGATGAGGAAAAAGACTAACTGTCCCCAGCAGGGATGAAACTCTTACCTAAGAGCACAGTGTTCTCAGATGGGATCGTGCTAAATCCCAAGCCCATTATAGTGACTTCAGTTCCACCAAATAAGGAGCCTCTCTTTGGAAATATGTTGGTCACTTCCAAAATATATTGTATAGAAGCATTTAACTTGTCTCTGCAAAAGAAAAATTAGTTGATCAGTCTATGAGCCTTCCATGGAATTATACTGCTAAACTGTTATTAGGATATGATTTATTTTAAAAGAAAATAATTGAACATTTAGACATGTAATTTATGTATTTCATGTATATATACACACATATTATATATATATATGTATATATATGTATATAGAATTTTTCCAAACTTTTGTAAATTATATTTCTGAAAATCCCATCCCATGGCAGAATAATTTGAGATGTAAGGTTATAAAAGATTTACAATATTAAAGGAAAAATATCATTATGAGAAATGAAATCATGAGAAAAAATCATGAAATCCTTAAAAATATATTATTCATTAGAGTAAAACATAAAGGCAGCCCTCATCTATAAAAGAATGACAATGAAATCTCATACATTTTATAAAACTAATAAACATACTTTGAATTTAACATTCTATGTACTGGAAACCTGTCCTGCTCCTCTTCCCATGATGTCAATGACAGCATTTTAAAATTTATTTTGCCTTGTTACAGACAACATGTCTGCTAAGGGGCCACAGAAAGGTGCAACACTTTCTGACCTGAGTAAAGAGCAGACTCCTACTTCCCAGATCCCAGCGTAACTCAGTGGGTCTTTGTGTTTTTATTTAGCTTCCTCAGCATGAATGAATTGGTCTTTCTTGAGCCACCTCCCAAATGCTCAACTTTTTATGCTGCCAACTCTGTCCACGATACCATCACGTCAAGCACAAACCAATAATGCTTTTACAGCCCAAGTGCTTTGCTGGGTGAAGCTAAGAGGGGATATAGTTCTGCAGATTGTGTTTACTGTTCATCTTCCTTCACTTCCACGAGATTCTGTAGCACTCATCTCCTTGACTTTATTATCAGCTTTACCTGTTCTTTAAAAATCTCTGAATTTTGGGTCTCCCTGAAGGCCTAGAGCTTAAGTATCTCCTGAGTTTGGTCCCAGCCAGCAAGGTGACCCTTATAGCACAGCAGACCTCTCCTGGCCCACCTGCTGCTCCCCTCAGCAGTGTACTTCAGTTGATCCACCTGTTCTGCTTCCCACTCTGTCTCTGGTAAATTAGCTCACCCCCACACCCCACCCCACACCCCACACTTATACTCTAGAACTTTGATGCAAAAACAAAACAAAGCAAAAAAGTGACTCTTAATTTTAGTCTTCTCTTTTTTCTAAGTATTCTAAAACAGTAACTTCTTTATGCTAGAACTAAATTTTACCAGTTAAGAGAAGGATTCTCTTCATCCTCTCTTTCAGCTGATTAGCTCCTACTCATTTTTTAAAACTTATTTGTCAGCTTTCAAAAAACATCCTTGTTTCTCTTGGGAAGCTGTTGTAATTCTTCACTTGAATTCTGTCTCCCTAACAAAACTGAGAGTATCATTTATGGTGGAGACACCTCTTTCTTTGCTCCACTATAAATTTACCAAGATAGCAAGTGACTATCTCCTAGGAGCTGTTTGATAAATATTTCCAGAATGAGTGAAAATTATGTAAGTGCTATCTCTTTCTCTATATCTAACTCTATCTATCTATCTATCTATCTATCTATCTATCTATCTATCTATCTATCTATCTATCTATCTATCTATCTATCAAAAAGAGTTTCTTATAGACTGGTATGAGTGATAACAGTCTCAAAACTAAGTACCAAATTGCACATTAGGAGACATTCTTAGAACATTTTGCAAAAGGAGACATAAAAAGTTGAAGAAAGCAACTAAAATATTAGAAGGCTAATGACTATTCATTTTCCTATGTCACTACTAGTACCCCTATGTGTTCTACACTGCCATCATGTTCATTACAATACCTGGTAGATGAAAAACCCCAGTTTCTGATTTCTACATGGATGTCATGTTTTCCAGGAGACAAGTTAGGCAAAAGGCATCTGATATCTGTGAAGTTCCAGTGAAGAATCGGGCAGGGTTTTCCTCCAACATACACTCCCACGTTTTGTGTCAGTTCATTTCCAAAGTTATAACCCTTAACTGTCAAATTAATGTCTCCTATTATTTTAAAAGAAAAAAAAAACTTCACAAAAAGATTCAACTTATGCAATAGCAACTTTGCGTATTTAAATGACCAATTCATTTTTATATTTCACTGAATTTAGGACATGCTAACACAATCAAGGGGAAAAGAAAAATCAGGGAAAGAGCTGCCACATGAAGATACAAATCATGTTCATTTGTTTCACTAAAGAAAAGATGGCACAGTATTGCTTAAGGAACAGCATTTTTCTCCCTAATGTCCATGTTCAAAGTAATTAGACTAATCTGTGGTTAAAAAAAAAAAAAAAAAAAACTAACTTGTGACTGGCTTTGCTTTCTGAAACAGTAGTGCAAGAAAATCATGCTGTAAAAGCCTTCCTAAAAATGGCTTTTTCCTCTTTCTACATATATCTCAAGTAACTGATCTTATTGAAAAATGTCTTACCTAATATTGTCCGTACTTTTGGACTAAAATCAGTGATAACTGGAGTCTGTAAACAATTGTAACTATAAACGTCCTTAGCTGAGGCTTGAAATCCATTGGTAATAACTGAAACATCAACTGTACCTTCAATTCTCTGAAATAATAAGAGAACAATTATTAGAAAATATTAAATGTTGAGATACAAAAATCCAATAGTTGTAACCAAATAGAATTCAACAAAAATAAAGTTCTGAAAGTATTTTGTTTTAAAGCCATAAATCAGAGCCAGTTTTTAGAAAATTAAAACATTATGGTGTCAAATGGAGTTTGTATATTTGATTTATTTAGATTACAGATTATATAGATAAAGCTCTAACAGTTTTATGGGCATTTATGGTCAGATTAAATACATTTATATTCCTGGATTCCAAGGGCCTTCCAATATAGTTGTAACACTCAGGACAAGTGATTCTCTAATTCAGAAAGCATAAATTTTGGCTTCTTGTTCTTAGAGTCCAGTATAAATTTTATTACTTTTCACTCATAATTCACATTATTATGTCTTTTGCTGACCTAGTTTCAGAATCCAAGGCTAACATATGAACCTCTAATAGAATCATTTTGTCCACTAGTAAAGCACCCTGAACAATTTCCAGTTAGGAAAAGCACCTTTTCTGGAATCTAGTATTATTACACACTTGCTGTTTAACTGAATGCCATAATTTAAATTTAAATTAAACAAAGTAATTTCTAATTCTCACATCCCCCAGATTCTCACCTCCCCCATTATTCAGTCCAACACATGCTCAAATTCTCATCATCCCCCATTATTCAGTCCAACACATGCTCAAATTTCATTTTCCTACAAATTACAACTACATATGAGCCATAGGGCAAGTTAGGATAATCAGGTAGCTCAGGGACAATGCAGGTCTGGACATCAGTTGAGTTAAAGAAGACTCAGAGATAAGGGCAACTAGAGGAATGAAGAATGATCCAGAGACATTCCATAGGGAGTTAGTCAGAACCCCAGGACATGGGGCAACAGGACAATTCCGGGTCAAAAACAGTAAAAGTATGCTAAAAGATAAGGGATGTGACGCAGGAAGGTCCCAGGACAGAGCATAGTGAGACCACTGAGCACTAACCAATCACAGAAAGACATGGAACTTTAGAAAAATGATGGAACGAAAGTATATATTCCCCAAGCAAGACTCCACAACTGCTTCTCTGTTCCTCCCAGGGACTTTATATACCTGGGAGTCTTTGCTCTTTGTCCTTTTCCCTAAATAAACTTTTCTTTGCTCTCTCAAAGTTTGCTTCTCTCTGCTTACTTATCTGAAAAGTCTGTGAATTCCTTTTCATGGCTTCATGAGACAAAAACTAGTGGTGATTACCAGGGTGAAAAGCAGTAACAGCAGCTGTGATCACGGTAACTGTGCACGTCGGCATCGTTTCAGGGGCTTGTTGTCCTGAATCTTGCAAGATTTAAGGTAAGTGAGCCCAGAGGAGCAGATTTTCTTTAGTCTCATCTTGTCCTATGTTCCTCTTGCTAAACATTTTCTTTCTTTTGGAGCCATCAAAGAGGAAAGAGAAAGGGCCCAGGATGGTCATTAAATGCCAAAGGGAGACCACCTTAAAGACTGCTGTGACAAGATACACTGGTGACCAGATCAGATAGGGAGCTAGCCCATCTGCCAGTTGAAAAAAAAAAAAAAAAAGTCTAGTGGTTGAATGAGGAACTATGTTCTCCAAAGAGCTAGGCACATACATCGTGGAGAGGCTGTCTGGGGCTATCTTCCAGGCCTCCAGAGAGCTGGCAGGTACCCAGGTAGAGACAGGCAATTAGATTTCACTCATAGCCTAAGTACCCAGGACTTCAATATCTCCTGGTCTGGGTAGTCACTTTCTCATGCTGCTTGAGGCTTTTCCTCCTTGAACAAAAAACAAGTGGAGGAAGTCGTTTGTACATCAATACATGAAACTGTCCCATTTGGGCTTCAGAATGACAACAGTCCAGCTTTTTTTTTTTTTTTTAATTTAAAGAGAAAGTTTATTAGAAGGAGACAGGAGAGGAAAAGACAGGTGCATAGGCGCAAGTGGGCAGAAAGAGCTGCCCCGAAAGGGACAGGCTTGCAGAGAGAGAGTACCTGTATGGTTGCAGATGAGCTGCCTTAGGAGAGCAGCCTCTGCTGGGGGAGGTTAGTGTAGAGAAGCCCCAGCATGGTACAGGTCACTGGCAGTTAGGAGGCTGCTGCCCTCCAGAGGGAGAGAGCAGGTGGAAAAAAGTACCTGCATAGGCACAGGTGGGCAGAGAAGCAGCTACCCAGTCCAGCTTTTAAAGCTGCAGTCACTTAAAAGGTGTCCAAGGCCCTAGGCATTGATTATCACACTGTGCTTGGAGGCCCCAGCCCTCTGGTAGGATGGAAAAACCTAATGAAGTACTTAGAAGACACCTAAGAAAACTCTCCCAGGATACACAGCAGCCTTGCACTGCTCGTTGGCCCTTGGCTTGCTGAAAATGAAACACTCTGAAAATGCTTGGCCTCAGTCCTTTCGAGTTACTCTATGGTAGGCCCTTCCTCAAAAGCTACTTACTGTTTGTTCATGAAACTATTGAGTTGACTAAATTTGTTACTAACTTAGCTAAGTTTCAATGCCTTATCAAAAATTGGTCAGACATTCTTGATAGCCCAGGTCAGCTGGCTCCTTTCTTGGTTTATTTTTATTTATTTATTCCTTAATAGATTGATTACATCATCCTTCATTTTTCTACAATGTATGATTTCCCCATGAAATTCCCACCACCAATTCATTTCTTTGAACCAGGTAGTTAGTTCTTATAAAAACTATTCCCACTAACTTTCCTTCCCTTACCCCTACACAGGAGAGTCCCTATCCTATTATTATAACTCTTCCCCTACAGCAGTCCAGGTGGCAGGAGTGGATGCCTGGCTACAGCACACTCGAGGAAAAGCTAAGGATTCTGCCTTCTCAGAACCTCTGGATGCTGAACAATCTGCTCCACCCACCACCACTTGGCCCTGCGAGCCGCTAGCGGCCCTGTCTCCTGCTCAGAAGGCCAGCTGCAAAGGAAAGCACTTAATTCCACATATTGTTTTTGTGTATCAGATTTACAGTTATAATCTATCTTGTAATTTTCCTGTTCACCCTGGGATTATAGTCAGTTACGCCCCAGAGTGGACCATTTGCCACAAAGTTCTTTATTTTACTTTGCCTCAGTTCCTTCTGTAGGACTTCTCTGCCTATCATGGCCACCAGGCTGTGCTTGTTAGTGTTGACTCCTTTGTGGATGACTTTTCTGACTCCTTCCTTGTCTTATTGCCACCCATTAACTATAGCCCTGACCCTTATGGCGAAGAGAGGAAACTCTAGTGACTGTCCGGGATGCCCAACAGGGGACCGTGCTGTACAAAGAAGCTCCCTCCAGGCCCTACCAGTTTCTATTGAAGAACTAAGTCATTTATCTGCCTCCATGCATGGGATGAAAGTACATCTCACCAATGGGACCACTGCTTCAGAATATAAATGGACACAATTAGTTCCTTCATCACTTCAAGATAGCTGGCACCAATCAGCAGACCTCGTAAGAGGTTACGCTCATGTTTGCTTTCAAAATGCTTTTGCCAGACCCACTTCTCAAGATTTGGGGTGGCTAAATCTCACCTTCTGCAACTATACTTTTACATTTAATTATTCCAGTCACAGGCTCAGTGTGGTAAACACACAGCACAATTGGGGTTCATATGGAGATACAGCACTTGAATATTATCCTTATAACATCTCATTCTTCTGGGGTAGCACTCGCCTCAATGCCACCCAGCTCATTCAAGAAGAACAGTTTCTGGTTATCAATAGTTCCAGTACTGGCCAGAGATATGTTGGATGGGGTGCAGACACAGGACTCTTGATGGATCTTACTAGAGATATGTGCGATACAGAGAGATATATCAAGGAGTCTGACTCCACTTATTTCCCCTTTCCCAAGCTCAATGTTCTCCAACTCATTGCCCGTAATTATCTCTGCAACAGCCCCTGGCATGTTCATAACTTAAATAGATTACACTCCTCTCCCACATGTGCAGATGATTTTTACCCAAACTATCTTAGAAAGGGAGAGACCATGTCAAATACTTTTGTGTCCCCCAGTTCTCTGGGTATCCAAACTTCATTTCAAAAAGCATGGCCAGAGGGACCCACTACTTCTGTCTCACTAGAGAATTCAGGATATTATTTTCTTTGTGGCCGAAACTTGTATGTCTTCCTTCCTCAACACTGGACAGGACGATGCACCATTGTACATGTTGTACCTGATGTCACTTTTCACAAGCCATCCTAAATGTCCTCTTCAGGAAAAAAAATTTCAACCTATGTTCTTTTCTTGGACTATCCTTGTCTTCTAGATCTAAAAGAAATATCAATATACTCTCCCCTGAAGGGTTCTCTAACCATGACTGGGAAGGGGATGTCATAACACTCCTACTATAGAATATCCTGGCCTTAGCTATACTATTGGTCATGGTTTCTTTTGGTTTGCAGGAGTTCCATTTCTGGAAAAGTTTATGTTAAATATGACCATAATGGTATAACAAGGGTGGGTGGCCACAGAATATGCTATCGAGGCCCAACAACACTCTTGAAATTCTCGAGCCGCAGTAGTTATGTGAACCTCATAGCCTTAGACCTGCTGACAGCTGAATTCAGAGGACTTTGTGCTCTCTTAAATGAAACATGTTGTTTTGGGTTAACACTTACAATGAGGTAGAAAAAAACCAAGAGGTATTAAAGAAAAACATAAGTAATATCAATGACCTCAAAACACAGGCAGGACAAATGTCTCACTGGCCACAAACAACCTTTGCCTCTGCAGGAAACCAACTTTTTTCCTGTTACTCCCTTTTCTGGTTCCCTTTCTAATTTTCTTTATTATTCTCTTGTTGGGGCCCGGCAATCCTAGAAGCTCTCGTCAGAGTCAGAGTCACCTCTCTCCTGGAAGCCATCCAACTCCAAATGGTCTTTCTTGATGGAGCCCAGAATGACCCTTCCACTGTTTTCTTCCGAGGTGCCTGGGATTGTCACTCTGCAGTGGAGCCATGACTGCTTCCCCACATCATCACTTTCAGCAGGAAGCAGTTACTGATCAGAGCGGTAACCATTGTTCTAACAGCAGTGAGGGGCTCCATTTGCAGAAGCAGGGCATGAGTCATAGGGCAAGTTAGGATAATCAGTTAGTGTCAGGGACAGTGCAGGTCAGGAGAGTTAAAGAAGCTACCGAGGTGAGGGTAACAAGAATGAGATGATCCAGAGAAACAGGCAACAAATTCCAAAAGGTGCTAAGCAGAAACCCCAAGACCATAAGGGGCAATGAGGACATTCCAGGTCAAGGATGATAAAAGAAAAGTATGCTAAAAGATAAGGGATGTGAGGCAGGAAGATCCCAAGTACAGTAGCAGATTAAGTGAGACCACGGAGAACTAACTAATCACAGAGAGACTCATGGGACTTTAGAATAGTGAGGGAAAGAAAGTTTGTTCCCAAAGCAAGAGTCCATCATGGCTACTTTGCCCTTCCCAGGTGCCTGAGTGTCTTTGTTCTTTGTCCTTTTTTCAAAATAAACTATTTTTTTCTCGCTCAGACAATGTTTGCTTCTCTCTGCTTACTTATCTGAAAAGTCTGTAAATTTCTGTCTATGGTTTCATGAGACAAAAACCCATGACGAAAAACCCACGGTGCAAAGTAGCAGTGGCGGCATCAGGAATAACGACTTCAGTCAACTACCTTTTTTTTTTTTTTAATGTTAGTGACTTAGTTCATTACTTGTCCATCTGAAGTAAGCAAAAAGATTTGCTTAAACCTAATTTTTAAAAATATAGGTGAATAATTGGTCTTAAGATGCATTATCCCATGGGGAATTTTGTTTCTGGTCAACAAACTGAAACTTTAATACATTTAAAATATATATTCTTGGCCCTCCCTGGTGGCGCAATGGGTTAGGATGCAGCACTGCAAGCTTGCCACAGCTGCTTCAGTGTGTGTTCAATCCCTGGTCCCCGGAGCGGACCCACATGGTGTGGCAGACCTTTCCTGTCTCATCTGCTGCTCCCCTCAGCAGTGTACTTCATCAGTCTGCCTGTACTGTTCCCCACAGTGAATCCTGTCACCACCCCTGCACCTCTGACCAGTACCCCAGTTCTATATGCATAAATAAATAAATCTTAACAAATGCAAATCACTTATAATATGACATACATAAAAATCCATAGAAATGAAATAAAATATTTAAGAATATATATATGTATGTATATATATATATATGTATATATATATATATATTCTTTTTTTTTTAAATTTATTTTTATTTACTTGTGCATACAGAACTGAGATACAGGCCAGAGGCTCAGGGGCGGTGAGAGGCTTCACCAGAGACAGAGTGGGGAGCAGAACAGGCAGATTGACAAAGTACACTGCTGAGGGGAGCAGCGGGTGGGTCAGGAGAGGTCTGCCACACCATGTGGTCACCTCCAGGGCAGGCGGGAATCGAACTTATGCGGAAGTGGCTTTAGATTCTTAGTGCTGTGCTTTAACCCGCTGTGCCACCAGGGAGGGCCTATATATATATTCTTTAAAAAAAACATGTCTACATTGATTTCCTTGAAAAGTTTTTGATTATTTGTTAGTAGTGAATTGTTTTCAACTTTTGATTACTTGGTCATCTCCCATTCATCCTACAAATACCTGCAAGACATCAATTGCTCTGTGAAATTCTTTAAGAACCTTTCTCCCCATTGCATCTTGTCTTTACTGGGTATCTCATTTGGTTATTTCAAATGGAACACACTGTTTAATACTGATTGATGTGTCTCTCTTCCTTAATGATATTAAGTAACTTAAATGTGAATACAGCATTTAGATTTATATTTTAGGAGAAGGATGTTGAAGAAATTGTTAAAGAGCAGAACTGAAATGTTGCAGTTGATAAATAATAGGGTTTCCCTTGTTTATCCTACAGGGAGTTATTCCTTAATTCTTAAGATACTAGATTTAGAAAAAAAAATCTGTAATCAGATGACTTACTTTTGGTGTTCTGCAGGTTATTTTATTCACACCCCCTTCAATCATATTGCAAGTTTCATTTCCAACTAACACCTTTGAATTTTCATTAAAGCCAAATCCAGATAATGTCAGGAGAGTACCACCTGCAAAAGGAAAAGTTAGCAATAATACAACAAAAAGAAACTTTGGCAACCATCTAACTCATCACTTAAGAACTATCTAAATACTAAAGAGATGGGTTGGTAAATTGGTTAAGGACCAGACTTAGGATGTATATAGTCACCACCACACACCCAACCCTGAGCTCTGAAGACTCAGAGCTGGAGCTTTATGATGATCATAAAGAAACTGGTGAAGTAATTCAATGAAATAACACTGATTTGTAACCAACATTTGCTTTGGGATACAATTAACAACTATTAGTTTCCACAGTGACTTCTTCACCCTAAAAAAATTAGTTTCTATTTGGTGAGATGTTCTACTGGGAGTAATGGGAATAAAGTAAGACTTTTAACAAGCTCCAAATTTTAATAACTAAGTAAAGGAAAAATATACAATAACATAAATTAAAACAAAATAAAAAAACACTCCAAAAACATCAAGACCAATGAACAATATTCAAAACCAAACATGATAAAGCAAACAACTACAAAGGAAATGAAGCAGAGCATGAAAAATGAGTTATTTTCTTGCATCTTCTGCATCAGCCTTCCTTTCTCTGATTTGTTCCTGGAACTTTTTCTGGGTCAACTAGCTCCATTGAGACTGTGCTTACAAATGAAGCAGCTGGTAGGGAGAATAATAACTAATAAATCTTATCTTGACATAATTGATGAGCTTGTTAAAGAAACATGTAGTAATTGATGATATTAATTCAATAACCTAAGATGTAAGTATAAGCAGTCACCCTGACTTGTGCTTCAAAAGAAACAAAAGAACTAGTCAGCCAGTGAATTACCAAGCCTTCTAAAAGGGGGTCTCCTTTTTTGTATATGAGGGATTTGGGGTACCTTTCCCTTCACCCTGCTCTAAAAATAGCACAATGAAATAATGAAATGATGTATGCAGTCTTCTTTGTTTAGCATAATTATTACCTGCTAGACTTCCAGATGCAGGCCAGATGTGTGAGATTTGACTTCGATATATGAAGTGGAACACCTCACCCTCCAGAGTTTGGGCTAGTCCAACGTCAGCTATGGACACAGTAACTGGGAACTGTCCAGCACTCCCATTCATAATCTGGCATTTGATCTCATTTTCTTGAGATTAAAAAAGAAGAAAATGATAAAGCAAGGTCTTCATGAGACAAAATTAATGAAATTTTATATGCAAATATAGACACTGATCTTCATTTTCATACCCCAAGAAATACATCTAAGGAAAACCACTATATTAACAGAAGGACATTTTTATGAACTACGTGATAGAATGAATCAAACTCTTTTTAGAGAGTTGAAAAACCCAATAGTAAAACCAAACTAAACAATTTGCTCCTTATTGTAGTATGGAAAAAAGATTATTGGACTGTATTAAATAATTTTAGAATCCTAGTCTGTAAGATTATTGACAATAATATTTCTAAAAATCAATTATTGTAACAGTTTTGTTGCAACATGCTGTTTAGGTCTCAAACTGAGTAAAATATTAGGTCTAATCAAGAAAGCTGATTAAAAACTAAGTGAAAACTTTCTTCACTTCAAGCAGTATAAGCACTTATAATGAGAGTGCAACTGCTAGTTTCCAAGAATGCATAGGACCTCTAACTTAAAAATAACTTAAATCATATGTGAGCTGGATTTGATAACGGACTCTCAAGCTAGGATATAAATGACCTTGGGATTCTGTGTTAATGGACAGAGAGAAGTTCTGCTGGACTAGCAGTCAGGGAAGATGACCATGAGGTCTTGCTACATGACCAATGAGGTATTATCAAAGTCTGGGGAAAGGGGGTGCAGTAGCAGTTGATATATTTTGTGTCCCAGATACACACCAAAGAAGGGGGATAAAAGAACATCAATGAATTTACTATTACAGGATCTAGACATGGTGTAACAACGAGAGAACTAGTCTATGGTCATAACCAAATATTTTAAGATAATGTATTTATCCAGAGCAATCTGACAATTTCATGATTCTTTAGGGAACTCTATAGGATACTATAGTTTGATAGCACTTTCTCTTTGAGAACAATTACACTCAACATGATAATTTTAAAACGTACCTACCATTCACCGAAATAAGAGCACAACCTACTGGTCCAACTGAAACTGAAACAGCTGAACTAGGAAAGAATCCAGAACCTAATATGGTTAGAATGGTGTTTTCTTCATAAGACCCTGCAAATGATAAGCATGTATAAAAATATTAAAATTACAAAACATAGAAACTTATGAAATTAGGTATTTGTTAGAAAAAGCTTATCTTTTGAAAATCATAAACAAAAATGCTATAACCAAGTAGAGTAAAATGATAGTTATAAGCAATGGTATTTTTTTTTCCATTTGATTGCCCAACATTGCCTCATATTTGAATTCATGCTGATAGAAACAGGAAAAAGAATTACCTGATTAAAAGTATGGAATTAGATAAAGGAAGGAAAATTACTCCTAATCATAGTAATTAAAGAAGTATCTTTATTTGAAAGAACTATGATGGAATTACCATCACAAATTCATAAGAAGAGAAACTACATAATAAGAATCGTGGACTCTTTTGCTTGAAATAAAATAAGAGCCCTCTATCTAATGTGCTACACATCAGAAAGCATCTGGGATATTCTTAGCTTAAACACATTGCTCAGCATTTTATATTTAATGTTTTATCACTTACTCTTTAAAGAGTCCAAGTTTTGCTTTTGTTTTTTTGTTTTTTTTTTTTTTAAGATACATTTATTTATGCATACGCAAGTGGGGTACAGGCCAGAAATGCAGAGGCGGTGAGAGGATTCACCAGAGACAATGTGGGGATCAGAACATGCAGACTAACAAAGTACACTGCTGAGGGGAGCAGCAGGTGGGTCAGGAGAGGTCTACTGTGCCATGTAGATCACCTCCGGGGCAGGGATCGAACTCATGCTGAAGTGGCTTTTAGTTTCTTAATGCTGTGCTTTAACCCACTGCCCCACCAGGGAGGGCCCTAAAGTGTCCAAGTTTTATCAGTAAGTGGTAGAGATGTCCTACTGAAACAACCTCTCACAGAGATATATCCCTCATGGATTTAAATAGCTAAGGATAAAAAAAAAATCCCTGAATTTTGGACATAAAATCAAATATCTTAATGAATTTAATGTAGAGGTAGATTTTTAAATATGAAACAAAAAGGTATGGGTAGCCATAAAGAAAAAGATAACACAAATTAGAATAAATCAATGATTTAAATGTTTCCATGAACAAGACACTAAAACAAAATGCAAGTGATATATTGAGAGAAGATATGAATAAAAGGTTGGTAAAGATAAATATAATAGTTACAATAAAAAAATCCAATAAGTGGATGGATAATGAAGAATAAGCAATAACAAATAATCTAAATATCAGAAGAATCATAAGATGCTCATATGCATTACTAATCTGGGCAGAGACGCATTTTTAAAATGATGAGATAAATTCTTTCACCTACCAAATTGACCAAAATTAGCAAGCTGATGATAACCAACCATTGGCAAGGATGTGAGGAATATGGTATTTTCACCTCTGCTGAAAATAAAGCTACTTCTGGATAGCAATTTGATAACCTAATAAACTGAATACCTTATGTTCAGTTATTATCCAGCAATTCCACATCTGGGGATTTATCCTAAAGAAGCTCTAGTATGTATACAATAGGAAAATTGTATAACAGAACTTAATACAATGCTATATGTAAAAACAAAAATTGTAAACAATCTAAATGCCCTCAATAGAGGAATAAATAGATACACCAATGAAATATTTTAAAGTGTCTTGCATAAAACCATGTAATTCTTAAAATGATGCTGAATGGCAAAAGATGCAGATAATATTTGCATTGCAGTATCTTATTTGTAAAATTTTAAAAATTGCAACATTACCATATGTATGTGTTATATACAAGAGGCATGGAAGAAATCATACAAAATTAATAACTGTAATTGCCTCAGGGAAGATTTAGAGTAGTATAGGAATAGAAGTGATATTTAAAAAAGGATTTTAGCTCCTCCTGTAATGTTTTATTTTAAAATTGATAAGAAATGAATATGATTAAGTGTTAACAGCTGTTAAGTTTCCAATGAAGAGAATATGAATGCTTCATGGCATTATTTATATTTATCTTTCCATTACCTTTAAAGTTATCAATATGGGCCAAAAGGAGGCTCAGGTTGCAAATTATTTTGAGTAAGGAATATATTTTCTTCAGAAAATCCATGTGAAAGTGGAAATTCATTACAAAACACAAAAATGGATGCAAAAATAAGTATACCAAATGGCTAAAACAAAATTACTATTAAGTAACTGTTTAATTTTGATAGCTTTTCCCCCATGTAAAATGAATTATCCCAAAATTAACAGCCTTACACTAAGCAAGTCTGAAGAATATATACTTTCAATACAAAAGTACACTTTTAAAAAATTTCAAAAATTTTTGCTAATGTATAATTAACAGATGAATTTTCCTGCTACTCACCAGATGAAAGAAGTATAGTATCTAGAATCTGAGTTTAGTTTTGTGACTGAAAAAGCCATTACCTTTCAATCTTTAGTCCTGTTTTTCATTTCAATACTTTTAAGAGTTCAGATACAAGGTGTAATCATATTTTTAAAAAATATTTACTGATTTATGCATACAAACTGAGGTACAGGCCAGAGGTTCAGGGGAGGATTCACCAGAGACAGAATGAGGAGCTGAACAAATAGATTAATTAAGTACACTGCTGAAGGGAGAAGCAGGTGGGTCAGGAGAGGTCTGCCTCACTATGTGGGTCACCCCCAGGGCTGGGGTTTGAACTTGCTCTAATACGGCTTTGGTTTAACCCATTGCGCCACCAGGGAGGACCCAGTAATCACATTTTTAAAGCGGTTATGTACTATAAGGATCTGGTAGAATGTGATCCCTTGTTTGACAAAGTTTAACAACAATTTTTCTTTTTCTCAAATCTAGGTCCTAGTTAGGCTTTTTTTGCTAAATAGCAATTGTCTCATTACTGACCTTTTAGTATTTTATCTCCTGGAAAAGATCTCTTTTGATGAATGACTCCTATTAATCCCCTACCTATCAGAAGTTAATGAAAATGCCCAGTGTCAAAGTGAAATTTTAGAGACTAATTCTAACTTGGGTGACACTGGAGAAATAAAAGACTAGTGAATCATCTTTAAAAGGAGTTAGAAATAATTAGTGTTCCTTTCATCCTTATTTATTTTGATCTGACAGGTTTTTTATTTTTTTATTTATTGTATAGAAGTCCCTGCTTACCTTAGTTTATGGCACTGTTAAAAAAGTCAAAGTTTACATTTTTGCTAGTGGGCTCTTCTATCCCATGCACAGAGTAAAGCAGCAGGTTACCTTGAGAAGGGCTTATTGCAGAGATGAGGGGAGTAGCCTTGGGATCCCAGGTGAAACCACAGTCACCTGAACATTTAGCAGGAATGCCATTGACATAGACTTCAACCTACAAATAAGAAAACAGAGAACAGAGTTTTGCACGATTCAGTAGAATAAGCATACAATTTAGCATGGACATGGAATTTTATTTACTATCTTGTTTACAAAGGTTAGTGTATTCTATTTAGTATTTTTCTGTTTTTTTTTTTTTCACTCCAATGATTCATTCAGCAAATACGTAAACCATGTGTCAGAGACTATGGCAAATGTCAGATTGAAGGACTAGCACATTAAACAAAACAGGTAACTCTACTGTCATGCATTTATATTCTAGTGGAGGCAGGACGGAGAACTGCCTGAGACTGTAAATTTGAAATAAAAAGTAAATTCATACTATGCCCTGTCGGTTAATCCTGTGCATGAAAATAAAGTTTATTCTTGGAAAAGTCACCAACTTGTTACATTCTGCATGTTCTTCTCATTAAAGTGACATATCAATAATTTCTTCACAGATTTAACACAAAGAATAAATGAAAGTATATTTTCAAATTTAAAGAGGAAGCAGTAGAGCTTAAAAATCCATTCCTGTATCATAAGAAAAATAATTTTTTAAAAAATCACCAAATAGCATTGAGTTAATTGTTAACAAGTACTCATAAGAAAAAAGATGTCATCTCTCCTGTTTTCCCAGGTCTTTGTGTAGTAGAACTGATGGTACATTTTAAGTTACATTAAAATCTTTTTTAAAAAACAACTTATTTATGTATGCATACAGAACTGGGATACAGGCCAGAGGTGCAGGGGCGGCGAGAGGATTCACTAGAGACAAAGTGGGGAGCACAACAGTCCGACTGAGGAAGTACACAGCTGGCGGGTCAGGAGAGGTCTGCCTCACCATGTGGGTCACCTCTGGAGCAGGTGGGAATTGAACTCATGCTGAAGTGGCTTTAGCTTCTTAGTGCTGTGATTTAACCCACTGTGCCACCAGGGAGGGCATACATTAAAATCTTGAAGAAAAAAAAAATCTTGAAGAAAGTTTCATAAATACCTGTGGCTGTTGGTTCGGTGTCCGAAGTAGGTCTCCAAGTATGCGCTGTCTGAATAAGCCTCCTTCCTTGATCTTCATAACGGTCATATTAGCCTTTTCTCCAATAATGTTGGAAGCATTAACCTATTTTTCAAAAGATTATTTTATTAGAAAAGCAGCGGTAGATATAACTATGCTAGTTTTCCTCTTTAAATATCAGCATAGTTGAAGTAAATAAAAGTCAAATGATGAAAAAAAAACAAATTCAAAACAGTCACATTTTTGGAAAAACAAGTCTCTTTAAAAAAGAGCACAATTTACTCATGTCATAAAATGCTAAGATATTCCATTATCATAAATGCATCGTTTAAAACTTGAATTAAATGATTAAAATTAACTTGAATTGGGGAATAATATATGTCAAATGGGGGAACCTGTAGAAGATTCTGCTTTCCACGGGCACTTCTCCATTTGATGTTCCATGAGTATCCAGCACAGGTTCCCTCTCGTGTAACTGAGACTTGCCCCACATCTTCTAGACTCTGGAGAGCAAACTGCAGCTCTGCAGCTGACACAGCAGCAGGGAGGCCTGCACTCACAGGGGATGGCAAGCAGCGGGAGTCAAAATACGTAAGCTATTCTTAAAATTATGCACTATGTTCTAACTCTTGCAAACCCACTGTCCACCACCAGTAGAGTATGAAATGAAACATATCATTATCTGTGTCAAGAATTGCGAATATTTCTAGGAAATAAAAATTACATGAAAAGAAAAGCTTACATCTATAAGTTTGGCTCAAATCTTTTTGGTTTTATTATCAATGAACTTCACCAATAACGTACAGGCTATGGCTATCAGACACACAAATTTCTCAAGTGCGACCTGCTGAACTAGTGATGAATGTGTCATTTGTTCTGGATAATTTAGTTTTACACTTCTGACATAATCTCAAGTATGTGCATTATGTAGGGAAATTGTATTAGAAAAAAAGATAGCAAAGTATCAATTTGGTTGTCTAAACCAGGACTATACAATTGACATAGATCGATTTTTGATCTTTTTTATATACCTTTGAGAACATGACCATAAGCCTGAATATCAAAGGTGCCACTGAGAGGTGGAGACGCTGCTTGAATTCTCTGAATGCGAATCTTTGACTCCCCTGGCCAATTATTTCCTCTGTAAACAGATTCATTCTCTTTCTCCTTTGTGATTACCTAATTTAAAAAATAAATATTAATAAAATAGTTAAACATAACAATGGTTAAAATGATCCCCATTTACCATCGTACAGGCCTGTGATGACTTACTGAGCCTTAGATATCCAGGATTCTTCCGAACAGTAAGGAAAGAGTCACATAAATCAACACAGCCCATACCTATCTAGCTGCAATAATGAGGCCAAAGTCAACTCAGTCATCTGTGTAGCAATCATCTGGAACCACAGTAATAGCTCATTAATCCAGACTGCACCTTCCATCACTCAAGGAACAAATATTTATTGAGCAGGCATTCTGTTCAAGGTACAGTGCTAATCACTGTAGAGAGGCAAGGAAACATGAGATGCTCTCTCTTGGTTATCAAAAAACAAACCTCATGGATATGAGATACTGTCTTTATAAACACTGCACTGCATAAAATTAAAAGAAAAGTACAGATTGTAACTCTAATAGCAAAACTGATATTCAGCTGCTTTTAACCTCTCACAATTACTTGTTAATCTTGTGAAATTTAAAATTAAGCCCTTGATAATTATAAAATTATCGCTACCCACAGAAATGAGAAAACAAGTGCCAAAAAATATATTTAAATGTTTCACACCATGAAGTGCTGTATAGCAATGAAGAACAAACTATCACTACATGTAACAACATGAATCTCATAATAATGAATCAAAGAAACTAGATGCAATGAATACAGGCTGACTTATTCATTATCTTTCTTTTGAATGCATTTACTTTGCAAAAATTAAGAGTTTAGCAAGGTTGCAGGGTATAAAGATCAACACACAAAAGCCAAAAACATTTTTATATACAAATAAAGAGTATGTGGAAATAGAAATTAACACAAGATTATCTTGAGTTACTGAAAAGAAAATAAAGTATAAATCTGACCTGAAAAAACTACACACGCACACACACACAACTATGTGCACATATGTACAGCATACAAATATATACTATAAAAACTATATAACAATAGATGTGAACTTACCATAGGATCACACAGTTACACTATTAGCAGCTAACACAGAAGATGAAAACTTGTGTCAAATGAAAACCAGTAGATAAATATTCATCATATTATTCATAATAGCCCCAAACTGTAAGCAAATCACATGTCCTTTATTGTGCACATGTTTAAGCGATGTGTGCTCTATCCAAACCATTCAATACTAGTCAGCAATCAGAATGACCAAATTATTGAAACAACAACATAGACAGCAACCAAGGAACATTGCTGAGTGAAGAAAGATAATCTCAAAGGACAATAATGTAAAGATAGCTTAGTGACTGCAGATTTAAAGGAGTGAGGGAGTAGGGGAGATAACTGTGGTTACACCAGGGTAATGTTGGGCTCTTAGTGATGGAATTGTCGTGAGGAAATTAGGTGAATCAACACATGTGAAAATCTGATGCAGAACCACACAGGTGTACCCGCACACAGAGCCAGACACAGACACGCAGACACACATATGAGCATGTAGAATGGCAACATCTGAATGGGTCTCTAGAATGCTTCCGTTCCCTTGTGCTAATCTGCTGCAGTTATGCAAGTGATGTATGGAGGCAGCATGGGTGAAGGATATAGGAATACTTCTGTATTATGTTTCACAACTGTACATGAATCTACACTTACCCCAAAATTAGTTTTTTTTTTTTTTTTAAAGATTTAATTTACTCATGCAGAACTGTGGTACAAGCCAGAGATACAGGGTCGGTGAGAGGCTTCACCAGAGACAAAGTGAGGAGCAGAATCTGCAGACTGACGAAGTACACTGCTGAGGGGAGCAGCAGGCGGGTCAGGGGAGGTGTGCCTCTGTGGGTCACTTCCCGGGTGGGGGTCGAACACTGAAGGAATGCAGCTAGCTTGCAGTGCTGCGCCCTGACCCGTTGTGCCACCAGGGAGGGCCCCAAAATTACAGTTTTAAAACAATTCATATAGCCACAAAGCTGGATGAATCTCTCGTTTCAATTTTTTTTTAAAAAGGTCACAAATACATAAGTTCCGTTTTCTCAATTTAGTTATGGGCAAATAACCAAACTGAGAGGATGCAACAGTGAAGGAGTATTTAATGAGGAATCTTGCAAAATATTTTCATCTTGAAGATAGTCAGATTAAAACACTGGGATAAAATGGAGTAAAGGCAATTTTTAGTTGTCCTATGTTTTTAATCATAAAGTCATCTAGTTAGGAAAAAAAGATCTTTGTGAAACTAATTTAACTATATTATATATTATTAACCTTTATTTTTGAACTTCCTCTTTTTGTTTTTCTTTTTTGCAGAAAATTATAACAACTCATTCCATAATTGTAGGTAAGTTTATGTAAATATACTCATATTTGTAATACTAGCTACATTTATTAATAACTATGTAGTGTTAAAGAAGTGTTCAGAACCTTTTGGAATCATGACCAAGAAAGGTACTTATGACAACCAATTTAAAACATAATGTGGAATCTCATTATTCTTTCAATCATCTCTGTTTAATGATTTTCATTGGATAGCCCACAACTATTCCCTTTAAATGAATGGAAATAGCTATTTAAATGTGACCACTTATTAAGACTATTTCCTTTGTTTTTTTATCCAAACATTTATTTCTTGAAGACTTTTTAAATATTTAAATTGAATTTTCATGGTCCATTTCTATAAGCCTCTCACCTTTCATTTATTTACATTTAAATAAATGTCTTATAAAAGATATTCAAGCTATATAATAATTATTGGTATAATTTAAAAAGAAAATCTACGAGGTCACAGTTAATACTTCCTATGTTGAAAGTAATAACTTGGAAAATTTCAAGGCTTACCTGCCCAAAGCTCACAGCCATCCTGGGTATATTGTAACTGCAGTTATATGAAGTCATGGTGACAGAATATTGACTAGTCACATTTGGTCCATTAATTTTGGTCTGATTCACCTGAATGTGCTTTAAAAATATCCCTTTGTTTGCCAATGCTGGAAGTCTTCTCTTTGGCATCTCTAAAGAACAGAGATAAACAAAGCAAGTAGGAAGTAAAATTGCATAGCTTCTACTGCTAAAAAAATCATCAAATAATACCCACATGTCATAGAATAAGTTGTTAAAACTTAACTTATTAAGAGAAGATTTTAAGGCAGAAACGTAGGAAGGATGGTAGAATTTTAGTAACTCTCAAATCAGGCTGATATTTCCTTTTTGATGAACAAAATCAATTTCATGTATAATTGTTTCAAACATTTCTTTTTTAAAAAAGATTGACTTACTTATGCATACAAGAACTGGGGTGTAGGTCAGAGGTGGAGGGACAGTATGGGGGACTCCCCAGAAACATAGTGGGGAGCAGAACAGGTGGATCTACTGAAATACACTGCTGAGGGGAGCAGCGGGCCAGACAGGCGAGTTCTGCTGCACTGTGTAGGTCAGCTCTCTGGCCAGGCACTGAACTCATGCTGCAGTGGCTGCCATTAACTTGATAGTGCTGAGACTTAAATCCTTGCGACACCAGGGAGACCATGTTTAAGAGCTTTAAAAAGCATAATACACAACACCATTTCTATGTTGTTGGCCATTTTTTTAAAAAAAGATAGCAGTTTAGGCCCTCCCTGGTGGTGCAGCCAGTTAAAGCACAGCACCAAAAAGCTAAAGCCACTTCAGCATGAGTTCAATCCATGCCCCGGAGGTGACCACATGGCGTGGCAGACCTCTCCTGACCCGCCCACTGCTCCTCTCAGCAATGTACTTCTGTTCTGTCTCTGGTGAATCCTCTCACTGCCCCTGCACCTCTGGCCTGTACCCCAGTTCTATATGCACAAATAAATCTTAAAAAAAAAAAAAAAAGATTGCAGTTTTAAAAAACGACTGTAGTCTAACTTTTATTATTTTATCATCACATATACGCCTAATGTGACTAGAAAAACAATGTCAAAACTATGAAGAATAAAGTGTTCATTTGTAGCATTATCATCACTATTAAATCAATAGAAAGCTTTACTCAATCTTACTAGATGTTAATTAACTAAATGTTGATTTTTGTCTTCTAGGAATACATCTCTGTATTGGTAGCTACTTTTCAATGAAAACAGAGCAAACTGAAAGTGTTTCAGCAAGCAAAAACAGAACTGTAAAGCAACTCTTACTACAATGAGAAATCTTACACAATAGATGTATTTGTCCTTAGGGAAAAAAAAAACCTGGCCATATTCATTTATAAAGTATTTTTAAGCCATAATATATTTGTATAGAACAACTCGCTAATTTTAGAGATTAATGTTTCTCTCTAAACTACAGAATATGAATCATTGTCACAGTAAGATTTTAGTTCAAGATAGACTTAGAGGAAAAAGTAAAAGTGAAATTGAAGCAGGAAGTTTCCCAAGCCTGTGCTTGGGGGAGTCTGTTACTTGGATTGTGCTACTTCCTGGAGCAGAAAGTTCTGCAGTGTGGTGCTGGTCCACAGTAGAAGCTATGGCTACCTTGATCCCTTCCCAAATGATAAAGAATGCTTATGCTATGATGGGTGGGATGACAAGATTTCTTATAGAGCCTGTATAAAACCTTACCACTCGTAATTCATGGCTCAGCCTTGTGGGACTGATCCCACTGAGTCTGTCGGTGTGACAAGTAAATCTCTTTCCACCTCTCTGAGTGCGTCGATTTCTCTGGGAAACTGCTGTGACAAAATGATAAAACTTACCGTACCAGGCTGAGGTTGTAGATATTTGTCCAATGTATACTATATCCACATAAAAGGACTGTGAGTCTGATATTTTCTGTAAACTAATCCTTTGAAGAGAAAAATTTGTCCCAGCATATTTGGATTGTATGAGATCTAGAAGATCTATGCAAGTGTAAGTCCAGCTGAAAGAATGTTGATTAATTGTGTGATCAGTTATACTGCTTAATGTAAAAAAACATTATAAACTGCATTAAAATCTTAAAGGTGTTTTTTCTCATAACAAAGGAGAGCAGGCAGCAATTTACATTGATAGTAAAAAATTTAACATTGCAAACAAACGTAGACTTTCTTTTATTTGTAGCCTTAGCAGTAGCCCAATGAATATAAAATAACATTCTGCAAATAAGTAAACTAAAGAGCATGCATTGTAGTGTAGAGCACATAGACAAACGAAAAAAGACACAATAAGGAAATATTGGAGTAAAAAAAAAATTCCCAGTATAGAACAGAAATTCAGAAGAGTACAAAGAAGCAAAAAAAGGAATCTGAAATTACTTCCAAAAGAGCTTCCTGGAGATGTACTGTCCACCACTCTAAGTGACAAAAAGGTACTAGGTATGTATAGCTACAGATGCTCAGTACCTTCCAAATTCGTAACTTATATTCACAGTTTCTATCAAGTATTAATTTCATTGGAATCCCATAAATTATAATTAGGCAACTTTCTGATATGAGAGACATAGCAGCTAACAGGTAAAGACTGCCATCCAAATATTTCTACAGAGTTTCACAACAATCTTTACATCAGCTGTATGAATTAACTAACTTGTTTGCTTGTGTGCATTTACTTTCGTTTCCTTCAAGGTTTGCAAGATCATTGTGGGATCAAACAGTACAACACAAAGCTTAGACTGGAGTATCATTCTTAGAAATCTATGTGCAGAACTCCATCAGGTTAAAATATTCTTTACATTTAAAAAAGTGTTTAGAACTTTAAGTAGAATTCTCCTCATAACAATATGAACCTGAACTTTTAAAAGCTGCTGCTTAGACAATCTAGTATACCAAACAGGGTCTTTTATAAGAAAAAAAGAGACAGCAAATGATATCAAAACTTCAGTGAACAGCACACTGTATCTTTGTGGCTAGGTAACTTCATTTTTTAAAGGAAAACCCAATTTCACTCTCCGGATTTTGAAACTTGATTTACAACTGTAAACACCACTGTTTTGGGAAGATTATAGAACAGTTCTTAGAAAATGGCACTTTCAGGTCCTCCCTGGTGGCGCAGCGGGCTAAAGCACAGCACTAAGAAGCTAAAGCCATTGCAGCATGAGTTTGATCCCTGCCCCAGAGGTGGCCCACATGGCACAGCAGACCTCTCCTGACCCGCCCGCTGCTCCCCTCAGCAATGTACTTCGTCAATCCACCTGCGCTACTCCCCACTCTGTCTCTGGTGAGTCTACTCACTGCCACTGCACCTCTGTCCTGTACCCCAGTTTTGTATGCATAAATAAATAAATCTTAAAAAATAAAAGAAAATGGCACTTTCAATATTATCACACATTGAAAAATAAACAAAGCCAATGCTAACACATCTACTGTGAAATTGTCTAAAAATTATGTAATTTGTGCATAGGGGGGAGGAAATCAACACCTTCTTCAATATTCTTTTCTAGCTCTTCCTCCCTTAATTCTTCCTTCCCTCCTTCCTTCTTTGATTCCCTTCCTTCTTCCCTCTCTCCCATCTCCTTTTTTTCTGTGAAACCAAAGATGGGTCAAATGGATAACAAATGTTGAAAGTGCAGAAACAGGAGCCATAGACTGTTAGTCAAATGCTGCTGAGGGCTAATCTGAGCTCTCACAAAAAGCTTATTCCTTAAGCATCAATTCAGGAAAATGCATTTTTCATTTATCGAGGAATAAAACTGGTTTTGACTATTTTATGATTTCACAGGAAATCATGACCCAAGGATGTTCTACAACTTTCCTAGAGGGCAGCTTTCTATAATTCTGTGCAAACACTGTCCACATTGGTGCTCTTGCTTCTGAGTTCCACATCAAGTTCTACTAAATTTCAGGAGCTAATAAACTTACTTCCCTGCCTTTGAATAAAAAGATTTTCTTCTTTTATTTCCTATGGAAGGCTGTCCATATTTTATTTGTGGGGTCAGCTACACCTGAATACCTTTTCTAGTGATTACTCCAACATGTACAGAATGTCAGCCACAGAACTTGTGTGTCTATATTATAAAGAATTCTTTGCAAGACTTAATGGTCTTACTAAGGATTTTCTCTTTGACAAACATCTGTTGTGTATATCTACACTTTAACTGTGGTTTTCTCCCTCTGGGTTAAAGAGATTCTGACATCTGCAAAACAGGGCTGTGAACGTCATTTCACTCAACATCAATTCCTTGTAACATTGATCAGATAAAACAATCCAAGCCAAAGTTAAATGAAATGATGTTAGCCCTTCTTTTGTAATATGTAATTTGCTTCAAGTTTCAGTTTACAAGAGCCTATCTATGACATTAAATATAAACTTGCTGTTTTTAAAAATAAAAATTTAAACCCATAGTTTCCTCCACTTTATCCACTGACCAGTAGGATCATAAACTCCAAATATGATGGCGAAACTATAGCCATCAACATAGGATATTTTATTTTGAAAACTGAAGACTCTGACTTACTTTCCCTTAACAAAAAGTTATCCCAGTTCAGTGGGAAGGAAAGCTAAAAGCACTGGTAAGACTTCGTAGGAAGTTTCAGATTGCTGTGAAACCTGAGGTTAGAGTTGAGGATACCAGAGGGGCAGTTGGGAAGCTGGGAGCAAAGAGGGGAGGGGATCTGATGAACTACACGACAGGACTGCTGCTGTTTTGGTCGTAGGTGTGGTAAGATCACTTGTATTTGAAGAGATGTGAACCTCTGTTTCCTAAATCAAATGCATTGCTGTAAACCAAACTAATCTCAAAAATGTCATTAAACAAGCCCACAAAAATAGTTTCAGATTAAAAATCTGGACTGGATCACATGGGAGATTATCTAAGGGTGCCCTTCCAGATGGGATGCCCCAACCAGCTCTCATCTGCTCCCACGCTCCGTCCTGGTCTGGTCCTGTTACTAGTAACCCCTGTCACTCAGTGCCCCTGTGAGCACATCTTGATCCTGATGGATCCCAGGCACCTAGCTCTGTGGGACCCAGCACTGCTGCAGCAAACAGGCTCCCAACCTGGCAGTTTAACCACCTCAACTTTATCCCAGATCTATGGGGGAATTGAAACAAAATTTCTAAAAGTCTTTACTAAAGGAGGTTCCATTTCCAACACACTATATTTCTATGATTTTTGGAGTATACATCTATCTATAAGTATGGAATGAAAGTGGGTTTCTGCATTTTTGAAAACAGTATTGAGATAAAGTAGGAAACAGGAAGCTTGAGGTTGGAGAGCTTTTGCAAGCACCTTCTTCCAGCATAGATTCTTCTATCAACACTATTCTTTCTTCTCATCTAGTTATTCAAATCTCTCATAGTACGTTCGTTTTATTTCTTGCCTTTTTTTCCCTTGTAGTTAGCATTTGGTTCCATTTCTAATTCAGGGTCCTTTAACCTTCAGTTTGAGAATTAGAAGGTCATTGATTCTGCCTCATACCTGCTCCCTACATCACAGTTCTGAGTGATTTGAGTGATTTGAGGTCCAATCCCTATGACACAAAGTGTACTCCATAATGACAGTGGTGGCAACTTAGATGACATGTATAAAAGTATGCTGCAAAATGCTTACATTTGTGCAGAATAGAGAGGATTCTTATGTGAAACTTTAAGGTTTCTAATGTTAGAAAAAAAGCAAAACAGAAACATCAGAAATATTTTGAAGACAGAAGCCAATCCATGGTTATTTTTAACATTAGCTTTTAATGAAAGAAAATCTTTCCAAAATTGTGGAGAGGATCTGTTTTCCCTGTCAGTCAATTTTGCTGAACAAAAGCTTTAAAAGAATAAATTATGATTTTATGTAAATCACACTTCAATAAGCATGACTTTAAAAATTATGGGAAATAATTTTTAAAATAAAAAAGGGTGTGTATGTGTGTGTGTGTGTGTATTCAGGATTACTTGTAAGTTAAATCTTTAGCTGTTGTATATGGAAATGCAAAGTTAGGGTTGACATACATTTCAGAAGATATAGTAGTAACCAAAACATAGTTAAGCAGGACTAAACTGTGCTTGAGGGGATGACAGTTACGATCATTAAGCAGCTTTCTCTGGGCTCATTTAGTTCCTCTCTCTATACTTCTCTGTTTGCATTCCCATGTGTCTTCTAGCAAGTCAATATTTTAAAATGTCTTTCCCACCTTAATTTTGGTGTATTCATCGAAATATTTTAGTTTTTTTCTACTCACACAGAGCAAGCATTTAATTTTTTTCAGTGATCAAAGTCTCATAACAATATTGGGATAATGTAACATCTTTCTACCTTCCTTCAGAAGCTGGAAACATAAAATAATGCATAATTTAAATTCTAGGGTTTAACAGTATTGCCTTGAGAATGGTCATGAATGATGACATGCTACCCTAAATTTTAATCTCATAAACCATAGATTTATTTCTACCACAACCACTTCTGTTAGGAAGTTTATGTCAAGGGCAGGAAAACTACAGTTATAACCAGGGTGTTCATGACTTCTCAAAAACAAAGAAGAAATAACTTAAGTTTTCAAGTTCATTGTGTAACTTACTTGGTTCCATCAGCAAAATTAAATGTAAACTGCTTATCAGTGCTTCTAGTAATCCTGTTTTTATCTTGGTATTGGAACTTCAATCCAATATGAGGTTTCAGGAAGCCTTTGTATGCTAAACATAACTACAAAAAAAGTAGTTAGTAAAAATCTATTACAACTAAGTGGTCCCATATCATTTAGGTTATCTTAGTACAATTTAGTAAGTATATGTAGAGCATTTTCTAATACAAAATCTATCTAACCACAGACAAAAAATGATTAGTTTCAGAAAATTAGGTGCAGAAATACTAGGGAAGATTTTGTAAAAGAGTAGAGTTGAAGTGACCTTACAATTAATAGTTAATTCTTTATTGTTTCCTTAAATATGGGGAAAATATTTTTTTCTTAATGTCTTTAAAGACATAGAAATAATTCATTCCCTTTACCAAGGAGTTATGTAAGAATTAAATACAACTCTAACCAAATTAGTCAGTTCATTATGCATAAAGAAGAGAGATAAGCATTCAGGTAGATTAATTGGTATGTTAATGCAGCTGATTATTTAGAAATAGAGAGGAATGTCACTAAAATAATAATATCAGTTTTAATGTTCTACAATTCCTAAGAATGCCAAATACAGTTGGAACTTAGGACTTTAGAACATGTGTTACAACTTAAGAATTTTAAAATTCTCAAATTTTGAAAAAGAGAAAAGGTAAGTTTCTGCTAATCTAATCTAGCTGTACTGAAACTGTATTATATCCACTGCTCATTATTTTCTCTCACTTTTCCCAGACTGCACACTCAAGATTACTCTGAGATGACTATCCATTTTTGTTTATTCTTATTAAATGAAGGAATATTAAGAATATCATACATTTTTAATTGCTTTGGTATTTAAATTTGCTCGCAAATAATTTTCCTCCAGAATTATGAGATAAAATAGAATATGCATGCAGGATGCTACAATTTTTAAATTTTTTTGAGACTCAACAGAAGAGGACATCACACACATACAGCATGTGTATTGCAGTGCCTGTCCAATGTGACATGATTTCACACGACAAGTACTTTGCCTTGTCTGAAAATTTCATGAAATTTTATTACCAATGTATTTTGCAGATTTAATTAGCATATCATTTTATGGAGCTTACCTGATTATAAGGAAATAATGAAATGTCTCCATATGGTAGTCTGTTTGGTGTAACATCTGCTGAGTCAAAAAGAACAGCTGGGTTTTTCAGGGAATAACGACCACAATAAGCATCAGTCTCAGCTGTCTTCTGTCCTCTATTAACATGGTCCTACAGAAACAATAATAGTTCAAACAAAAACATGATTTATTGTCCTGCTTGATTCCCCACTTATACCCCTAAGTTGTTTTAAGTTCTAGTTTAGACCTTATAGCTTCCCAGATGACTGTAACTGTCTCATCTTTGAAATTCTCAGGCTCTCATCCTTTATCACTCATTTGTTTCCATAATATTTATCCCTATATTTGGCTATTTCCCAAGTTCTATATTTCTCTTTATATCATGAACTCCTTAGGGATATTTATTCCTTCCTTCTACAAATTTAGTGTTGGCTGTGTGTCAGGGCTTTATTTTTTTTGTTTAATCATCAGGGTTCAAGTGGTGAAGAACACTGCCCCAAACATGGCAACCCACTATTTTAGGACAAAGGAACTATGGGTTATAAAACCAAGGCTAAAGGGAGGCATCTGGCTCACCTGAAAGCATCAAGAAATGTAACTCAGAAGAAGTGATAAATCATTAGTCTTTAAAGATGAATTTATTTTTTTTAAAGATCTATTTATTTATGCATACAGAACTGGGGTGCAAGCCAGGAGTGCAGGGGCGGTGAGAGGATTAACCAGAGACAGAGTGGGAAGCAGAACAGGCAGAGAGAAGTACACTGCTGAGGGAAGCAGCGGGTGGGTCAGGAGAGGTCTGCCGCGCCACGTGGTCACCTCTGGGCAGGGATCGAACTCATGCTGAAGTGGCCTTAGCATTTTAGTGCTGTGCTTTAACCCACTGCGCCACCAGGGAGGGCCCGAATAGGACTTATTTAAAAGAAAACAGGAGCCAAGGGATTTCAGGGGTGGGTAAAATACGTGCTGAAAAGCAGGAACAGAAAGTGTGCTGCTGAGAAATGCAAATAGCGGAGGTAAGAAAAGCTAGGTGTGATGATGATAAGAGATGAAGCAGGCGAGGAGCATAATGTGAATTGCCTGTAAGTTCCCATGACTGCAAGTAATATCGCACGATCCATACTGAAGTACATGCTTATTGAGTGAGTTTGAAAAGATTGCCCATTACCTGGAAAGATTTTCCTTTTATTTTTTTCACTACTAAAATTGCTCATATAAAACATCAGAATTGATTTTATTTCTAGGATAGAGTTCTGATTTAAATAACTATGCTATACTTCTCTTATTCTTATAGCCTTCACTTGCTTCTTATGTCTTCAAAATAAAAATTAAGATGGTAAGTGTATTTTTAAATTTACTGTACATCAAAGAAAGATCTCCAGGTCTCACCAAGAAGGAAATACTAACTAGATATTGAACTAACTAACCAGGGGGTGATCTTCAACAAGTACAAGGAGCAATTTATTACATAACACTGAATCCTAAGTGTATGCTTTTAAGTCAATGAGGGAAAAAAGGAGATATTCTACAGTCAAGTGAAGAAAACAGACAAAGGCCGTTACATTTGCCCACCTTATCTATGCTCTATTGATCAGGAAAATTCATGTATGATAAAAATACAGCTTTCACAAATAAGTCACATTATAATGAATGGAAATGCTACAACAGATCTTCCCAGTAAATGTATAACAAAATAAGTTTGTAATTTGATTATGAATGATGAAATAATGTTAGTTCAAAAAAGAAATGAAGAAATTTCAGACATGTACATGAATTCTGATATGGTCAGTTTCACAGTTCATTAATCATTCCATGCCGTACCAAGTCAAAATCAGTTTCATAATCTCTGAAGTATCTCACAATATATCCTTCTTCAAAATTTGCAATTTGTGGTGGACACTTAGTGGTGATCATTTCTTCTACTGCTGCCTGAAACTAAAGTATTAAAATGAACTTTAATAATGTTTTCTTTCATGAATTTAGAATGTTAGTTATTATACTAATAACACTACCAATTAATTCTACCAGAACATTTTAGTAAGTTACTTCACGAGTTAGTTGTCATTATGAGACCAAACCCCAAATGAATTTGGTGTCCAAAGACTTTTTCAAAAGCTTTATTTTAGATTGACAATAAATATATACAACTGGCTAATCCTAGCTTACTTCAATTAATTGATGCTCAAACATATCTTAATGAGTAACTTTCCAAATTAACTCAAAGTTAGCCACACACACAAAAAAACCCATACATTTCAACATATGCCATTTTTTTCAAAAATAAGATACATTGATACTATAAGTCTGTATTGATAATTCATTAAAAACAATAAATAATTGTCATTATATAGGAACTGGTAAACAATCACAAAGTCTCCTGTAATTTCCACATCTATTTCTTTGGTAAAGCTCAAGTATAACTGGTGTTTAGAATGAAGGATCAAAATAATATATGATCTTTAATTGTCAACAACTATTAACTTAAACTCATTGTAAAGGTCATTGTCAAAATTCAGTAGCTCACAAGCAAACATTCTTTCTTGTGAACAGTTGCCCTTATGGGAAGATATACTGGATCCTACAGATACTGATCTAATAACTTTTCTTTTCTCCCTACAATCATTAAAATATTTTCTCCCTTCTCTGCTCACTATGGATCAGCTTCAACTTGCCTTTTCAACCAAGAACATATGGCTACACCTTAAAGTGATTTTTTTTAATTAAAAAAAATTATGACATTAATTTTCAGGTGTTTCATTATTAAAAGTCAATATGCATATATACATTAAGTTCATCACAAAAAGTCAAATCCTTTCCTTTAAGTCATCTCCATTATTATTTTTTTTTGTATAGACAGGTGATGCATACATGACTTTGCATTTAAAAAATCAACATTGAGCATACTTCAGCTTCTGATGACCATGGTGTAAGAGGTTTAGAGATGACTCCATCCCAGTTCAGTGTGAATGTGTCCAAACTGGGTTTTCCTTTGGTTTGTTCTATAATATCCAGTGTGACATTATTCCCTTCAATTACTTCATAATCAAGCAGTTCAAAGTCTCCTGAGATAAAGGGACAACAAAAATTGAACATAATAAAATATAAAAATATCCATAATAGACACTGACACTTAATTTTTTTTTTCAGTTCTACTTCTCCTCAGTGGGAAAAATGCAGATCTTTGAATTTAAACTGATTATCCCCAGGGGAAATAGCAAAACCTGATAAAGTGTTATTCCTGAAAGGTTTTGTTTCTTTGACTGAAAAAGTTTTATAAAATAAACCAAAAGAGAAATGAGGACCACTAATTAAAGATCAATATATATATTCAAAATTTTTTTTGTTCTAGACCAGTACAAGTATCTTATTATAATGGGCTAAGATGAGATATTGGTGTTGTGTGTATAGACTTGAGTAGATAACAAAGCTGACCTCCAGGAGACAGCCCAAGACTGTTCATACAACTTCACTTTGAGAGAAATAAAGACTTGTCCTCAAATGTTTATCTTTTGAAGATGCTTTACCAATGGCACCTTGAAGAGTTTTTCTATTAGGTAAAGTTCTAGAATTTGTCCAGTTATGATTTTGATACTATATTTCTTAAGGTTTCTATTGAACTCTTAAGATTCTTCTCTGATTGCATAAACGTCTAGCTCTGTCTTCATTTGTATAACATTTTAACAGTCTAACTTATGAGAAATTTTTAGTACAATTCATTTTAAACACAATTCTTCACCCACCACTCGCCATCAAATTAGCAACTTCATAAAATGAGAAACAAATAATGAAATAATATTTTACTTACATGAAGAGAGAATAATAATTGCCCAAAGAAAAGCACAAGCACACACATTCAGGGACAAATTTCTTTAGCTAGATATCCCAAACACCCAAATTGGATGTTATATCTGGCTTTAAAACTTGAATATATAAAATATTAGTAGAACATTAGTACTTATTACTCAGAAAAAATGGTAGAAGGGTCAAATAATTTGGGGGTAATGTATGAAATACTGTTGAACTACTTTTATGCTTTTTCCTCATTATAGGAAACCTTGGGAATTTTATATTATAACGATCTCTGTATATTCTAATGACCTCTGTCAATCTTCCAGGAGAGCTATGGTATGGGATATTTTCCCTGTGAATTTGACCACAGAATTCTTTCACCAGGCAAGAGCTGGCCAGACTAGAGTCTCCTAAGCAATATTAATTTCCTTAAGTTTCATTTCCAGAATTAATATGTTCATGAATTTTTACGAAATATAAAATAAATCATCAAGTTCATTTGTGGTATATATATTATATTTCCTGTACACTTAAGTTAAATTTTCATTGAAACACTAATTAAAATTTAAATTAAACTTTTTTTTTTTTAAGATTTATTTATTCGTACAGAACTGGGGTACAGGCCAGAGATGCGGAGGGTGAGAGGATTCACCAGAGACAGAGTGGGGAGCAGAACAGGCAGATGGAGGAAGTACACTGCTGAGGGGAGCAGCGGGTGGGCCAGGAGAGGTCTGCCACACCATGTGGTCGCCTCCGGGGCAGGCGGGAATCGAACTCATGCGGAGATGGCTTTATGGCTTTAGCTTCTCAGTGCAGGGCCTTAACCCGCTGCGCCACCAGGGAGGGCCCCTAAATTAAACTTTTTAATTTTTAAATAAAAATTTAACCATGTAATTCCTAGTTCCCCCAAAACTGATACAGTATGAATCTAATTCTTTTCTTATGTCATTTTATGGAGCTTTTGCCTTTCTTAGTGGAATTGCATAGGATAAAATTTATTTCTGAGAAAAAGAGTAGACAAAGGCAAATAAAATGCATGCTTACCTCTTGTAGATATAAAGGTTACCATGTAAACATAGCTTTGGGGAGTGTGTGATCTTATTACTTGAACTGTATCTGGTTTTATGGACCAGAGGTCATTTAAGGCTGATTGCAGCATGAAGTCAGAAGCATCAGCAGGCAGCAAGACTTTGGATGAATTAAAAAAATTAAAGTCAAATGATTAGGGATTTTAATTGAAAAATGAAGAAAAGCTAAAATATTTTTACATTATCCTTATTACCACAGTCTGCACTGATGTGCTATATTTGTGCTTTTTAAAGCATCTGTAGTCTGAACCATGTAAGTTATTACATAGTGAAATTGTGTTTTGCAATTGACTCAAATTAAATAGTATTAACTACTTAATTGGATTATGATCATTTGAGGAAAGGGTTCATAGTTTATTGCTTGAGCATTCCATAGTAATAAGCACTGTGTTTGACCAACTGCAAGCAAACATTCATCAATATTTACTTATTAAAACAGTGAGCAAAACAATAAAAAAAAAACTAACAACAAAAATTGTTGGCAAGGATGCAGTCAAAAAGGAAATTTCCTACATTGATGGTGGGAATGAAAACTGGTCCAACCACTATGGAAAGCTGAATGGAGATTCCTCAGACTACTAACAATGGAGGTATCATATGACCCAGCAATTCCACTACTAGTTACCCAAAGGGCACAAAAACATTAATTCAAAAAGATACATGCACCTCTATGTTTATCACAGCACTACTTACAATAGGTAAATCCAGGAAACAACCCAAATGCCCCAAACTAGATGACTGGATCAAGATGTGGTATATATACACAATGAAATACTACTCAGCAATTAAAAAAGATAAATTCATGTCATTTGCAGCAACATGGTTGGTGCTGAAAGGGATTATGCTCAATTAAATAAGTTAGAAGAAAAAAAAATATCGAATGGTTTCACTTGTAGGAGGAATTTAAGAGAACCAAGTAAGACAGGTGGGGAAAGTATATTTTTATTACAATACAAAACAATACAAAAACAAATAGACAAATATAAACCAGAGAGACCCTACAGAAGAGGGAGACAGAAAGGGATCAGAAGGAGGGAGAAATGTGGGGGGATATGGTGATGACAGAAGTGGGAGGGGGTACAAACATTGTTATAAAATGAACAATAATGTAAACAGATATATGAAAAATAAGTTTAAAAAAAGAACAAAAAAATCATTTCAGGATATAAAAATGCAGAGATACAATGTCTTTTTTTTTAAAGATTTATTATTTATTCATACAGAACTGGGGTACAGGCCAGAGATGCGGAGGGTGAGAGGATTCACCAGAGACAGAGTGGGGAGCAGAACAGGCAGATCAAGGAGGTACACTGCTGAGGGGAGCAGCGGGCGGGTCAGGAGAGGTCTGCCGCGCCTTGTGGTCACCTCCGGGGCAGGCGGGGATCGAACTCATGCGGAAGTGGCTTCAGTTTCTCAGTGCAGTGCTTTAACCTGCTGCGCCACCAGGGAGGGCCACAATGTCTTTTTTAACAGATAAACTAGAGTCTCATAGGTATACCACTTAATTTAATATATTGAAGGAAATGCTTACTTCTCTATAATGATTAAGTCCTATTAAACAATTTATAACTATAGGTGACAGATTTTTATAAAATCCTATATGCACTGAAATATATATTTATCATGATCTTTATAGAAGGAAATGATAGTATATGCCAGAATGTTGTTTTATTGTTGCCATTTTTGGTTCCAATCTGAAGGCTTTTTTGCATAATATGTATTTTTCAAAATGTCTTTAGAACACTATTAAAGCAGTATCTTCTGGACAACAGAAGTTGGCTAGAGCAAATGCAATTTTATAACTTAATCTATACATAAAAAGCAATAAAATTTCCCTTATTATTTGCAGCTTACCAGTCTTTTCCATGTTATAGATTAATCTGTACTGGTAAAGAGAACATGACAACTCTCCCACACATGGGCTGGTTACCGTGATCTTCTGAACTTCACTAGTTGCACTAGTTGTTTCCCAGTTTTCCAATGTTATCACCTATTTTCCAATTTAAGAAATCTTTACTATGTGGAAAGCATATTTTAAAAGCATCATAAGTTAGCTACTCAATACCTCTTCATTACTCAATTTTACTACATTTTAAAGTTTGTTTTGTCAAATGATCTCTCTAGTCTATTACACAGATATTCCAAGTCACTAATTTCCCATCACTTCTTTATCCCCAAATAGTAACTTACCTAGAAAAATCAATAACTAAATAAAGCTCCTGTCTTTGAACATGTCCTCTCTGTAAAGTAGATCTATGATTAGAGCGAACCTGTACTTCCTGAATAATTGTCGACTGGGATTGGATAACCTGTTCTTCATTTATTGCGTCTTTTGTTTGTTGCTCAGTGTAGACATTCTTATGCTGGTACAGTCCAACATCAACAAAAGCACTTAGTCTATATTCTTGCAGCAATATTTCAATGTAATATCTGGAAAATAAAATAATGAATATTACTTTTATTCCAGACGTCAAAACATTTTTTTTTGAATGAATAAATTTCAACACTATCTAAAACATTTCACTTGCCTGTGAAATGATTTATATTGTAATAGCCTTGATTTTAAACACTACCATATTGAACATTTTACAGTGCTTTGCTAAAATGAAATGAATTTGGTAAAATATCTGCATTAGCAGTGAGTTGCTTCCTTTTATGCCAGTTCACTCAGTTTTATCAGCAAATATTTATTGAAAAAGATGCTATCCCTTACCCTGAAGGAATTTAAAACAAAATTACATTGTAGATTACAATAAAAAGACCTTTGCAACAAACACAGAGGACATATTGAGGTGAAATACTTTAAAGTATGTTTGAAAATTACAAGCTGATTATACACATGACATATGATATATTTTCTGTCTCAGTGGTTGGGTGTCAAAGTTACTATTCTCAAATTCCCTAAATATTTATGGCTTGGAGAAGAAAAATTGCCTTGGGAAAGTTTTACTGATTAGATTAACTATGGACCACTAGCAAGCTAGATGAGGCTTACTTATATTCAGAAATTTTTACTCCTGACACCCCCTACCCACCATCCAACTGCTTCTCCAGGACAAGCCTTGCTGACCAGCTGGTACTGTGAGTCCAGAGCTGTTGCTTCCCTCCTAATCCCTATCAAAGCCTCCATTGCTCCCATCTCTGGAGAGGCCAGCTGGGAGTTGCTCTAAGTTGCCTCACATTATTCAACAAATATACTTACAGATCCACAGTTGATGAATGATGCTGAATTTATCATGTGCCATGTGGTTCACCCCCCTCAAAGAAATTATCTGGAAGGATCATATCAAGCTATTAGGCTCTGGGCTTTCCCTTTGCCATTTGAGGTAGATAATACTAGTTAAGGTACAAGATTCAAAGAACCATTAAATTCTGTAGTCTTATCTGTCTATTGAAAGATAATTATAGGCACTTTATGTTAGACACTAAATAGCATTCTGCAAACATTATTTTATTTAATCTTCACAAATTCCTATAAACTATATATTATTATTTTTGTCCTTATAACTTACTGACAGAGTTCTAAAAAAAGGAAAGGTTATTTACAAATTAGTAATTGAGGTAGGATTCCAAAGAGAATGGGGTGATCAAGGGGACATCCATTTAGAGATGGGCTATACTGTCTGAGCGGAATGAACTGGTATTATGAGTTGTATTTGGAAAGGCCCAGGGACCAGACTACTATGTGAGACATCATCTAGGTGATCTCAATTTCAGAATTCACAGCACCTAATATGTATGCAGCATGTAAATTCGAAATAAGTTTGCAGGAGCACAAATAACAAGCCACAGCTGTTGGCTGTTTTAGGCGTTGCCTTCGTGCCGGCTCTGTGCTTCTTGTCAAAAGGTAAAAAGAACTCATTTTCCAAGACTAAGGCAAAGTCTAAAGGTATATTGATATTTAGTAGAAGTAGGGATTGATTTAGTATACTACTTAACATGAATAGATGTAGAGATTTTGGTTGAAAAACCATTTAAATATATATTTTTAAAATAGTAGTAAAAGAAGGAGGATAAGAAGAATGGAATGCTTTCCCTAAGTCACTATCACTAAGACTTCAGGAAGAAGACTATGCCTGGTTACCCACAGGTACCACTGATCTTAGCCTTCTCTGAGCCCAATGCCATCACTCCCAATGCCTATGAGCACAATCTCCTCAGTATCCAAAAGACTGATATGGCAGAATAAACAATTAAAAAACTCATCAGAAGTGAAGTCTACTTTTTCACCCCTGAGTCTAGTCTTGTATCATTTGCTTTGGTCAATTGAATATAACTGAATGTTTCATAAGTAGAGTTTTCAAGAGTGTGTGTACATTAAGCATTGCTCTCTTTATTGCTGAGAATTCATTCATCAACATGGCTGGTCTGAGTCGTCTCCTAGAAGATGAGAGACCCTGTGGCGTGGGAGATCCTGACACTGAAGTTCCACCCATGCCAGCTGGGGATCCAGATATGGGAGTAAGGCCACCCTGGACAGGATGGCATATTTTAATCCCCTTTGTGTTTTCAGTATCTGGCACATGGCCTATAATAAATCAGTGAATATTAAACATCTTTACTGTAGCACTGATTCATGTAGTTTTATGGTTTTCTCTAGCAATATTTAAGATCAGGTGTGGGAGCAAAGAAATTAGATGGCTGGATTGACTGAAAGGTTCTAATAAAAAACTAACATCAGAATTAAGTAAAATTCACAAAGTTATAATTCTGAAATGGGGTAACTTAGATTTCATATTTCCCTAGGTAGATGAATGCAATATACTTGAAAATATGGAAATATAATTTAATAAAATTATTTAGACATAACTAATTATAAATTAAACCAACAAGCTAATATTATTTTTTAATGTTTTTATTCATTTATTTTTAATGAAGTATCTTCTTATATCCCTGTTAATTTTTGAACAGCATATGATATGTCCCCTCAAGTGCGGTCACTGTTTCTCCCACCACAAAAGAACCCATAGTCAATTACCACAGTCCCCATGCTCTTTCCCTCCTGGTTTCCGCCCTCCCTCTCTTCTTCCCTCTTGAATGGAACAAACTGAAACAATTTTAGATGTAAACTTAAGAGTTTTTAACCACCACAAGCAATGTGAAGAAAAGGGGAAAAAGAAAAAACCTTACTCTTTTCCTTGCTGAAGATGGATGTCTTCTGATCTTTGTGTTGGATTGGAAAAATAATTGTTGGCATTAGAAGAATGGTATGCAATTCTCACCTTATCCCCCCAAAAGAAAGAGACAGAAAGAGAGGGCAAAGTTATTAATGACTTATTAATAAACCTTTTTGGCTTATATTTCTTCATCATTTATTGTTTCTGACAGTTTTGAGCTTTTTACAGTAGAAAAGTGTGAAACCACTTCATATATTTTTCTAAGATCTGTTATCCATGATAAAATTTTTTAAAAAATCATCAAATCTCACTTTATTCTTCTACCCTCAACTAACAAACACACATTGTATCATGATTACACAAAAACCATGCCTTTTCCACAATTAGAATTATTATGGAAAAAAAGAAAGATACCTCCCAAGAGGAAGGTTCATAGTGCCAAATAAAATACTCTTTTACTCTGAAGAGAACTTTGAGGGATTTAATCTGAATGAGATCATTAAAGTAGTATTCAAAGATGTCAAAGATCATGAAGACCTTGGACTTCCCAATAGGAAAGGCTGTCTCTCTTTGGAGGAACCATGCTGAAAATCAATGATAAAACTGGATATTTACATATTATAGGATGCAATTTACATTTGCTTCATATAGTACAGAAAGCCATTTAGTTTGGGAGACAATTCTGCAATTTATAATTAGTCACAAAGTATTCTTTTGATTTGTCTTATTAGTTTCACATTTGTAAAATTGTTCCAAAGAAATACTACAAAATAAAAAATAATGCAATGAACAAAAATGGTCTCAGCAGGTTTGGACTAGTTTGAACAGACCCCTTCTGGTAGAAGCCAGTTTGAAAAGGTTGGATCTAGTTTCAGACAGTCAGAACAGCTTGGAACCCATCACAGCCGGCTTGAACCCACCAGATACTGTTTCAGCTGTTTTGGCTGGATCTGGTATCAGCCAGTCAGAATTGGTTGGAACCAGTCTCAGTCAGTCAGTTTGAGCCAGTTAGGACCATACATTTGAAACTAGTTGCAAGCATCTTTGTAATTAATTTGCTTTTATAGATGCATTCATTTGATTCTTGAATTTAAATCTTGCAGGGCTAATTCTAAAGGTACTTTAAAAAAAAATATCTCCTATAATCATGAATTGATGCCTTAGTTCTTACAGTTAAACAGACCAAAAAAAAAAAAAAAGATGCTTGATTCTTACTTTTTGACCTTACCAAACCACAGATAAGCAATACAGTGTCTGTTGTAGTCCCTTAATTTGTGCAATATCATGGCCTTCTCATTCACTTTGGGGAAGATGGTCTGATAAGTAGTGAGAATCACTTTGTTTTATTCCCAGCTGGGCTCCACTAAAAATCCACTCTTTCCTGAGGCACCAACTCTACTTTGTGTGCATACACTTCAGTTGTGTGTGTTTAATCTCACATGTTGGTGAAATATATTTCTCATCATCAGTCATGGTGGGTCCACCTCTGCATGTTGCTTTGCTGTCTTTCTTTACTTTCTTTTAATAGTGTCTGGGGACAAAAGGGCATAGCACCCAGGTCCCAGCAGCCTTGGACTATGATTTTGGGCAAGCCCTCAGCTTTCCCTTCTGAGATATGGTGATTAGGATCCTTTTCACCTTGAACGGTTTCACTTATAGGAGGAATAGAGAGGAACCAAATAAGGGATCAGGAATGTTTTTCTATTTGAAGGTACTCATGGACTCTGGAAGCACAACATGGTTGGGTGAGTCAGAGTTTGAAAGTTTTCCTTTTGAGGACTGATTTAATGTATTGGGCATTTTGTGTTGCTTAATAACACTTCCCACACATTATCAGTCATACAATTGTGTTATATAAATAAATAATGTGGAGACATTAATGTGACAAAAATGACTCTGAGGATGGACATATGATCCTATTTATGTAAAAAACAGAGCCATAAGGAATAATAGACTTCAATCTCATGACCAACAATAGAATGGAAAGAAATAACATGTTTTTTTCCTTGCTAGAGGAAATTTAGATACAAAAATTTGTTTTAGTCCATGGGTTTTCTATAACAACTTATAATTCATAAATTACATGTGTTAAAGTAGCCAGGAATCTAATCATATGAAAATTTATCTCATAATTTCATAAATTTACTCATTGGTGTTGGTTTAGAATAAATGAAATGCATATAAATGTTATTATATTGCTTCTATAAATCAAACAGTAATATGTAGCTTTCCTACCTTATCTTCTGGAAATCCAGTCTGGCTAAAATAAATAGCATATCGGTCATCACCTTTGATGTAGAATCTATAAACATCAGAATTTGGAGCCACCAAAAATCCACTGAAGCGTGCAACAAAATTCTCTTGTTCCATGGGCCAAATATAGGAAGTTGAATCTACCCAGCTGGCACCCATATACCCTGGTGTGTTTTCATTGTATTCAAGTATCTCTTCAAGATGTACAGGTTGGCTGTGATTCCATACTTCAAGCTTTAATCCTCTCCCACCTGAACATAGTAAAATAAAAGAAGTATTTCATTAGAATCTTGATTTGGTATCTCAATGGCCTAGTTGGATGGTGGCTATAAGCATGTTATTTTATTTTGCATTTTATGTATGAATGGTAACAGAAGAATTGTATACATAGTACATGTCAAAGGATAAAACACTATTATGGCAGTTTATAATGTTTTATCATTTTATGTCTTTGCATCACAGGTTCCACATATGTAACGAAATAGGAGCAATATTACAATGTACATGGTTGCTATGGAATTACGTATAACATACATGTACATGATATGCGTGCATGTATGTACACATATAATATTGGCATCTACTATATACATAAAATACTTCGTACTTAGGATTTTACTTCAGATAACTATGACATTGTAATGACCACCTATGATAAACTAAGTCTCAAAGCCTCAAGATTCAGATCATCTGATCACAGAACTTCTCCTTGATTATATTTTTAACAAAAGTTAATGGTTTACAAATGATCAAAGAACAGATACTTTTGGAATTCTCCTACACTGCTGGTGGGAATGCAAATTAGTCCTACCACTATGGAAAACTGTTTAGAGTATCTCAAACTGTTAAAAATGGAGCTTCTAGGACCCTCCCTGGTGGTGTAGCAAGTTAAAGCACAGCACTAAGAAGCTAAAGCCACTTCAGCATGAGTTCGATCCCTAGCCCTGGAGATGACCAACATGGTGTGGCAGACCTCCCCTGACCTGTCTGCTGCTCCCTTTAGCAGTGTACTTTGTCAGTCTGCCTGTTCTGCTCCCCACTCTGTCTCTGGTGAAGCCTCTCACCCTCCGCATCTCTGGCCTGTATCCCAGTTCTGCATGAATAAATAAATAAAATCTTAAAAAAAAAAATGTAGCTTCTATATGACCCAGCAATTCTACTCATAGGCATCTACCCAAAAGGACACAAAAACATTGATTCAAAAGGACACCTGCACCCCCATGTTTATTGCTGCTCTATTTACAATAGGAAAGACATGGAATCAACCCAAATGCCCAAAAGTCGATGACTAGATTAAAAAGATGTGGTACATACACATAATGGATATTACTCAGCAACCAAAAAAGATAGTCATGCCTTTTGTAGCAACATGGATGGAGCTGAAATGGATCATGATTAGTGAAATAAGCCAGAAATAAAAAGCAAAATACTGGATGGTTTCACTAATAGCAGGAGCAGGAACGGGGGGTTGGGAGGGGGAAGATTTACAAACTAAAAACAAAGATTTAAGATTTAAAATTTCTGTCAGTATTATTTTTTATTCTGCTAAAGTAGTTCACCTTCTTGGATAAGCTTAGAAAGAATATTTCCATTCAGGTGTACTTACCTTGCCAGTATAAACTCTATGGGTTAAGACTTTTTCTTCAACACAAAGTAGTCATCTAACTTTTTTTCTTCCCCAAAATACAACAACCAGGCTCATGCCTTCCTCTAGCTATCTTAACATATCTGGATTGCGTGGGTATAGACAGTAAAGATTCTTCATTTTTCAGACTAAGTTTGACTGGAGTAAAGCTCAATACTACCAACTTCCTTTAAAATTACCCAATGGATCATGGTGGAGACCATGAGTGGGTGCCTTGGTGGTGGGTGTGGTATGGTAACATATTTGAAGTGTGAACCTACATCCCTAAACCATACACAGTGTTATAAACCAACATCACCTTTGTAAAAATAATATAATTAAAATAATAATAAAAATTATCAATTATAAATGTCAAATTCTTTTTTTTTATAAAACTCGTCACCTCTCCCCCACCCCATATCAATTTAAAACAAAGAGATTTAAGATGATGGTTTGAATTACCCACCAAGGCTGAAGTCATAAGCCAATTTCACTGTGTGCACAGGAAGAGACATACCCCATTCCAACACAAGCAGAACCGAGCCCCAATAACTCATATTGGAGTTTGATATTAAATGTTATAGTATTATAAGGGACATGCTTAAGAAGATTCTTAATAATGAGACTGAAGACTGAATGAGATTAACATTTCTATATAGTAGACCCACAGAAAACCCTAGCCATATAGAGATAGCATCTGTGAGGAAGCAGGCCCTTACCAGATACCTAATCTTGGATTTCCCAGGTCCCAAGAACTGTAGGAAATAAACACTTTTTTATTTTTTATTCTTTTGTGTACTTATTCGAGATTCTTTTGCAGCAACCCAGGTGAACTGAGACACTAATGATATATCTCAATATTCTTCAGGTGTTAATGTAAAAGCAGCCATTCTCTCTCCTGGTAACTCACCTGGATATATAGTTCTGATGCTATCAGGTTTACAGGTTGTCTTGCAATATATGTTACTTTCTGTGATTTTCAAAATATCACAGGTTTGACCTGCAGAAAAGCAAAATGCAGAACTATTACTGTAAAGGTTCAGAATGCAAATCGTATCAGCATACCTAGAGGTATTTTTCAATCAAAACAAAGTTGCACAAGCAAGAGGTAAAGTTGTGAAAATGAAAAAAAGGATTTTCACTTCTTTTGCCTATTCTCCATTTAACCTTATAATTCAGTAATTTCCATACCTCCTGAGCACTCCCAAAGACTATTTAAATTTCCTTTTAATTAGCCAACCTATTGAAAAGTAACTGCAAGAAGGAAGGTATCTGAGAGTTGATTAAATAGAAGGTATGTGTGCTCCTCAGTGTGCTAAGGAATAAAGGAATCACAGCTATTGTAATATTTTCCTGGCAAAATATCACAAGTCTGGATTAGGAAATTTTACAATTCCTGAGAAACAAAATTCAACAACTGATCAAACTATGGCACCACAAAAGATTCTACACCTGGGTTCAAAAGCAAGCACTTAAGAGTTTGTCCCTTGGAGAAAAGTTGCCAAACAAAAGCCATAATGTTTAGAATTTACAAAAGGAGAGATAAAAGTTAAAAGAGGAAAAAACGTCGATGAATAAAAGTTCTCTTGGGTAGAACAACAAAAACAGTAAGAGTTGTTTAGTCCAAGCTCTTTCAATAAAAAGAAAAGCAATATTGATTTATAATGTTCCTTCCATAGGCAGAGACTGAAGCCAGAACAAACAGGGTCTAAGTGAGAGTGATGACACATACCAGAGAACCAGGCCCTATGTGCATTTGTGACCATATGACCTGTTAATTAATGCTCTTTCCAATAACATCTTTAATTAGTGATGCTCAGGCAGGCACTGTACATGAGATGGGAATGAGGAAAGAACTCCCAAAGACTATTTTAAATTTCCTTTTATTTAATCAACCTATTGAAAAGTAACTACAAGAAGAAAGGTATCTAAGAGTTGATTAAATAGAAGGTATGTGTGCTCCTCAGTGTGCTAAGAAATTTAGGAATCACAGCTATGATGACACCCCACACTAACCTTTGGCCCAATAACTTTGGGCCAAAATTAGAGCCCAAGTCCTGGTCATATAACATGGTAAGAAGTGACCTTCACTGGAAAATGCAGAGGAACAAGTATTAAGCACCAGGATCAAATGCGTATGTGAATACATCTAGTCTTAAGTTTAAGACATTAACGGAAAATGTTATTATTCCCCTTATAAACTGTTAAAGACAGATTTCTTCTCATGAATGGATATATTTAAAACAAAGAAAAGTGGCCCTCCCTGGTGTCACAACAGGTTAAAGCATAGCACTATGAAGTAACCTGTAGCTGCTGCAGCATGAGTTCCATCCCTGGCCAGGGAGGTGACCCATACCGTACAACAGATCTCTCCTGATCCACCTATTGCCCCCCTCAGCAGTGTGTTTCAGTCAGTCTGAACTCTAACCCCCTGTACCTCTGGTCTATACCCCAGTTCTTGTATGCATAAATAAATAAATCTTTTAAAAAATAAAATAAAGTACCTCCAACTAGAACTCTGATGGGGAGATCTGTCTGATCAAAGAACCGTCCACTTATAGTCAGCAAGGTGCCGCCTTGAATGCTTCCTTGTGAAGGTGAAATCATAGTGATCTCTGAGGAAGGAAGATGAAGCACATTGAATAAAATGTTATAAATGTTATAGGTAAACCTAAACACCTGAGTTCCACACCTATTCCAAATTACCTCCAGGTACTGTTACCAAGTGAATGAGTTAGGTGTTGCATTAAATTTTTCTCTGATGTAATCCTCCAGAAAGGATAACGAACGTGACTTCCATAGAGACGTATGCCTGGTCCTGAGGACCACGTTTGGTGGTAACTAGTGTTAAAGAGATTCTGGAAGGGGAGGATACAGGGAGTAAGGAAAGATTGGGGTGCCTGGAGATGTTTGGTTTCAAATGAAAAGACAGGAAGAACAACATCCTTTTGTCCCCCCTGCTCTGGGCAATGAAAAGTCCCTATATGTATAGGCTAACTTTATTTTTATATCTTTCATATCATAACCCATTATCTATGGTTGTAGTTCTTAGGTTATATACATAGAAATTTTAGCTATATTGGTGGAACAGCCCAGGGAATGATATATATCTAGTTCTATCAATGTTCTACCTATTATTACATGAGTTCCACATAAATTTCTAGAAAAAGAATATCTCAGATTTGACTGATGATTCCAAGACAGGTTTCCACCTCCCATTCCCCCCAAATTTGATCATCTTTGAAATTTGAATCACTCCACGTTTGGAATAAAGTATAATTCCTCTTCCAGGAGGATTTGTTCTTGCTACTGACATCTTCCCAGAGGTACTTCTCAGCCGAGGTCTCTGTAAATTGAAGTAAATTATGATCTGCTTGAAGGCCCTTTGGATTACACTGAGAACATAAATCTAAGAGAGTAACCACTGGATTGTGGTTTAAATTGATGAGGGAGGCTTTTTTCCTTTTTGAGTCAAGGCAAACTTGAGACATGCAGTAATATTCCCTGCTGTCTCCTTTAGTCTGAAGCATTTATTTCTCAATCAACCTTTTACTTGGGATGCAGTTTGGAGGGCCCTAACTTAATATCAGGGCTTCTTTCCAGACTCCACATCCTAGGTCGTTTTTCTCTTTTATAAGTACATGTGATAATACAGTATACCTCAGAGTGTGTTATTATAGCCTTGGATTTTCTGAAATAAAGTACTGACTCCCCCCTTTTGTCTTCCACATACATATGGAAATGTCACATACCTGCATACGTTTGAAACATTGAAATCTTATTTAGAGAAGAAATGAAATATGCCATCTTTTGTGGGAAACTCCTGTTTAAAACAAAGGTAGAAAGTCTTGATTTAAATGGCTGCTTTATGTTAGGAAAAAAATGCTATATTTTCTACTTTAGTGACAGAACTTATATGAGTTGCCCACGATCAGGACAAAGCTCTTTGGGAACATAAAATTTTCTGTCTCTTGATTCAGTTATTGATTATACACATAGACAAAAACATATCCATCAGAACTTAATGGGCTATTCTTAAGTGAATTTTATAATATTCAAATTATTCCTTAATAAACTAAGATTTATTTTTTTTATTTGAAGATTTAGTTATTTATGCATACAAGAGCTGGGGTATAGGCCAAAGGTGTGGGTGGGTGAAAAGATTCACCAGAGACAGAATAGGGAGCAGAACAGATGAATTTACTGAAACACACTGCTGAGGGGAGCAGTGGGTGGGACGGGAGAGGTCTGCTGCACCCTTTGAGTAAGCTCCGTGTCCCGGGATCAAATCTGTGCTGTGGGCAGCTTCATAGGGCTGCAGCTTAACCCACTGTACCATCAGGGAGATCCCTAAAGTGAGATTTAATAAATAGGAGGATGGCTCTTCATAAAGGATGGATATTCCTGCTGATCATCCAGTTATCCTAAAGCTAATATAACCCAACTAGTGCCAAAATAACACTATTGAAATATATCAAGGATCATGCTAACATTTTTCAACTTTTAAGATTTTTAAAAATCTTTAATTTACTATGCAATTTAATTATTCCATCAATCCCATGAAGTAGGTAAAACTCAAAACTTACTTCTCTTACATAAGATAAAAAAAGAGAGAGAGAAAGTAGTAGAAAAAGAATTCATAACCCAGGCAGTTGGAGTCTCCATCCCTGGCTCTCAATCTGTGTAGTTTTCCTCACCTGCCACTAATTTGCTGAGAGTACAATGGGACAAGAGCAAACTAGCGATAACATCAGATTTAAATCTCTAGTGAACACAGAGCCTGCTCATAATTTCTTATATACACTTGCATTTTCATTGCCTCAAGGGTTGGGAAGGGAAGGAGCTTTATCCTAGAAATTAAATGCTGTTCTCATAATGACCCCAATGAAATTTATAATTAGAAAAATTAAGAAATCCAATGTTAAAACTTAAAATCTCTTCATCATAACACACTGATCTAAAATTGAATTAAATAATGCAAACCTGTGAATCCTGTAAATCTAGTCCAGTCTGGGTTAGATTAGATTAGAATAGAATAAAATGTGCATTTATAACACGAATGTGTCCCTGCATATAGTTTATGCTAAATGTTTTATTTAAGAAGTTCATACTGGATTTTATATTTTTATGTTTTAAAACTTCCAGTTGATTTCCAAAGACCTAAAATGATGCTAGTTCCAACAATCTTGTATATGGGCAAATCCAGCATCTGAAACATTAACTCTGCTTCTTAAATTGGTAGGAAAATTGCCTCTTGAAATAAAATTTGAACATAATTTATTTGGTATGACACTGAGGTGATTTTCACTAATTCATTGATAATGACTAGGCATTTCTCAATTAATTCATGCTCATCTGAACGTTATCAGTCTGAAACAGCTGCTGTTTGAACTTGGGGTAATAGCGGAGGGGAGGTCAGCTATGAAAATAGATACAGAGTAAGTGCCACATGGTCTTTAATTGGTTTATTTGAAATTTAGGAATGCTCCTGAAATTTGTAAAATATGGATTTGATAATTTACAAAAAGATTTAGCATTTTTTAAATGCCATGTAATCTTAAAAGTAAGCTTTTAAAGAAGTAAATGTCACATTGTTAACAGTTATCTTCAATCCCTAAGTTTTTTAATATAGAAATACAATTTTATCATTCTGAGACAGTAATACAAAAGAACATGGACTTAAAAGAAGGAGTTATGTCCACATCACAAAGTCAGCAATTTTATGCAGTTTTTTTTTATTATAGCAAAAAATAATGGCTTCTTTTAATTGAAAGTTTCAGGGTATGTTAAGGCAATGCAGCATATTGATTTATGCATACTTATCAATTATACTCAAATCTATTTTTGGATTATTTTGCTGATATATATATATATATATATATATATGATGGATCTGGCAATTAATACCTTTCATACTAATGCAGAACTTAGAATTCATTTTTGCCATCTTAGAAGCAATGAGAGGAATGATATATATATATATATATATATATAGTACAGGAAGTCATTTAAAAACTCAATTAATTGTTGCTTTTAATATGATTAATAATTTAATAAAATCCTATTGCCCTTCTTATCAAGTTGCATTTATATAGGTTGAGTTCTTGCAAAGAATAACAAATATGTCATGACACTGTAAGATATTTGCTCCTATGTTCACACTGCAAGAGAGGGTGAGGTTTAGTCCATTTTTTTTAAGGATTTATTTATTTATGTATACAAGAGCTGGGGTGTAGGCCAGAGATTCAGGAGGGTGAGAGGATTCACCAGAGACAGAGTAGGGACCAGAACAGGCAAATTGACTTAGGTACACTGCTGAGGGGAGGCAGTGTATAGTGAACACACTATGCATACACAATCCACTCTGATTTGCCTGTGAATGAGAATACTCTTCATGGTTTGGTCAGTCCATTGTGATCTATAATAAAGTGTCCATTCTAGGCATCACTGTTATAAACCTATGGCCTCTAGGGTCTAGAAATAGAAAAGAGAGGCCTCCCTGGTGGTACAAGGGGTTAAGTCTCAGCACTATGAAGCATGAGTTCAATCGCCATGAGGGAGCTGACCCACATGGAGCAGCAGACCTCTCCCACCTCTCCTGCTGCCTCCCCTCAGCAGTGTACCTAAGTCAATTTGCCTGTTCTGGTCCCTACTCTGTCTCTGGTGAATCCTCTCACCCTCCTGAATCTCTGGCCTACACCCCAGCTCTTGTATACATAAATAAATAAATCCTTAAAAAAAATGGACTAAACCTCACCCTCTCTTGCAGTGTGAACACTGGCCAGAAATATCTACTTCCATTGTAGTATTGTTCTTTTCAATTGTTCTTGAGTCTCTTTTGACACAAAAAAGTGCTACATACATAGACCTGTCCAATGATCTTCTACAGTTATATTGGTACTAGAGGACTAAAAGAAATGTGACTTATTTGGTTTCTGGCTCAAGTGGCTTATTTTCTTAATGGGAAACATGATGGCATTTTGGCAAAGCAATTTAATTGGTCTGGCATATCATATTCGAGTTATTATGATAGCCAAGAAATGCCCTTTCATGATTGCAGATGTGCCTAGGAGTGGAGAGACCTCTCCATGGCACAGAATCCTGGGGGAGGAGGTTAAATAGAGAAAAGAAGTGGTTCTGTGGCTGAAACCTTCCATCACGCATACCAGGAACTGGAATAAAGTGCTCAGGCCCTAGAAGTAGACTCCACACTCTCACATACCAGCTTCCTCCAGACTGAATAGCCTTTGGTGAATTATTTAACCATCATTAAGTCTCGTTTTTCCTTGCGCAACATGGAATGGATAATAGCATTCAATTTATAGACTTTTTAGGAAGATTAAAATAGATAGTACAGGTAAAGAAATTAATACCATGCCTGCCACTAAAGGTACATTATATTATTATTTTTTGTACATTATATAATTAACATACAATGACCTTTCTTATGGAAACTAAGGTGTAGGATATCTGAAGGTGAGATCTCACTTGAATAAAATCATAAATATAAATTATTAACATTGCTGTTAAGATGGAAGATGGATATCTACAACTACCAAATTTCATATTGTATGTTTTAATATTTTAAAACAATCACTATCCGATAATATAAGCCATGAATTTTTATTTATTCTTACATTAGTTCAATTCAAATTGAATTAGTTTAGCACAAAAACTGACAATTAAATCAGAAGTGTTATAAGACATAAAATAACACTTTTTCAGTATCAAAGACTTCTGTTTTGAGTAATGCTAGATTTCACAACAGTTGAAAGGGTATGTCTGCGGCACAAAGTATGAGTGAAAGGAAATTACAAACCCCTTAAATGCTAATTTGGAGAAAGAAACTGATTAATTTTTAATCCCTGGATCTATGGCACAAAGTAAAGTTATATTTTCACTTTACAAGCTGAATTAATTATAAACATTATTTACAAAATGACCTACCTTCCATAATCACTATCTAAGATGAAGCTGACATTGTGATGACCTGGAAATAATTAAAATACACAATCAATTACATTTCCAACCACAGGAGGATGATAGTTGTATATTATAAAACTGATTTAAAAGCAAAGAAATATAAAATTAAAACTGTAATTATACAACCATCTATAAATCCTCAAAGTAATGAAAATAAGGAATGAGACAAGGCACTACTATTTTAAAATATATAAAGCAAGATAGCTCAAGGTTATAATTGGGAAAATTTGACAAAAAATAGCAATGAATGAAAAATAATGCAGAACCTAAATGTAACTCTATTCCCCTTAAAATTCATGTCCACTCCACAGCGATGCAGCTGTGTTTTCAGATGCAGGGTCCATGCAGTTAGCTCTTCTAATAAAGCTTATTGTCAGCAGAGGACACAATCCTTCAAAAGCAAGGACTCTAACAGAGAACTAAAAATAGTGATAGGGCTATTCAAGAAATGTAGGGCAAATTTTGAGAATGGAAGGAAGAGATTGGAGAGGTTTTTTTTCACTGTGTGATATTTTATCCAAAATGTTCAGGATGAGAAGCTAGCAAAGGCTCTTAGATAAAAGAGAATGAAGTTCATTCAACTATGAAAAAAATTGATATATCTGCAGGACATAGAGCCTGGGAAAACAGAAAAATTATGCCTAGAGAAAAAAGAGTTAACATTAGTCATGGAATCTTCTGCACAACAGAAGAAAAAGAAAAAAAGTAATTTGAATAAGTGGGCTTGAAAGGTAATTCATTTATATTTTTATGCAACTGTAAAGAAGCCAAGGAAATGCTAATTTTTAAAAAGAGGTGAGTGTTGTGGGGAAATCTAGGAGAATACAAAACAAAGAAATTGAGTCATCTATGAGAATTATGAAGAATAGTGATGGGACCTCCCTGGTGGTACAGGGGTTAAAGTCTTAGCACTTTGAAGCTATCACCAGCCACTGCAGCATGAGTTCCATCCCCAGTCAGAGGTGACCCACATGGCGCAGCAGTCTGTCTCACCTGCTGCTCAGCAGTGTCTTTCAATAGACCTGTCTCTTCTGGTCCCCACCCACCCTCTGTCTCTGGTGAATCCTTTCACCCTCTGGCCTATACTCTAGTTCTTCTAAATAGATAAAATAAAATAAAAAATCAATGCTTACCAATATAAGTTCCAGTAGTTTTACAAATTATGGACCCCATATCTCCACTTGGAGGATGCAGTTTTACACCATACCTAACAAATATATATGTGTTGACTTCAAAATTTCTATGGACACTAAAGTTTTAAAATATTGTGTTTCCTTAAAAAAATTCTTGCTAATCTCAGCATATATATCAAGGTAGGAATTGTGGCACAACCAAAATTTTTGTAAAATGATAATATTTTCTTCTTTGGTTGAAGATACTTAAATAAAAATTTAATTATTAAGAAGAATTTAGGAATGAACTTGGCTATATCCATTGAGATTTCTTTAAAAATTTTTAAAACATTACTAACTGAAACAATATATTACTGATAGTAATATTTCTCAAAACATCTCTGCTCACCATGATTTAAATAATAGTTCTCATTATGCGCCATAGTGGAGACAATAGGAAAAATTATAGTTAAGTATATAATGACTGTTAATGTACTAAATAGAATACTTATAAGATATAATTTATACTGCTTCTATCATTATTTATACAAAATCTTACATGTGGCCAGTATTATAAAGCATTTGTGGTATGCAACATTGCTAGAAATGATTATTCTAACTATGTGCTTATCTTTACTACTTATTTTTCTAAAGAAAAGTACTTGAATTACTTACAAATTATCAGATTGTGGTATGAGAAGCTCACAGGGCATCCCTCCAATATAAACTCTGTATAAATATTTTGTTAGAAAAGATCAAGTTATGTTTAATAAATTGCTTCAAAAATGGTCTCCTCCCACCACGCTCACCACCACCTTATCTTTCTTCTCTAAATCACATGTTACCAGCCTTTACTCATTTATTCAGCAAACATTTACTGAACACTTATTATGTTGTTCTCTGACTGTAAGTACCAGAATACACCAGTGAACAAGATAAGGGTCACTACCCTTGAGGGACTGTCATGAGACTGATAACTAACATGATAGTCATGTGTTAGTGTGTCAGAAAGTGATTAATCCTTGCCTCCTGGAGGGGTTCAAGACACAGCTCTATCAAGCTTTCAGCAGCCACTGTAACATGAGTTTGATACCCTGCCAAGGAGCTGATCCACATGGAGCAGCATACCTCTCCTGTCTCACCCACTGCTCCCCTCAGCAGTGTATTTCAGTAGATGCACCTGTTCTGTTCCCCACTCTGTCTCTGGTGAATCTTCCCCACCCTGCACTACTTGTATGCATAAATGAATAAATCTTTAAAAATAAGTGATTGATCCTATGGGAGTAGAAAACAGAAAGAGATAATGATAATTCTTCCACTGAGGTTCAATTATTTAAACTAGAAAACATTTTGCTGTAAGGTTCATAGCGTAGGAAATAAACTCTGTCCACAGCAGAGACCCTACGAAGTAATTAGGATGAAGGGATATAGTATCAGTGAGATTGAAATGGGAGCTAAGGAAGTGGGTGTGGTGTGGTAACATCCATTAGAAGAGGTGTGAACCTAGACCCCTAAGTCATATAGTATGTTGTAAACCAATTAAGTCAATCAAAATAATTTTCAAATTAAAATTTTTAAATAAATAAAAGAAGCTGAGAAGAGGCAGGGGGGTCAGGATGCAGCGAGAACATGAGCATGCACATCTCCTCAGCTGATCAGGTGGGTCCCAAAGGGATAGAATCTGCTGGACTGGAGACTTGCAGGGGACTGACTGATACTGAATTGTTTGCAACACCAGAATACATCACCTTCTTCTGGGGCAGCAAATCCCAGACTCATAAGGCCCAGTAGCAACTTGAAATATAAAAAGTAAGGACTTTTGTTTATAGAGAACATCAAAGTTTTTAATGGACTTTTACATACAAAACCTATCAGCTGATCATTACTTTATGCTTGCAAAGAAAATAAAATTAATATATCTTTTATAGAAGAGATGGATTCATATTCTCTTTCCAATCTTTTATCTTACTCTACTTAAATAATAAATTTCACAGCCAACATGTATAGGCACTTACTATGTTCATTTAGTCCTTGAAACTATTTTGTGGGTTAATAACTATTTCCTTTCATTTCATAGGAGAAACTGAAGCAGAAGATTAAAGAGCTTGTCCAAACCCAGAGATTTGCGCTTGGGTGCATGCTCTTAACCAAACTAAATGATTCCCACATTGTCTCGGTTTGCAAGTCTATAATGATACTACTGTATTTGGTTTTTAATAAAAACAGTGAATTTTTTTTTCATGGAATCTATTAGACCCAAAGCTCCTTAGTAGTCACTAGATCCTGTCATCATTTGCACAGCTTGTGGTTTGTTTGAACTTGTAAATTTGATCCAACTGCAAAGACCTATGTGAATCAAAAGTAGCTTTAATCTCCAGACTCCCTGTTTGGTACACAGCTCATCGCTCCATACTAAGAAAATTCAGGCACAGGGCAATGCACCACAATTAACATGACAGAAAGGAGATAAATGCAGCACTAAGACCTTTGCCCCTCTCATTAAAAGGTGTGAAAGAAATCTTCCTATATTTACAGTGTCAGTGGTTTAGAGAGTACAAGGTAGCATAAATCTGAGGAGGCTCCAATTGGGATTCTGTGACTTCATGAAAAAATTTCCACCCATTCCTTTATATTAAATAGAGATAAATTTCAGTTATAGTGAGAGGAAAAGGAATCTCATTTTGAAAGTTAAGCTTTCTATTTCCTGGTATCACTTTGGGCAAGAATGACTTATAAACATTCATCTAAAAATTAGAAAATAAGCCATTCTACTCAACTATACAGAATCAAACAGGATTTTCATCTATGCACACACACACACACACATATACACATATATATACCTGTATATATTTGTAATGGAAGTAATGCTGAGTCTAACACAACACATCATTATACATGATTTAAGGGAATCGGTGGACACATTCTCAGATGTCTGTCACCAACCACACCCACCAATAGAATGTTGAAGAAACATTCATTTCTCTATTAAATTGTTCTTTTATAAGATAATAATAATGAACAACTATATACCAGAGACATTTTACATGGGTGGAGTGGGGAATGGGATCCAAAATGGGGGGTGGAGAGCAGTGCATGGGACTATGGTGATGGGAAGTCCACGGGGATTTCAACTGAGATGGAAAAAGGCACAAAATGATATAAAAATAAACTATTATAATAATAAAAATTGTTCTTTTATTATTATATAAGGAATCACTATGTACATTTCCAGAAATTAAAGATGCAGACAAATGAGATTTGAGTTCTACCTGATAGAAGGCCACATAAATCACCTTGACTTGACTTCAAAAACCTTTCAAGTTGTTTGTTTTATAAAATTATACATGTATATGTATATATGCAATTATCTTTTTAATATTTAACAAACTCTAAATCCTGCCTCATGTCAGTTAACTTTTCCATTTATCTGCTTTCTGCAAGGCTACAAGCAGCCTGGAGCAACTGAAAGTTAAGATTCTGTTGTTTGTCCTACAAGAAATGAACAAGATGTTTCAATCTGCAAGGACTGAGACCACCCCACCTGTGATATAAGAAGATAGCCTACTGACAATGCTACTTTCCGGGGCAACTTGTGAACAAATTTTTTTTTTTTTTAAATTTTAGATAACTATCAATGTTACTATTTGGTAAAGAGCTGAAAAACAGAAGAAGCAGAGGTTAATCCTAGACTGTTATTAAGTCACTGACCATCTTTAATGGTGACATCCTGAACACCATCGTGTGATAGAAAAAGTGACTGATTGCATTTCAGATGACTTGGGGTTTCCTCCTGATCTTAAATAAGTTGTGTTTTGCAAAGCTTCAGTGTGTGTGTGTGTGTGTGTGTGTGTGTGTGTGTGAAAAATAAGGCAGTTAGACTTCGTAACAAAGTTCTCCAGTAATAAAGGTCTATGATTTTTCATTTAAATACTCTTGAACTTGCTTTCTATTAATAAAATCAATCACAATAAAAGATGGATTTATTTGTCAGACCAAAAATGAAAAGGATATTGGTGGTTGCTTTCTATGTCAAAGAATACCCAACATTCTATTTTCTTTCTTTAATATGGCTGAATAAAATACTGGTTAATGTTTTCACACTGCAGTGTTTTTGATGTCACTGGACCTATCATTATGGAAGTAAGATGTTTTATCTATGAGTTATAACAATATGCTTCTGCATTGAAAATTTACCTCAAAATCCTAACATTTCTCCCATTTGAGCTTAGAGCAGTATTGCTTCCGTAGACATCAGTGAAGGTTCTGCCTTGAATTGTTATTAATGTGCCTGTAAAAATACCAAAATTTTTGTATAAGATTATCTACCCATATTTACAGATATTTAATACCAAATCAGATTTTTTTTTCTCAATAAAAACATTTTCATGTTCACCACTAGAGCTTAGCGTTGTTCTGAAAGGTCTAACAAATACACTATATATGAAGAAATATTCGTAGTTCTTAAGAGGTTTTATAAGTGTTCACAGTAAGGAAGTCTTTATTTGAAGAAAAATAAGATCTCTACATTAACAAAAAAATTATCCTAAGTGAAATAAAAATTAAATATAAAAATAAAACCACAAAATATCTTTAGAATTAAGTGAAAATTATATAAAACTTATATCATTGGGTGGCGGGGTCTTCAGTGGCATATAAATGAAGGAAGAAACCAGAATAGTTAGGATTTATACATTTGAAAATGAAATTATAGAGATCTGAAAGGAAATATTAATTAATTTAAAAACAATAGATAAATTTAAAAATTCCCACTTTCATGTGATATGTTAGTTATTATTCTTAAAATATATATAAGAATTCTTGTAACTTATGATGGGAAAAAAATACTAATCTTAAATTCATCTGAGGACAAGAATAATCTATAAAAGAAATACAAATAAGTAATAAATTTAATTACTAAAGGAAAAATTAGTAAAATCCCTACACAAATATATGTACACATGATAAAGCTTATTCCCTAGAATTCCCAAGATTTAAAAAAAGGACATTCTCACTTATTTCTGATAGGGTCACAGACTGGCATGATTATATTTCTAAAATGACTATTGGAAACCAGCTAAATGTCTAATTAGGGGAAAGTTAAATACATTTTAATAGATTCAGAAACAGGCATTAAAATGATTTTAAAATAATGGGAGTTATTTTATAATTGCAAAAATGCTATTGACAAATTTTCAGGTATCATAATAATGATATAATCCAAAAGTAAATTAACTACTACAAGCCAAAAAGATATTTCAGCTATCATTTCACAGACCTGGAGTTCCAGACAAAGGTGTAATGCTCCTTATTGTTGGGGTTCTGAAACTTTTTGTCTGTAAAATAATAATGTTAATAAACATCTATCTCTGTTTTGTTTCCAGTTTAATGCAAAGTCTATTCTCCACATAAAATACATTTAAATAATGTCTATAAAATGATAGTCAAACTAGTTCACTTACATAAGAAATATAGTTTAGAATATTATTGTTCAACATTTTTCCTGATAATATAAAGTTTATCTTTCATTTGAAAATGTTTCTAGAAAGAATTTAAATTTTCAATTATTTTTTGCTATCAGTATACATAAAACCACAGTCATTGGCTTTCAGGTAAAGACTTTTAGTAATCTGGTGGAATAAAACTGTAAGAAACCCTTTAGGAAAGCCCAGGAAGAAAAAAATAGCAAAGCATATTTTAAATAAAGAAGCCAAACTTGTTGGAGCATTACAAAGCTTCAGTAATCGATGTAGTGATAATTTTCTAGGACTATGAAGGTGTAATTCTTAATATTCTATGATACCAATTGGGATAAGTAGAGAACAGACCAAATGCTTGTTCTTAGGGATATAGAGATGAATAAAGCTCTCTGATTCAGGATACCACATTAAAACATAATCACTGTAGAGTGGACGAGGTGCTAAAATAGTTGTATGTGGAACAGATAAAAACATCAAAATGCAGTATTTACAATATGTCATAGCTTCCTGATTACCTTAATGTTACTGTATTATTTAATTATCACAATGATACAATTTCCATTTTACATATCTTCACTGTACAGAAAATGAAGAGACTGAAGCATAGTTTCTCATTGACTAAGTCAGAGTAAATGATAAAGTCTATATCGGAATCTTGTGCTACAGCACTAAAACTCTATGCTAGTGATAGAGCTACTGGAACAAAGCACTTAGCTCTGCTGGGGGTGATTTTAAGAATCTTGAGTGATGAGCAGGACTGACTAGAAACTGGATGTTTGTGCCCTTGGTTGGACAGACTGTTAGAGGCGCTGATGGTCACAGAACTGGATCCAGACTTAGATTCAATAAAGGAAACCTACAGATAATGAATGAAGGAGAAATATCGAGCGGGGAAATGATAATAATACTTGGTTTTGAAGGGTACAAATGAACAGTGCAATGAAGAGGAGACAGTGGTAACAGGTGAGAAATAACAAGACCGCAATCAAAACAATGGCTGTGGTAGGAAAAAGGTAAGATGGATTTAAGAGTTAATTTAGAGGGTGGGATCATCATGGTTTGTTTTTGGGTAGCTGTGGGGTGAAGATGAACATAAGAGGGAAACCAAAGATGATAACAGGTTTCTGAGACCAAAATGCAGCTTAGGAAGAAATGTAAGAAGTCCAGTTTGAGATGCTGAATTTTGTTATTTGGGGCTCTTTCAGTTGTCACAGACTAGGAAACAAAGTATTACTCTACACTCAGGGAGAGAGAAAGATGCCAGAGGCATCTGATGAACATATTTGGCATTATATTGGAGAGTCATAGAAGCTTCTTGAGGACAGCTCTTGGTGACTGTTTTCCTCAACATTTGGCCTTACATTGGACCACTGCAGTACTCACAACTGAACGCTTAAAATATAATTTTAAAATATATATTGGATGGTTATAGAAGAAAATGTGTTATTAAAAACACATACATTTACAGTAACTGCATTTTAAAAGGCTCCTATGCTACCTGAAGTCACTTTTGTCTCATTACATCAGAAGTATATAAAAGAAAAAGTTATATTGCAAATTACAATGAAGGTGAGTCTGATAAAAATAAGGGAGAATCCAACCAAGAACAGAAATGGAGAAAGAGAAAAGTGTGAACAAGAAAATAATTTTATTGTGTCAAATTTAATTTGCTCATAAGTTATTCCTCTTTCAAGTAAAAGAAGAAACAAAGAATGATAGATTCCACTACTATAGAAGATAACTAAAATTGGGTGATATTATCTTTAGCTACATGCTAAACTATTTTTATGTATAGGGCTAGATAGTTACATATGGGGCAAGCTATAAAATTTTTAAAAATAAAATACTCAGTTCTACAGGGGAAAAAGTACAAAATCAATTACAGGTAAGTTAAAGGGGAGATGCCACCTACATGGAAGCTGCATGCCTGGCTACTGATGTGACCTTTACAGGTACTATTTTCTGTAACAGGAACCCCATCCACACTGACTCGAACAGTGTAGGAATCTTCTGGCATTGGCCTGGAAGACAAATGAAGAATATATAAGAAGCACAATAATGCCTATATTAGTGAAGAATATTAGTGAAAAATACTATCACAGGCTGCCATTTTTGATAGTGTGTAGAATTCTAATTGAGATACAACTAAATCCCATTCTATATCATACAAGGGTGATTTATACCCTGAACTCTGTACTGCAAATTTTAACCTTGTGAACGACAGGCCAATGGTTATTCTAAGCATACTGGAATTTAGACTACAAATGCAGCAACAATAAATGTAGCTGGAATAATTAGAATAGTAATGTTACTGTTTTATGATATGCTTTGTTTAAAAAAATTTAATCAAATTCCCCCCTAAGTAAGATTTTGTTCCTGAAAAACAGCAAACAAACTTGATGTAGATTAATCCTCCGGAGTATGTTACCTGTTTCAATACTGAAAGTTCCAATTTAAAATGATTAATTTCCCCCCCCTAAGATGCTAATAACAAACATCAATTTGTGATGATAGTAAAGAACTTTAAATGTCACCATACAAAATGATCATCTTTAATTTTAATGACTATGTCAAGATTTTGAATAAAATTTATCAAACTGGACAGGAAGGTATAATTTTGATACTTTGAGGAGCATCATTACAATTTAATAGTAGCCATTTATCTTCTAAAAGAGATCAATAATGATAAGATAATAGCTCTAATAACCTGGGATAGAATATAGAATATACTTTTATTATGCTAATATAGGGGGAAATTATAATTGAATAGAATAAACGTACATGTCTAAACATCAGAAAATCAAACATGACTAATAATCAGAAACATTAGAATAGCACCAGTGATAAAACTATTTTCATATTAATATGCTGATGATGAAAATGATGTTATGAAAAATACTCTAAGTCATACCTAGTATAGCATATAATTTGAGTTGAATGACTTGAATCTTTTTCTACATCACAAGAAATTGATCGGAAGGAAGAAACTAGTTGTACACTGTTTCCCAACTCAGCATCATCAGCTCCATAGTTAAATTCATTTGCTTGAGCAAAACCTGGAAAATAAGTATAAAATACTCAATTATTATTTTGCAATTCTATTTTCAGAGTTTTAACAATTCTTACTTGGTATTGAATGATTCAATAAATAATAAGAAATAGTACTGAAATAAGCAGTCACTCACTTATTTCATATTTACCCTTATGATTGCAAAACTCTTTGGAAGAATAAAAATTATATTTAAATAAGCTATTCATAAAAGTAATACTTGAGAATATTTTCAGGTGCTGTTAAATGCAATGGAATTAAGTAACACAAGCTAGTACTAGCTTGGGGTCAGGTATAGACATCAATAGATAGACGAACACGAGCTATCACCAGATGCTATCTGTCTGCCATAACTACTATGAAAAAGGCAAGTTTGTGAAAACAGAAAAAGAATACCAGGGAAAGACTATTTTATGCCAGGCAGTTTTTACCTTGAGTTCTTTAAAGCAATACCTGAGATAGGACTTTCCAGAAGATAGTTTATTTGGATGCTGATTTTTAGGGTTAAGGGTGAATAATAGCTGAAGAAAGCCAATCAGCACCTTGAGGACAAATGGGGCTCAATCCTTCTGAGAACTTCTAAGGAAAAGATAAAATATCTCTGAGCAGAGTTAGTACAGCAGCAAGCAGCACTTATACACCCAATTCTGTCCCGTCGGTTGAGGGACCCCCAGGGGAAAGAACATTTCATGCACTTTCAAGCAGCAGCTAGGTCTAAGTAACATGCTTCCAATGTCCCAAGTCACTGCATCAGAGAAGCCTTGAAGTAGTAGACAAAGCCAGGCTGTGCAAACTCACAGGCAAGAAGCTGAACACAAAAGTGAATCAAAGTCTACCGGGAACCATTTGCTACAGCTGCAGTTCAACCTAACAAGACAGAACCAGAGAATGTCAGGCTGAGTATAAAAGGCATATGCTACAGGTGAGTTCTTGCACCGTAAAGATAAGCTCATGCCATACATTTTAAGTACTATCCACTTTCAAGTTTCCCAGATGGTGGCCAGTTATAAGGCCATCTTTTAAGGCCACCTCTGCTAAAGGTTTAATATACAAGAGGGTTGATGCAGTAAGTTTCAAACCACACTAATACAAGTAGCTGTGAGGCTATAATTGATATTTGTCATGTCACCTCTCTGTTGGTATTGCAGAAATCCCTTATGCTTAGCCAGCATTTGGATAATGAAGTTAACACGAATCTTCATCCTGAGAATCTGAGCTCTTACTTTCTCTGCCTTTATGAAGTTGTGCTTTCTGCGATTGTTTATTCATAGTTATCACTGAAAGTGGAAGACCAAGAAATGCCCCATGAAAACCCTGAATTCCATACATATTACTCCCTAACTGCACTAGACAAAAGCAATCCTAGCCCTTCACGATTATCAAAATTGATTATCTTTAACAGTTTACTAATGATGTTTGATGGATTCAAACTGATTAAGTAGTTGTGGTAGTTTCAGGTCAGTGGAACCCATATTGGGAAGCCTGATAGAAACATTCTTTAGCTGGAAACTAATACCTCAAATCCAAGAGAACCTACTATTATAGGGACACAAAGCTGAATCAGTTTCTGCATAACTTGAAGTGATAATGATGACAAGTAATTTCTCTTCCAACTCTATGTTTTGTATTTGCCAAGAAATAGCAGCCTGTGTTCAATACGTATCAAGACTTGGGCTCGATATATATGGCCTCTGGTGGAGTACAGTGTTATTCCACAGGGAGTTGTCCCCAAGCTGGGACATTAGTCATGCCCTGTATAGAAGGTTCACCATTCTGCTAGGCCTTATGTTCAGGGTGAAGCAGTTCATTACAGAGGTCACAGCCACATGACTATTAGCACAAATGCATCTGCTATGTACTAGGTTCTTTTTGCTGAGACATTATTTTATGAATTCTCATGGCAGTCAATCAGATGGTAAACTCTAAGAGGATGGGGCTGACAGGGGCACTGTATAAAAGAACACAAAAACCTTTATTTGGAGTAAGGTAGGGTAGGTAGGGGACTAGAAAGAATGTCTCTGTGCTTTCCAGAAGAGGAGAGGGATGCAGACAACTTGTCACTGCCTGGCTGGGTGGATTTACTTATAGAGAGCTCAGTGCTGGCCACTGGCAGTCAAGTATTCAGCAAAGGAAGTCCATGGGCTTGGTCTTCATCCCATGGTTCTTCTGTTCATGGGTCACTGCACACACACTGAAGTGGTCCAGGAGAGAAACACCTAACTGAGTCATGCAATAAAGCTGTTGTTTTATTTCCTCTGTGAAGGATACTCCCTTATGAGAATTAACTTGAGACAAATAAATTTGTATGCTTTGTGCTCATTATCACTAGTGCATTCATACTCCTCTTTCCAGAATTTTCTTGATTTTCCAATCCTGTTTCTGGGCAATGGGAGGCATCTGACATATGATCAAGAAAGTTTTTCAGAAATAAGTCATGACAGTACCTACTGGCAGTGCAGTTCAGATAAAGGGAACATGATGTTCTTCGTGGTAGGAGTACATTCATGGATTCAAGAATTAGCAAACGTGGTTGGAAAATTATGAGTGAGAAATGATAGGAGATAAGGCCAAAGGTTGAGGCATGTAGGTTAACTTCATGAGGGAGGAATCATTGGAAGCTTTGAACAAGAGGAGTGGCATGATCTGACTTAACATTTGCCAAGGGTCACTGACCATCTGTATTTCTGAGAATTCAAACTTGGGGCAGGAGAGAGGATAGATGTGGTGCAGTAGTGAAGGTATTTCAATGAGTCATGAGTAAGTGACTGGCAAGACTTCAAGAGATTAGAGGGCCATAAGTGAACAGAACAAATACAAGAACATTTGGGGGGAGATTTACTATAAAGGAAAGCAAAATAGGGTAGTAGCTAGGTGTGGGTGTGGATCAAGGGAAAGATTGATGAGTTTGCTGCTTTTTTTCCCCAGGTGAGTAAAATAATAGTGTGTTTTTATGCTATGACTTGCTCCAACAAAATCAGTGAAATGATTGATACGGAACAGAGTGGTCTTACTATAATACAGAAAATTCAAAATCATATTTGGAAGTAATTAACCATAAATTTAGTAATTTATAGCACATAAAGTGTTTTATAGTGTGGGACCAACAATCAATTTTGAATTAAACTCAAGAAATAAAGCCCATAATTAAGAGTAATTCAATTATATGCTATCAAATTCTATAAATACTTAATAAAAGTGTTTAAAAGGCACTTAATATGCTAGTATGAAAAGTGAGTTTGAGGCCTCACTGGTGTCATAACAGGTTAAAGTGCAGCACTATGAAGCTATCTGCAGCCACTGCAGCATGAATTCGATCCCCAGCCAGGGAAGTGACCGATATGGCCCCGCAGATTTCTCCTGTCTCATCTATTACTCCCTTCAGCTGTATATTTCAGTCAATCAGCCTGTTCTGTTCCCCACTCTGTCTCTGGTGAATCCTCAACCCACACTTCTGGCCTATATTCCAGTTTTTATATGCATAAACAAATAAATCTTTAAATAAAAAAAGTGGATCTATGAAGTTTTCTAGTAAAATACTTTTGGAATAAAGTTAAATTGTTAGTTTTTGCCAGATTACTTCCAAGTGTAGTATTCCTAAATTCTGAGTTCTAAAATATACCTTTAAATATTATTTTTCTCTAAATATCATTGGTGCTAAACATTAAAATATCACTGTAGGCAAAATGATGACTAATGATATACTTGAAGTTATAAAAAATTTTCTTTTATAATAAAAGACTTCAATTTACATCACTGATAAAAATCTGTGAAATAAGACAAAAGGAAAAAGAAAAATACTAAATGTTTTCACTTACAGGAAGAATATAGGGAAACAAATAAGGGACCATGCAACTTCATAAGTAAGAGACATTCTGTGGGGGAAGGGAGAGGGGTCACAACAGGGGAGAGAAGAGCATGAGGGACTATAGTGATAGTTCTTAGGTTAACTGATGGTGGTAATTTTACAGGGAATACACAATTATATAAATTAAATTAAAAATAAGTATAAATTAAAAAAATAAAAATTTAAGAACTTATAGATATTGTCCCACAGTACAATAAGATCAATAAAAATAACCATAAAGGTAAACCCAGATATGTAGATTTAGCTTTGTAAAGCCTATTTATTTGTATTACTAATATTAGAATTAAGTAAGAGGTATTCATTATTGTCAGTAGTGTTTGTTTCAGTAAAACCATCACCACTATAATAGCTGCTCATATAAATAACTTTCAATAGCTACGGTGGCTGAATTAGATTGCCAGATATCTGTGATGTGACTGCTTTTTAAAGTATTGAACATTGTCTGTGTTCTACACAGGCTTGTTAGAAATGATGACTATGGCCTAGATTAATATAAAACTGAGAGTAGTACTTTACTATACCACATGTTTACCAAATTCTCATTTCTAACTTCCATGAATGAAGCTGCATGCTAAGTGGCCTATTTGGAACCTAAGATATCTTGAGCTAAAATCTAAGCTCTGGCATTTCCTTGCCATATGACCTTGATTATAAGAGTTCCAAGTGTAAATTCTCTCAGCTTTAGCATCGCGTCAGAAAGTACGAATATACTTATCGAATTGCTAGGAAAACCAAATGAAGATCTATATGGAGTGCTTAGTAGAGGGCCTAGCTCATTTGTTAATAGTGCAATTGATATGATTTGGGTTCAGTATCACTATAGATCCTGCTTTCAAAAAAACCATTCTTTTTCTCAAAAAAAATTGGGTCCTCCCTGGTAGCAAAGTGCAGCACTATGAAGCAATTCGCAGCCACTGCAGCACAAGTTTGATTTCCAGCCAGGAAGGTGACCCACATAGCACAGCAGAACTCTCCTGACCCTCCTACTGCTCCCCTCGGCAGTGTGTTTCAGTAGATCCACCTGTTCTGCTCTCTACTCTGTGATGAATCCTCCCACCCTCTGTACCCCTGGTCTGTACCCCAGTTCTTGTATGCATAAATAAGTAAATATTTATAAATAAATAAACACAAATCACTAAATGGGGGATCATATTAGAATTCAAGTTGTGGATGTCAAGCCAGCACACTTTCTCTACTCAGAGAAAAACAATACTTAAAATGCTCTTACAAAATTATTGCCTATGCTACCCATACAGCTTCCTGCAGACCATGTTTTGAGCTCCTCTTCTAAACTTTATATGTAAAAAATTAAATCAAAATTCAACAAAGGGTAGGAATTTCAATAATACCACTTTCTTTTCCTAAACTTAAGCCTTAACCAAATAGGATACATGCAGAAAGACTAAGGTGCGAATACAAGCATCACTTTAATATGTGAAAGGTATTTGCAGTTTTGAATTGAGGAATTGAGGAAGCTCATCAGTCACAGTTAAGTTGGAATTGTGAGAAGATACATAAAAAACACAGAAATGCAGTTACTTGTAAACCCGCTCTTTCTTTTGCCAACTTCTGCTTATCTTTGGAGTTCATATTGAGTTGGGAACACACAGGGTTGCTGGCAACGAATTAAAGAATGGAAAGTTTCACTTATGGTGTAGTTCAGGACATGATGTATGTATTTATTTTCTTACTTGGTATATGTCACATCAGTAACATGGTAACAAAAATCTGTACTTCAGCATTACTAAGACAAATACAATTTTTTTTTAAAAAATGTGCCATCAGAAGATAATATTCTTTTTATTGGAAGGTTGTTTTAACATCACTTATTTATATATAGTATAGATGTGTGTATATAGATATGTACAATGTCATCTATGTGAAATGTGCGACCTTTGGGAAAATGTGAACCAAAATCAGTAAGACTTTAAGTATTTTCATTGTAGTTTGTTTAAAAAGAAAGCACAGAAATACTTCAGAAATTTTAGCTAATTGCAAATAGTTAAAAGTAATAATGCAAATGAACCACCTAGAAAAAGTATCTTAATTTAAAAGTATAATTCTGAACCCGTGGGGATTACAATTGAGATGAAAAAAAAATGTGAAAAATGATGTAAAAATAAACTTTTTAATAAAAAAAAAAATAAAAAAAATAAAAGTATAATTCTGAATTTAAAAAGAGGGTAAAAAAAAGGTACCTCTGGAAGTACTCCAAGATACAAATATTACAGGAATAGCTGGGTGTAGCCTGGAAACAGGAAAGGTTGAGGCTTCAGATGGAAATGCCTGACATGTTGATGTACTTTTTTTCTCTTTTTCAGAAAACCCAGAGACAAGAGTTGCCAGGCACACAAACCTGGATCTCCTGATAAAAGCAACCAAATGTAGGGCCTGTGAGGCTGGCGTGGTCGATGCCAGTGATGTGAAAGCCAGCAACCCTCACACACAATGCAGGCTGATTAGGTTTCTCTAGTTTAGAAAAGTGAAGTTTAGAGTGTATAACCCTACATAAAATTTGGAATCCTCAAAACCAATATGCAGGAAAGGTGCAAGTGATAAAGAATAATTGCTAAAGAATGGAAGCAGATATATACCATAAATGCAAAATAATAGTAGTAAAACAGTTCCATTTATGGAGCAGATGTTAGATACCTCATCCTTTTCAATGTTCATGATAGCACCAACAAGCAGGAATCAATGTCCGATGTCAGAGAAGAAGAAGCTGAGGTTTAAAAGAACTTGTCCCAGTCACATGATAGAAAATGGCAAAGATGGAGTTAAAGCCAATCAGACTGGACCACAGTTCATGTGCTTTCCATAACAGTCTAAAAATTACATGCTTCAACACTTCAGATAAACAAAAATATGTACCAGACATTGTGATAGAAAAATATCTAGAAGAAAGGGCCAAAGTAAAATGTTATTCTTTCCATCTTACTTATTTTTTAAAGTAAAAAGAGATCACATAAGTATCAAGGAAGCAATTGAGAACTAGAAGACACAAAGTTACAAAAGCAGTATAGTTACCAAAACTCCAAAATTTATCAAAATGACTAACATTGCTCATCAAATCAGTCATCTTCGAAGGAGTTACAGTTATCTCCACCATCACACCATTCATAAAACATTATCATAATTGTAAAATTATGTATCTTTGGCTTCTGAAGCACAGCCTTTAGAAAAAAGGAATATAGTAACAATTTTGTTTTTAATCTGTAAAGGTTAATGTAAGTTGTATTCCTGTAAAGGAAAAAGCTCAAAGTTATGAAGGTACTCTAAAATAGTACAGTAGGCCTTTTAGCATGCAGAATTTCGGCGAATCCACTTTATAAGTCAAACATTTCCTTTTTTCTTTTTAAATAATAAATCACATAGCAAAATAATACTTTAATAAATGCATACTACATTTGAAAATTGGAAATGTAATACATATACTCTATTTTGATCTTAAATTACATGGACAAACCTCTTTCAAAATTTTTCTAAAATCAACCATATGCAAAATACCTGGTTCCTTAAGGCATTGTGGGAGATTGGTTTATGGTGTTCCTCAACTATTCTGTGTCATTGCCTTGATTACTCTTTTCTTTGCCTGTTCTGTGCCTCTCGATGTGTAGAAACAGGAAAAGTTGATAAGGAACTTCCAAGGGAAAAAGTCTGAGATGATGATCTATACATACTGAAAACTGCATGTGCAGAAATAGGTAACATTTGAGATAGGGAACCTCTCAGGGCAAAAGTCCTGGTATGAGGACCTGTACATGCTGAAAAGAGCAACAGGTGTTATTGTTGGAGTAGCATCAACACTGAGACTTTTCTTGACTTTCTCCCCATTTCCCACCCTTGGCAGGGACAACCTGGTTACACATCCCCCACACACTTGTGCAGTCCCCATTTGATCTTCTTATTTCCTGTCTGACTCTAAATAAAAACGAGACTGTCCTTGGAGCTGGACTGCACTTGCTTGGTGTCATCCTTCTAGGTGTCTCATAGTTCTGGACATGGACTCTGAGTAATCCCTTTTCATCCCACCGCCACACGTCTAAAATCAACCTGGTTCCTTGCAGGGCATTATGGGAGACCGAATTATTGTGTGCCCCAAGTATTCTGTGTCCCTTTAGAGACAGGGCATATAAAAAGCTTACACAGTTTCTTAAATTATAATATTGCTTACTTAATAGCATTTATTTATTTACTATCATAAGGTTTTAAAATATTTCTATAAAATTTTACTTTTCCATCACGACTTTTGTAAAAATAAAGCATTTTTAAGGTCACATAGGACTAGCGTTTAGGTGATCACTTAGCATTTACAACTTCATTTCTTAAGTTTCTCGGATGATTAATAAACTATTCTGCATGCAATACTAAATATGGAATATGGAGCAGAGACAGCACTGATGAATAATGGGACTTGAAACGCCACCACATAAAGTTTGATAGAGTACCACATGCATGCATTTATAGGATCTCTGGTGTGTTTTGCAATTTCATTTCATTATCAATTCTTTGGACACATTCTACAGCTATTTGGGTCCCCCAAATTTACATAAAATAATAATTAGATTCCATCTCTGACAGACACATGCTAAAGCATTTTTAGTCATTTATGAAGTGTGATTAAAGCATAAGCAAAAAGACAAATCAGGAGAGGTTACAGGTATCTGCAATTTAAATAGGATTCAAATGATTCTATCAATAAAATTCTGTGTCAACAGCATCCAGAATTGGGACTGAGAGGAAAACTAGAAAAGCACCATGACACTTTATGCCTCATAAGTAAGAATATTACTTGTGTGCTTAAGAATTTGAAAGGTTTACAAAAGAGCCAAAGTTATGTTAAAGCATAAGGATATTCTCCCAAATTACCAGAAGAACAGAATGCTCTGTTTTGTTGCGTCCTATTTCTAAGAAGGGGTGGGGGGGGGTGGGTCTTGGCATATACATTTAAACTTAAGCCATGGTTCCTGGATTGGAAAAAGTTCAGATCTCAAGGTTGAAGGAAATCACTGGGTGGTTTTATTGTTTTACTTTGCTTTGTTTTTAAATCTGGGCATTTCTTTCATGGCAGGTAAATCTCTGTTGAACACACAATGGCGTCAAAAATTATCACAACAGCTATTTATAAAATAATGGATCTATGGATAAAAATATTAAAAATAGTCTTTACCAAATACATTGTTTCCTGGTATTTAACTCTAAAAAAGAAATTTTTAATCAAAAATATACTGTTCACAATTTAGAGGCATAAACCATTTTCAGCATATCATTCAAAGGCTAAATTCTGCAGAAGTATGGAGAGACATTTCAATATACCTAACAGAATGATTAAATGTTTTGCTTTGAAAATTTTCTGAATCTCAGAACTCCTCATGTCTCTTATTTTAAAAACTATATAACAGCTTTAATTAATATGCTTTCTAAAATTTTCTTTCCCATCCTTCAAAAACTTATAAGCATCTGAATACTACTATCACTTAGATGGTAAAGCTTTATGGCCAGGAGAGCCAGTATTTCCATGTAATCCTAGGAAGAGTTGTGCATTAAATATATCCAGTGATTGTCTACTATGTTTCCATCACAAGCCCAGGCAAGGAGAAGGAGTCATACATAACCCATGTGTTGATGCAGCATACGATAAGGATTAGGTAGCGGAGAAGGGATCTGAAGTTTTGCTTTCATTGCCTTCTTCCTTTCATTACTATTCTATTTCTTTATCATGTACTCTCACTCACATTCGCACCATCCCTCCCCCACCCCGTGTTTTAATTGATTAAAAAATATATATCAAATAGTTTTAGACCCATAAAAAAATAAAGCAAATATTGCAGAGTTGGACTGAAGACATTGATTTCAGGCATCACCATCCAGAACTTAGAGTTAAGAAGTAATTATAACACAACTTCGAGTGATTAGGTTGAGGGAGACCCTTGGGGATTCTGCCAGGTATCAAATGGGATAGAGTTTGACTATTCTGCTCAAGAGCAGAAACAGTGGGAATATTTTTTAAACCATAAAGCTCTAATTGTGAAAAAAAGTCCTTAAAATACTTCAACCTTAGTTAAATAAAAAGGCAACTATACCTTCTCCTTTGATAGTCAGTCTTGTTGCTCCATTTATGCTGCCATACTTAGGTATTACTTCTGTGACCTTGGGAATTATTTTAGAATCAACTGAAAGAAATCAAAATATAGTAGAGATACTTAATTTCAAGCATGGAATTTTGTACTATCTGTACAACACTGTAAGAAAAGCATGGAGACTTAAGGGCTAACAGTAAATACAAGTAAATATTACTTTTGACTCTTTTTTTTTTAAAAGATTTATTTATTTATTCATACAGAACTGGGGTACAGGCCAGAGATGCGGAGGGTGAGAGGATTCACCAGAGACAGAGTGGGGAGCAGAACAAGCAGATCGATGAAGCACACTGCTGAGGGGAGCAGCGGGCAGGCCAGGAGAGATCTGCCGGGCCATATGGATCTCCTCCGGGGCAGGCCAGGATTGAACTCATGCAGAAGTGGCTTAAGCTTCTTAGTGCTGTGCTTTAACCTGCTGCGCCACCAGAGAGGGCCTTGACTCTATTTTTTAACCAGTGACTTGACACGGACCTTAAGTCATTAACTTATTTGATACTAGCTCTATCCACAGCTCAATCTCATGCAATAAAGAACAGGAATAACATGTGATCAACTTCATTATTCTTGTCTATCACAGTATAAAACATTCATTTAAACCCTTAATTTCCTGAAGCTTTTTATTAACTACTGTTCTATAACTCGATTCCCAGCCCACACAGCAGTAGACAAAGCAGGAGAAACAGCATGGGGAGGAACCAGGTCATTACAAAAGCATATAAGAAATGCCAAACATGGTAAAGCAAAAAAGAAAAGTGTCCAAGTACAAAGGGCAATGTTTGTTTTTTTAAAGCAGGAATCGCTTTCTATGACAGAGTAAGATTTCAGAAAAGCTAATTTTTTTATCTTTTTAGCCTTGGGATGTTAGTGAGTGCCCAATATAAAGTTATTCGTTCATTCAACCAATGACTGAATTCCTGGGAACATATAAATATATAACAATCGCAATTTTCCCAAAGCTTATCTTAAACAGTCCAGAATGACAGAAGAGCACACAGGGGCTAAGGTTGAGTCAGAGGGGCTCTGCTTCCACTGCTTGCCTTAGGCTGGCTGATCCTGCAGGGCAAATGAGTTAGCTGGACTGAACCAGGGTTCTGAAAGACGCGTTCTAAAGAGAAGGTGCAGTCTATGCAGGCACAGCGAGGTGCTTTTTGGGAGAACTGCAGGCAATGATTTAAAGCAACAAAAAGATACACTGTGGCGAGAAACGGTTATTTTCTGCTTAAATTAAACAAATCTAGTAATGACTAGATCCTATATCAAATCTCAGGGTAGGTAAAAACATGTGAGGACAGAGTGCCACTGAAGTTGATGTTTGCAGTGGATAAACGAGCACATGTTAAAGAAATTATGAGTATATCGTTCACTCTTGCTTGAAAAAAAGTTTACCATGGACTTCATCAATAATAGCAACATCTCTCCAACATAAAGAAGACACCCCCCTCGCCCCCCAACCCACCCCGATCTAACGCCTCTTTTCTTCCAGTCTGCCTTTGCCATGGGCTCCTACACTGTTCCTGCTTGGGGCGCTTTCCTAACACCGCGCAGCCCAGTGCCAAGAATAGGAAACTCCAGCGAGCAAGCCGGATCCTATCTCCAAACCCATGCTGCTCTTCACCTATCTCAGGTTCATCCTCCCTTATCTTCACCGACCACTCCAATTTCTTATCTCACGGGGCTCTTCCCAACCCTCTCCTGGGTATTACTGGGAAGGCACGGGGCAGCTGCCTTTGGAAGTGACTGACACCCGCCACAAAAACCCATTCCGGTCCCACTGGGAGCCACAGCGCTCCTTTCAGTGGGGAAAGGGGCCTCAGAAGAGTGAGGAGGGCGACGCAGGCTGCCTCCCTCCTGGGCCTCCCGCCCTCTAGGCCAATTTCTGGCTCTTTCCAATAGTCAGTTGGAGGAAGTTGGAGTGAGGTTCTATAATTCTAGCAGCAACGCTGATGACAAAAGAGCTGTCTCTCCGTTTCTCTCTCTCAGTCAGGGTCCCAAGTCCCAGGACAGCCTCGCAGGCGATGCGCCGCCTTGGGGCGGGAGGGCACCGGTCAGATCCACCCAGCCAGGGATTGGATCTACACCCATTTCCCGGCTTGCCTCCCCTGCACCCCAGAAGAGTTACCAGTGCGCGGGTCCGCACAGGAGCACAGGAGCAGCACCCAGAGTTCCCAAGTTCCCGAGAGCCACAGGTGTCGCATCGTGGCGCCGGCTGCGCGGAGTGCACGCTCGCAGCCGCCGCCTCAGCTCAGGCCCCGCGCGCCGACTCGCCCCACGCGCATACCCGACCCGCACCCGGTCGCCCCGCCCCCGGCGCCCCGCCCGCCCGCCGCACCTCGGGATTCGCACCTATCCCGCTTCACCCGAGGACGCTGCAGACACCCGGCCAGTCTGTCATCTTCAAATCTCCACGCGCCAAACTTGTGCGGTCTCCCCACCTTCTCCAAAGGTCTAACTGTCCGACTCGTTGATAAGAGGCATCAATGGACAGCTTTTCCCCCCTAATTCCAGGCTGGCGTATTTTCAATTGCCTGTCTACTTTGGTTACTGATCACTGGATCTGGCCCTAATACACCAACGGCAAACCATCCCCTCCCCCCAGAGATATTATCTAAATTCATGCCACCTTTTGATTCACAACTATGCTGATACATAATGATCTTATTTGCTAAGTCCTGAACACCTGCCCAGTGCTTTAAAGATTTCAACACATAGTAAAACCCAGTTGCTATTGCTATTGCTATTGTTATTGTTATTCCTCTTATTGTCCCCATTGTTCCAATTTATAGACTGAGGGCAGAAGGTTAAGTAACTTGCCCCAGGTCGTTCAAATAAGAGTGTAGTGCCGGTATAAGGGATGACAAGAGTCAGTATATCTTCTCCCCTCCACTACCCCGAGTTGGACAGACTTCTAGTGAGGATTTGCGGTACTTAGGACATACTTCAACTAAAAATGATTCATTGTTTATCTGAAATTCCAATTTAAGTCACTATCCTCTATTTCTATTTACTAAATCTCACTACTCTAGTTGGGAGCCCCTTGGGGAGGAGAGAAGGAATAGAAGAGAGAACTTTAATAAGAGTTAAAAAAGAAAGAAAGAAAGAAAGAAAGAAAGAAAGAAAGAAAGAAAGAAAGAAAGAAAGAAAGAAAGAAAGAAAGAAAGAAAGAAAGAAAGAAAG